AATGTGTTAAAATATGATAACAATGCTTAATCATGCTAGCATTGTGCTAAAACGTGTTACTTCATGTTATCATGTTATATTTTTCTTTCCACTCCACAAAATTGAAAGCTTATAAAACTTTATAATTTGTATTCAGTCTTTTCAAGTCAACATCAAAGTTTGTTTCTGAACTTTACTCATCTAGGTGATTCTGATATTTTCCAGTGAAGCTGTCGGGGATTATTCTGCCACTATGTAAGCGTGCCACACACCTCTATGGTCCTGTCGGCCGTCAGCTCGGGCTGTTTCTTCAGCTTCTTCTCCAGGAAGCTGTTGGCCTCCGTGTGTTTGGCCCCGACGCTCGTGGCCCTGAACCCGCAGTAATAGCCGGCCGGGTCGCATTTGTAGAGCACGGGTCCCATCAGCGGGTCCATGGCGATCAGCATCATGCCTGCAGCACAGACAGCGTCACAAACACTGCAAAGCGGCGATCACCTGAGTCTGCGCGGACGAACACACTCACAGCAGCCGAGCGGCCTCATCTCCGCGTTCTGTGTGTAGACCTGAGAGAGGTCCGCCATGCGCCTGCACAACATGTCCGCCGTGATGTCGTAACCGAACTTATATTTCCACTCGCCGGCCTCCACACGAGCGCGATGAACCTGAGAACGGCTGTCAGCTACACACACACACACACACACACTTTCATAATGGAACTCAAACATCAACTCTGTTATTGAACTTAAAGGATTAGTTCACTTTTGAAAAAACTTTTGCTGATAATTTACTCACCCCTTAAGGTTTTTGATGAAAATATTCCAGGATTTTTCTCCATATAATGGACTTTAATGGGGTCCAAACGGTTCAAGGTCCAATAACAGTTTCAGATGCAGCTTCAAATGTCTTTAAACGACACCAGACGATGAATAAGGGTCTTATCATGCGAAACGATCCGTTATTTCAAAACTTATTCCAAAAATGTAACTTTTCTAAGGACAAATGCTAGCCTTGCTCTATTCTGTGAGGCACGTTTGCAACGTCACGTAATACGTAATTACGTTCAAAAGGTCACGGGCGACGTAGCCGAAAGTACAGAGTCAGTGTTTAAATTGAACGCATAGGTTGAACGTGCAAACCAACTCAAACGCCGTTTACAAAAAAAGGAATTAAAAGGTAAAACAACGATGTCGGACGATTTTGATTCTGTACTTCCGGCTACTTCCGGCTTACGTATTACGTGACGTTACAAACGCGCCTCGCAGAATAGAGCAAGGCTAGCATTTGTCCTTAGAAAAGTTACATTTTTGGAATAAGTTTTGAAATACTGGATCGTTTCGCTTGATAAGACCTTTATTCATCGTCTGGTGTCGTTTAAAGACATTTGAAGCTGCACTGAAACTCTCATTTGGACCTTGAACCCTTTGGACCCCATTGAAGTCCATTATATGGAGAAAATCCTGGAATGTTTTCATCAAAAACCTTCATTTCTTTTCGACTGAGGAAAGAAAGACGTGGACATCTTGGATGACATGGGGGTGAGTAAATTATCAGCAAAAGTTTTTTCAAAAGTGAACTACTCCTTTAATACTGACACTGTTGTCTTCTGGAAAGCAGCTTTGCAACAATATCTATGATGCCATCCAAAATAAACAAAACTGGAATACGGCATAAATCATCTGTGAGTAAAGCAGTGTTTACATCCCATGTGTGTTCAAGAGAACAAAATCATCACTTCCTGGTTCATTTGTCTCGTATTTGATGAAGTTTTTGCATCATTGATTCTGTTATTTTCACCGTGAAGCTGCTTTGAAACGATCTGTGTTGTAAAGTGACATCATGTGATGCCGGTGTAATCTGAGAGAGGAGACACACACCGTAATGTCCAGTCATGACGCATCCAATCCGTGGAGTGAGACGGAACATGTTTGTCATCGTCGACGCATCCAGGAGCGAGTCCTGCACACGAGAAACAGTCGATTAAACACACACACACACACAGACTGAGCTCAGCGTAATTTAAGAGCATCACAGCATCTCAGCAGGTTTAGAAACACTCAGAGATGCTTTGGGAAGCGTGTCCAGGGGTGAGCCAGCCCTTGCAGACTGAAATAAGACTCTCTCTCTCTCTCAACGCTGATCTTAAGGTGTGTGTTTTTACCGCAACTTTCTTCTGTGTGACGACCACAGCACAGTCCGTCCCTCTGATGCCCACCGTGGTCAGGCCGCTCTGGGTGATGGCTTTGAAGGCATATTCTGTCCAACACATTCAACATCATAAACACACAACATGCACTACACTGTTAGCATGGGAACGCTCTCAGAAGTTTAGCTAACGATCTGGTTGAGTTATGAACACATATTTGGTCTTTAAAGGAGTACTTTTTAAAAAACTTTTGCTGAAAATTTACTCACCCCCATGTCATCGAAGATGTCCATGTCTTTCTTTCTTCAGTCAAAAGGAAATTAAGGTTTTTGATGAAAACATTCCAGGATTTTCTCCATATAATGGACTTCAATGGGGTCCAAACACTTCAAGGTCCAAATGAGAGTTTCAGTGCAACTTCAAAGGGCTTTAAACGACGAATAAGGGTCTTATCTAGCGAAACGATAGGTCATTTAAAAAATAAATTAAAAAATTTAAGTTTTATAAGCAAAAATGGTCGCCTTTGCTCTGTTTTGTAATGAGCGTTTGTGACTCTCCATGTTCAAACACGTTCATCAATGAACAAACCTATTTTTGAGTCATGACTCGAAGGGTCCTCGATAAGACCCTTAATCATCGTCTGGTGTCGTTTAAAGCCCTTTGAAACTGCATTGAAACTCTCATTTGGTCCTTGAACCGTTTGGTTCCCAATGAACTCCATTATATGGAGAAAATCCTGGAATGTTTTCATCAAAAACCTTAATTTCCTTTTGACTGAAGAAAGAAAGACATGGACATCTTGGATGACACGGGGGTGAGTAAATTATCAGCAAAAGTTTTTTTTAAAGTGAACTACTCCTTTAATAGCGTCCTCAAAACAATTATATCGATAATGGAACGTGTTTTCCTGAATCATTTTAGTTCTTCAAACGCTTTTTAAATGTTACTACGCCTGTTTCAGAACGTTCAGAGAACATTCCAAAGTAACGTCACAATAATGTTTGAAGAATGGAATGGTATTAAAATCGAACGTTCAAAGAAAAATTCATAAATACTTTCAAAACATAGGCTAATGGGGGCGTAAGCGCAAACATTTCGTGTTTTTGTCGGTTTGGAAGAACTCTTAAGAAGTGCATTTCTGGAGATGATTTATAATGAATGATCATTGACTAATGAAGATTAATTATGATCTTAATGAATCTAGGTTCTAGTTTAGTGTCGAAAAAATAACCTTTGACGACTAAAATCGTTTGATTACATCCAATCCGTACAATTCAATCATTCTGTCACCAATAGTCCAAAACGCAGCATTAGTGCAGTAAAAAACTAGCTGAGAGCATCAATAATGATGAAAACCTGAGTAATATGGATTATAAAATGGTGGAACTCTTACCGACTTGATACAATCGGCCCTCAGGTGAGAATATAGTGATATGTCGATCAAATCCCGCGTTTGAACCCCGAGACATGCTTATAAACACACTTTAGTGACTTTAGCAGCTCAATCCGTCAAATTCACGGTCCTGCAGGGCGAATGTGTTGAAAAGTGCGTCGAGTTGAGAGTGAATAAGCGATTTAAGACTTTCACTTTCTCTTTCATTCAGACGCGTCATTGAACTCGATGAGGAGGAACGTGAACACACACCTGACTCCCTTTCTCTTCCTTTCTCTCTCTCTCACACACACACACACACACACACACACACACACCAGAGAAAAAAAGTAAGAAAATAAAACTGATATTTCTTTATATTTAAATAAGGATTTAGCTAGTTTAGACTGATTCTTGAAGAGTCGGTTAGGATTTGATTCAAACTAAACGATTCACTCACAGAATCGATGCCGTGGTTGCCATGGTGAAGGAGCTTGCACTAGCGCAGTTTGGAGATGATTTCATTTTTTGACATCAACACTGAATACAGTAACAGACTTTATTGACATTCACTAAAGAAAGACTCTGAGGCAGCGGTGCGTTCAGTCAACAGCTCTTTATTAAACCATATCAATTTAAATATTAAAGACACAGAACTATTATTTCGACTGTATTGTGTTTATATGTTCTGCTACTCTTCGGTTACATTTAAATTAGATTCATTCTGCGGTCAACGCTTCATGTTTTTGTCAAACATCCAGGACTTTAACACGTCTTTTTCTTATTGCTGGTTTCTTTGGAAGCTTTAAAAATTATAATGGTTTTGCGACTTTATTCGTCAAACTTTGCCGGTCAGAATAGTCAGATAAAAAGTAGCAAAAACCGTTTTTATTTTTATTTTAATTCCGTGGCGGAAACAAGCTTCCATAGGGTTCTTTCCTCCTAAATCAGTTAAATATTATCAAATCACAACAATGTGTGTGGGCGGAGTCTGTGACCCTCATTGGCTGCTTACAAAAAAGTGCAACATGCAGGGAAAGTGCACTGGCACTTTCTGTCCAACACACACACACACACACACACACACACACTGACTGACCAACTCACCCACTTGACTCACTGACTAACTCACCAAATGACTCACTCACTCACCCACTGACTCACTTATCCACTAACTCACTGACCCACTGACTCACTCACCCATTCACCCAATGACCCACTCACCCACTGACTCATCCACTGACTCGCTCACCCACTGACCCACTGACTCACTCACCCACTGACTCACTCACTGACTCACCCACTGTCTCACTCACTCACCCATTCAACCAATGACCCACTCATCCACTGACTCACTCACCCACTGACCCACTGACTCACTCGCCCACTGACTCACTCACACACTGACTCCCTCACACACCCACTGACTCACTCACTCACCCACTGACTCACTCACTCACTGACTCACCCACTGACTCACTCACTCACCCATTCAACCAATGACCCACTCACCCATTGACTCATCCACTCACTCACTCACCCACTGACTCACTCGCCCACTGACTTCCTCACTCACCCATTCAACCAATGACCCACTCACCCACTGACTCATCCACTGACTCACTCACCCACTGACTCATCCACTGACTCACTCGCCCACTGACTCACTCACAGACTGACTCACTCACTCACCCACTGACTCACTCGCCCACTGACTCACTCACTCACCCATTCAACCAATGACCCACTCACCCAATGACTCATCCACTCACTCACTCACCCACTGACTCACTCGCCCACTGACTCACTCGCCCACTGACTCACTCACACACTGACTCACTCACTCACCCATTCAACCAATGACCCACTCACCCACTGACTCACTCACTCACTCACAGACTCACTCACCCACTGACTCAACTACTCACTCACCGACTCACACACTCACTCACTCACTCGCACACTGACTCACTCGCACACTGACTCACTCGCACACTGACTCACTCACCCACTGACTCACTCACGATTGTTCTCTGCAACTCATCTTATTAATCAAACACAGCTGTGATATCCTGAATATTACGCGATCAACAGGAAGTGGCTGGTGTTCACATCCCAGAACAGTCTCAGTGTGTCATAACAGTTTTCAGCCATGTTCACATCAGCGTATGAAACAGCAGAATGTTTCAGAGATTACATATATATAATATAAAGTAACAGTCACATTATAATCACATTATTACTTCATCATATGTGCACATGTGTCTTATTATATAGAGTTAATTGTACCACTCACTGAAGTATTGCATTACAATATAGATATGAATGTTTAAATATTCAAATGACAAACATGAATATTCATGTGTGGTGGTTTAGGGGCGTGGCTTGAGATGCATGACCGGAGTGAATCAGCACTTAACAGTCTCTTGGATCGAAGTGTCGCTCGTACAGTTGTGCGTTTTAGTTCGATTTCATCTGGGAATGATGGGAATTACATTTCTGAATGTCTAGACCAAAATAGTGAAGCCTGACGTAGTACCGCCTCCATGAGGTTACATAAATCATGTGTTATTCAGAGTGTTTCATCTTATTATAATGACTTCATATATAAGTGTGTGTGTGTGTGTGTGTTTAACCCCTGCGAAGTTCGTGTAGTTGCGCTGCAACTTTCCTCAGCTCCGCCTCGATCTCCAGCAGCTCCTGAACGAGACAGAGTTCATGATCAGCACACGTCGCTTCATCTATATGAGCTCATCTATAATCGGATACACTCAATAAATTACGAATAAACTTTTAGAGCAAAAACACAGCAGTGCTTCTCATCCGGGCGGCCGGGGCCCACGAAGGACCTCAAGATGACCAAAAGATTTGCGGGGAAACAAACTAGACTCCCCATAGACTTCAATACAAAATAACAGCAAAAACCAACGTCCGTACACAGCCGACAGGTGTAAATAACTTAAGAAATCATATATATAAAACATGTCAAGTAATTATATGTCCACCCTGCCTGCCATAGAGCATGAAAGATACATTTTTTTATGCCCGTTATCAACTTGCCCAGGCTACCTGCCATCATCATCATAAATTCATAATATATACATTAAGGTTTTTTACTTTAAAAAACGAAATAAAATCATTCAGAGGCTTTTCCTGGTGTATCGATTAGGTACAAGTAAATGTCCAGGTAAGACACTTAAGTGATTTCTTAAGTTATTTACACCTGTCGGCTGTGTACGGACGTTGGTTTTTGCTGTTATTTTGTATTGAAGTCTATGGGGAGTCTAGTTTGTTTTCCCCCAAAAGTGGGCGTGAACCTATTCAGAGACATTATATGACGCAGCGCCGGTTGTGCGTACATGTTCTCCTCCCACATAAAAACACAATTTCATTCCAAATATGTAAAATTCCACATTAACACTAGATTTCCACGTTAATTTGCCAATTCCGCGATTGCGGAAATTTTTCATTTCCAACCAAAATCCAACGTCTGTCCGAAAATTTGTCTTCGTCAATCCCCCTGACTGACGCTACCACTTTCTACTCAAGGACCTTGACATAATGTGTTGGAGAGTAAAAAGTACGACATTTGTCTTTTAAATGTAGTGAAGGTAAAGTAACAAATTCCCAGAAAAAAAGTACAGATTCTCAAAAAGTGTACTAAACTACAGCACTCAGTAGGGCTGTCACTTTACGTGCGAAGATCGAACCGACCAAACAACACAAGCTTCGAAAACGAAAATAGGGAATCAATTTTAACGTTTATTTTTATTTTTATTTTTTTTACCAAAATTGTGTTTTAGGTTAGGGGTGTGTTTGTTTTGGTGATTTCAAATATAAACAGCGTTTGTCAGAAATTTAAAGTAAAACTATTATGTAGGAATGCATCGATGTGTTTGGGTATTCTTCTTTCAATCTAATGGAGAAAATAAGCTCGCACAATTTATATATAACGCAACCGGAGGCGACGGAGAAACACTGAAAGCAGTCAGGTCGAATGTGTTTAACTCCCTCTGGAAGTGGTGGACGAGCTTAAACCGGTTTACACCCGTTTACACCTGTATTTGCTAGGGCGGTCACTTTTACGTTCGATTGGACCAGCCAACACAAGTTTCGAAAACGAAAACAGGGAATCGATTTTCGATTTTTTTTTTAACCAAAAATGTGTTTTATGTGGACAGATCAATACAGCACACAGAACATGAAGGATACTGGAAAATAATAGCATCTTTTCTGTTCACCGAATGCTTTTAATCTTCGCTATTAAGCGCACCGTTATTTGTTGCGTAATGACGTGTGTGTTCAAGTAAGCCAGAAACGCGCAGATTCTGTAATACGATAGACTTTCACTTTCTTTTTCATTCAGTTGCGTCATTGAACACGATGAGGAGTTATATGTTATATATACAGTATATCTATATATATTTATATTTAATATATATGAAGAGTTCAGATGCAAAAGCCTCTAAATGCCATTTGAAATTTTCTTCTTTAATGATGATTTTTATCAAACTTGTATATTTAAGTTCAGTAATTTCACTTGAATGGCAATGATAATTACCTATTAATTGTTATTTAAGTGAAATTACTGAAGTTAAATATACAAGTTTGATAAAAAATCATCATTAAAGAAGAAAATTTCAAATGGCATTTAGAGGCTTTTGCATCTGAACTCTTCATATATATATATATATATATAAATATATTTATATATATTAGGGCCGGGACTCGATTAAAAAAATGTATCTAATTAATTAGAGGCTTTGTAATTAATTAATCGAAATTAATTGCGTTTTAATTGCATAAATATTTGAACTGAGAACAGTGAGAAGATTTTTTTTCAGATGGTTTTTAGTATACCATTGAATAATGACTGAATACATGAGCTTAAGCAAAAAATATTGTTTATTTTTGTTCAACCAAGTCCAGCAGACCAGTGCAATTGTATATGTTTTGCGTTGAGGTGAACCTGGAGGGTCGATGTGATATGCGAATTCCTTGTTGCATCGCTTGCACACAACCATGCTCTTAATGACGCTTCCATGATCCGTTCATTTTTATAACAAAATTTCCCATCCACGGGACCAACCAAAGCGGTCTCGTCAGCTTCTTCGTTCATGTTCACTGTGGTTTGTTGTTTAGTTGTCTGAAGCATAGACTAAAAAAAAAGTCATGAACGCTAGTTGGTGCTCCGGTATAATCGGTCCGCCGAAACTAATCCAGTGAGAAATGTGCGATTAAAATGCGTTAATTTTTTTGTGTAATTAATTAATGTGTTAAAGTCTGTAATTAATTAATCTTAATTACCGCGTTAAAGTCCCGTATATATATTTAATATATCATGAGGACCACGAGTCGCTTATTTGCGCTAAATCCGCACAGATTTGTCTTACACGAACTTCCCCAGTAAAGTGAGTTAACATAAAAACACGCCAGACTGGCTCGTGATTGGAAGCTCATTTTTACACACATCTGGCGAGTCGGAGGGTGTTAATCTCAATCCCTGAATGGTGCGCTCCTGTTTGTCATTGTGCTGATGCTGAAACTTCATGCCAGTAAATCATCAGGAATATTGCGGACTTGTGCGTCTCAAGCTCCCTCGTTACGCTCATCCTAATGCCTGTTAGGCATTATCTATATTTGGTAGAGCCCGACCGATAAAGGATTTTGAAGGCTGATACCGATACAAATATTTGTTGGTTTTAAAATCCGATATTCCAAAATATCGGCCGATATTTTTTTAATTAATTTTTTTTATTTCAGAAACGCGCAACAAAACATTAACAGATTTCCCTAACATTAGTTATTTGTTTTAACTAAAATAATATGATAATGCATTTTAAAAAAGAAACTTGTTTCTTTTATTGTCACAACAGAACTATATTCTTAGTTCTAAATGAAATATTGAAATATTCATTTATCGGCCATTATAAATGCCGATACCGATAGTTTGGAAACTGCCTAATATCGACCTGCCGATATATCGGTCAGGCTCTACTATTTGGTGTTGAAAATGGAACCGTCTTTAGATGGACAATCGATTTAATGAACACTTATGTCTCAAAGATCGAACGGGATTTTTCACAAAAGTGACCGCCCTAGCACTCACTTTGGTAAATGTACTTTGAACGTAAATCTAGTGAAGCTGTGCTAGACATCGGCAACAACAGATACACACCTCATCTTCATCCTCCTTCTCATGCTGTCGTTCCTCCTCCTCCTCCTCTCCGTCTCTCTCGAACTGTCGCGTGGCTTCGTCGCTGGCGTTCTCCATCTCCCGCTTCTGCTCCTTCACCTCCTCCTTCTGCACGCGCTCCATCTTCCTCATCAGCTCCTGCAGCTCCTCCTGTTTCTCCTCCTCCTCCTTGTGTTTGCTCCAGCCGGCGGTGTCGTTCTTCTGCTCCGCCCGCAGCTGCTTCAGCTCCTCCTCCACCTTCTCCTTCTCCAGCTTCAGCTCCAGCTCGTTCTTCCTCTCCTCCTGCTCGCTCCTCGTGCGCTTCTTCTCCTTCAGCTCCTTCAGCAGCTCCTCCAGCTCCTCGTCTTGTTTCCTCTGGATCTCCTTCGCCCTGATCTCCTCCTGGAGCAGCTCGTCCAGGTCTCGCTCGTTCTTCCTCGCTCCCTCCTCATCTTCATCCTCATCCTCCTCCCATGTGTCGTTGAGCTCATAATCGTCTCTCTCGCGAGAGTATTTGCTCTCTCTCTCTTTCTCTACAGGAAAAGCAGACACGTGTGTCAGATGTGTGTTTTAATAGTCTCACATAACTGGATTAAAGGCCCGTTCACGACTACTGTAGAGCTGATGCACAACTTGCCCTTCGTTACTACTTTGGTAGTAACAATTTGTGGTTGCTGTGTGCAACTATCAACCGTAACCCTACACTGCTAGCATGTTTTTAGCCAAATTATAACACGAAATGCTTGTTTTCAACAAGATGATAAAGGGATAGTTCACTTTGAAATTAATTTTTGATATGTTTTAGATTACCTCAAGTGCATCCAAGATGTAGGTTTATATATATTTAGGTCAAACCGTTTGTCAGTCATATAATGAAGGTCTATGGGGTCCACCAAAGAGCATGCACAGAGAAGTCCAAATTAAACATGATTCAATGACTCGTAAATGACACGAAACGAGCGGTTTATTTGAGAAAACGAACAGTATTTATATTGTTTTTACCTCTTGTTACCTCTTGTACCTCTTGCTCAGATCACTTGGACGTGGCTGTGGTTACAAGAGGTAAAACGATATAAATACTGTTCGTTTTCTCACACAAACCGCTCGTTTCGTGTCTAAGGCCATCAATGTGTACTTACATTTGCGAGTCATTTAATCATGTTTAATTTGGACCTCTCTGTGCTGCTCTTTGAGGTGGTGACCATAGACCTCCAGTGTATGACTCAAACGGTTTGACCTAAAAATGTCAAAATTGAAAATACTGTGGAAACAAAGACACCTACATCTTGGATGCCCTTGAGGTAAGCCAAAACATATCAAAAATTAATTTCAAAGTGAACTATCCCTTTAACATGATTAGCATGTTGTTTGCGTGATGCTAACATGATTAACATGTTTTAGCATGATGCTAACACATTTACCATGTTGTTATGTTTTCAGCAAGATGCTGACACAAATGCCATGTTGCTAACACAATTCACATGATGATGCTACCACGATTACCATGTTGCGTGGCTAATTTGCATATTCATAGAACCGCCCATACTAAATGAGGCAAGGGTGTCCAGTTACATTTCAAGGCAAGAATAATTTTTATTCAATGAAAAAACACTTAAATGTGTAATTTTGGTGGGTTTTAAGGGATAAAATGATTGGCTAGAGGGGGACTTTAAACAAACAGCTGATGGTTGTGACCGGAGTGTTTTACTGACCGTGTTCTGCGAGCTCCTGTAGTTCTCTCAGCAGACCCTCATGTCTCTCATGAGCGTTCAGAGCGTCGTCTGTGGACAAAACCAGCACATAATCACTGACAATCACAGTTCAGTCAAACATGATCGCTCTGTCATCATTCATTGACTCTCGTGAATGTCCAAGTGCGTTTTTGCCGAAGTTACGACGTCACTCTGTAGGCCAAAACGCGGAAGTGAGTTAGCATTTTAGCATTACGGTTCCCTCGCTCTGCTGAAGCGGGATTTTTGAATGGGTTTTTGCTAAATCGCCTGAAATAAGGTCTGTGGTGAATAAAACCTCTAAATATTTTCACGTTTTGATCTATGACATAGAACACACAGTTATAACCTGCTTGTGTTTTTTTTAAACTTTATTGTGTCTGTGTTTTTTAAAATCTGTATAATGTATACATTTTGGATTAACTTGTAAAGATTATCTTGATGGACAAAACATGTAAGGGTCACAAACCAACACAGATCTTATTTTTTGCGATTTTCCAAAAATCTATGGGGAAAATGCATTGCTTTACGACCGAGGGATATGCGCCGCTAGCTTCCGAGTTATCCTACAAAGTGACGTCATCACGTGACCTTTTTTAATAGCTAACAAAAAACATATTTCAAGAACAGTTTTCTGTCATTCTCATAAAGTTTAATGGAAAAGTTATTTCTAAACGAATTCCCCGTTTTTAAATGCTATAAAAACGTTAAGCGAACGTTAAACATTGCATTTTATCATTCTTCAAACATTATGGGAATGTTACATTTTTTTTTAACGTTCTGCAACCACTTTTATTTAATCTTCTTTTTTTGTGCTAACGTTGTCGTTTTCAGAACATTATTAAATACCAGGTAATTTTGAACGAACGTTTCTATTAACGTTACTGGCAGAACGTTTGTTTATAACTTTTAAATAACCTTTCCAAAACGTTAGAACATTCCATGTTGGCTGGGACCAACTAGTTGAACATTCAAGAGATAATAACACGTAACGTTTGACGAGAGATACTCACCCGTGTTCTGTCGGTCACAGCCGTTAGTACTGAACGGGTCGCAGTCAGCCGCGCGCTAGTGTAAACACAAACACACGGGTTAGTTTGCGCACACACACACACACACACACACACACACACACACACATAGAGAGAAGACAGGAATGAACATGTCTCTGACCTGCTCTTCTGGCAGAGGGACACATCTCACTGTAGAGGAGAACAGAAACACAGAAACCATTAAACTATAATGGAATATCGAACGGGGAAGTTTGTTTTGTTGTTGTGTTGAGATGTGGGCGTGGCTATCATAAATGGAGGGGCTCTGAGGTGAAGGGGCGGGGTTTAAGTGAACGAAATTATTAAACATTACAAGGTCAAAACATATGCACCCAGCACGGATGAATAACACATGAGTAAATCGATTCTGTAACATTTATTATTCATCAGTAATTCATAATGAAGAGGCTAAATGATATGACATGAGGCGTCCTCTTGTGTTTATTGGCTTATATTGCCCTCTGGTGACCTTAAATTAATCATTAAAGCGCTTATTACGCGTTAATCTTCAGAGTAAACTATGGAACACCATATCCGCCATTTATATATAAAAAAACCTTTTGTAAATCATTAATATGACTAAAAAAATCTCAATTTTGAATCTGTCATAATTTCAACAAGACTTTGTCATATAACGACGATGAAAGCATGTCATTTTCAAATCATGTCGTATGTTACAATTTTGACATTTTATTTCACTATATTTAGCTATTTTTTTAAATGGCCATCTAGAGGGCGATGCAGCCCTACATGAACGCGCGCGCGTGCCCGCGGCTCGTTTTACCTGCCGGGAGGGCAAATAATCCTCAGATTAACGCAGAACAGCTATTCCTGTCTCACCTGAAGAACTCAAATCAGGCACTAACACACTAATACACCCAACAGGGGTTTGATCGAACAGTGTTGTGTAATAGTTACAAATCATCCGCTGTGAAATAACGATTATACATCCAATATGACCTCAGATCAGCATCCGAACGACCCGTTACACCTCAGGAAATAAACACAGCATTTTCATCAAAGTCTAATGTAGATTTCTACTCACCTCCTGCATAGAGAACACACACCGCAGTCCAGAACGTAAACACACGCATCATACACACACACACGGGAACGCGCAGGGTAGAAGAGATGAAGATGATGATGAAGATTAAAATGACTTCACGTCTGTTTGTGGTGTGTGTGAGTGAGTGAGTGTGTGTGTGTTTGTGGTGTGAGGCTACAGGAAAATCCACCTGGAGGACATGGTGAGCTCTGCGCGCTCCCGCTGCGTGCCAGCGTTCAGATAAAGCCACTGCGCGTGTCCGTCTGCGCGCTCAAGGCTGTTTGGAGATTATTTACTTCTCAGCGAGAGGGAAAAAACACACTCAGGGTTATAATGACCCTTAAACAATTTCCATACAAGTTAAGAATAATTAAATGTACAGACAAAAAAAAAAATAAAGAAAATAAACATGACAAACACTGAAAGAAAGGAGTCACTGAAACCCTTCAGTATTTGCAAAACATGAACAATTTATTACCATTCTGATGTCCATTCAGGTAAGCATGACAAAGATATTAGAAGAATTGAACCAAACAGAGCAACACACACAAGTCCCATCACTCCAGATGTCAGTAATAATAATAATAATATTAATAATAATAATAATAATATCTCATGCCAAGCGCCTTTCATCTGTGTCTGATCTCAAGTAGTTGCCCAGCAGACGGCCTGTACCGAGGCTCACAGTCGGAGGTCTCAGCGCGTGACACACACACACACACACACTGAGAGAGACACACAGACAGACGCACACACGCAGAAACAGACACACACACAAACACACTATCTCTCTCACACACACACTCTCTCTCTCTCTCTCACACACACTCACTCTCTCTCTCTCTCTCTCTCTCTTTCTCTCTCTCAGGCAGACACTCTCTCTCTCTCTCTCTCACACACACACACTCACTCTCTCTCTCTCTCTCTCTCTCTCTCTCTCTCTCTCAGACACTCAGACACACATACACACACACACACACACACACACAGGTAAAGCAGAGGACAGTCCCACATCTTTGGAATGATTCCCTCCATTAAAGCTTCTCCAGGTTTCCAGCGTTCCCCTCAGGGTTCCTGACCCCGTTTGACCCGCATGACTGAACACAGCCGATCACGACCGAGAGCTGAAGGATGAGCAGCACCAGGCTGTTCACGACACACACACACGAGACGGCGGACTCCTTCATGGGTTCGGTCTCCATCAGGAAACGCACGCTTCTCATCCACATTCTGATGAACACGGAGATATCCAAGCACTTGCATAGTGTGATGAGATCCTGAGTGAACTCAGACAGATGAACACGACGACACACACACTTCCTGTTTCGAACGCAAGGACACACGGCTGGGTCACGGTTCCCACAGAACCAACACTGATGTACGGCACACGCGAGGAGAACACTAATGACAACATCTTCTCTGGACAATCTCTAAAAATTAAAATCCGCAGAAATTAAATACAGTGCCGTATAATAATTGTACTTGAGTTGTATAATTCTTTTGGCCTTACAGGATTTGGGAAATGTGCTTAAATGTCATGAGAATGCTATGTTTTTTTATAGATATAAATAAAATTAAGGAAATAATTTTAATAATATATAACAAATATTTTCCACACAGAATATGTGTGTGTATATATATATATGAAGAGTTCAGATGCAAAAGCCTCTAAATGCCATTTGAAATTTTCTTCTAGAATGGTCATTTTTATTTAATGGTCATTTTTAAGTTCAGTAATTTCACTTAAATGGCAATTACTAGGTAATTATCATTGCAATTTAAGTGAAATTACTGAACTTAAATATACAAGCTTGATAAAAATCATCATTTTAGAAGAAAATTTCAAATGGCACTTAGAGGCTTTTGCATCTGAACTCTTCATATATATACACACACACACAAACTGTGAAATGAATATTGTATTAAATATACTGTAAATATATTTCTTGCAAATATATATATAAAATAAGAAATTATATTAGAAAAACATTAAATGTTACATATATTTCTAATACAATTTCTTAATTCATATATATATATATATATATGTGTGTGTGTGTGTGTGTGTGTGAAAGTTCATATTTCTAATATATATTTTTTCAAATAAAAAAATGCAAGAAATATCTTTACAATATATTAATACAAGATGTTTTTTTTCACAAAGTATACATATTTTATAAAATATACATTTATATCAATATATATACTTTGTAAAAAATATTCATTGTATTTGTAATGTATACTAATATATATATATATATATATATATATATAGCTGAAACTTTCTTGATTTTCTTTGTGAAAAATATGAAATGTTGATTTTGTGGTGCCGTGACCCGGCCGCGTGCGCTCTTGGCCGGTTTCTTCAGATTCGGCGCTACAAACACACGGCAGTGACGCGACAGACCGAATCATTACAGAAATGAAACAAACAAGCGTGTTTTCAGTCAGTACAGTTTTACTAGATATAGAGCAGCTGAGAGACGTATAAAACAGACACCGAGAGCAGAAACACACACACACACACACCGCTCTGATGCTCCATAAGGCTGAATGGGGTTTTCACAGACGGTACCATTCAAAAGAGAAACACACCACAAATGAATCAACAGAAATCTGCCGGTTAGAAGCACCATCGCGATTGGTCGAATCTCTGAAGCGGCCTCTCGTGGCGAGGAGGAAATCAAGATGAAATGGGTTTTGCATCAGTCAGTACGAGGCGGAGTCTGTCATTGGTGGAAGTCCCTGTCAGTCAAGGAGGGGGGCGGGGCATGACGAGCACAGCTCGATCTCTCAAAGCGACGGCTCCCACGATCCCCCTCTCGCTCGCGTCTTCGCTTCATAGCACTGCGTATAAAAATCATTTGGATCATAAAGTCTCTCGGTTCATATTGTGATTTTCCTATACCGGCGTATTTACAAAACTCAGCGGCTGTAGTAAACATCTGGCGTATAAGTGCTGAGAAACCTCTCGTACCTCGGACAGGAATAAGAACGCATCGTAACGGATAAACACACGGGAATGAGATCGACACGAACTCGAACGCAGGAGGAAGTTCGCCGTGGAGGTCAGAGTTCATGCAGGCCAATGGACACAGAATGTAAACGACGTCTAGATGAACGGCCGGCTCAGGCCCGAAGCCCTTTTAAAAAGCACCGTTCCTCGTCCAGCCAATCAGATCGCTCGCCTTCCTGCTCTCCCTTCCGTAATATAATAGTTCTTCTGTATTTCCTTTATAATAAACTTAGTTAAGTACAATAAAGTAGAAAAATATTAGAGAACATATGCACAGTTAGTTTGTGTGTGATCTGTAGTGACTCGTGTTGTTTGAGTGTGTGTGCTGGGCTACTGGAGCACCGGCCGAACGACTCGGTGAACAAGAAGAAGAAGGAGGAGGAGGAGAAGTCAACGTTCAGCCCTTCCACCGGCTTGATGCTCATATCGTCGACGTTCTGTCCATCCCGTCTGCAGAGAGAGAGACATAAACCCGTGTTAAAGGCTGCATGAGATCAAAAATGAACTGATTTTTAATGGATATTGCAGTGTTTATTCTAAATAATTTATCGGTGCTCATCATTATTGTGTTCAAATCAAGAGAAAATCCAGCGTTTAATCTTGTTTATGTGTGTATGTGGTGTTTTTAATACGCTTTAACACACACCATGTGTACGTTCATAAGTGGACAGCATTGCTGAGTATTTCCTCCTGAACCAAAGACATGCTTTGAAATCTCCTGAGAGAATGATTCACTCGTTTCATTACTGGAGGAATCAGCGTTTTTGAACGAATCTCCTGAGTGAATGATTTAATGACTCACTCATAAAGACCTTTTCATTACTGGATGAATCAGCGTTTTTGAACGAATCTCCTGAGAGAATGATTCAATGATTCACGCAAAGACTTCACTCGTTTCATTACTGGATGAATCAGCGTTTTTTGAACGAATCTCCTGAATTAATGATTCAATGACTCACTCATAAAAATTTCTTCATTACTGGATGAATCAGCGTTTTTTGAACAAATCTCCTGAATGAATGATTCAATGACTCACTCATAAAGACCTTTTCATTACTGGATGAATCAGCGTTTTTTGGAACAAATCTCCTGAGAGAATGATTCAATGACTCACTCATTGAGAGAGAGAGAGACATAAACCCGTGTTAAAGGCTGCATGAGATCAAAAAGTGAACAGATTTTTAATGGATATTGCAGTGTTTATTCTAAATAATTTATCGGTGCACATCATTATTGTGTTCAAATCAAGAGAAAATCCAGCGTTTAATGTTGTTTATATGTCTATGTTGTGTTTTTAATCCGCTTTAACACACACCATGTGTAAGTTCATAAGTGGACAGCATTGCTGAGTATTTCCTCCTGAACCAAAGACATGCTTTGAAATCTCCTGAGAGAATGATTCACTCGTTTCATTACTGGAGGAATCAGCGTTTTTGAACGAATCTCCTGAGTGAATGATTTAATGACTCACTCATAAAGACCTTTTCATTACTGGATGAATCAGCGTTTTTGAACGAATCTCCTGAGAGAATGATTCAATGATTCACGCAAAGACTTCACTCGTTTCATTACTGGATGAATCAGCGTTTTTTGAACGAATCTCCTGAATTAATGATTCAATGACTCACTCATAAAAATTTCTTCATTACTGGATGAATCAGCGTTTTTTGAACAAATCTCCTGAATGAATGATTCATAAAGACCTTTTCATTACTGGATAAATCAGCGTTTTTTGAACAAATCTCCTGAGAGAATGATTCAATGACTCACTCATTGAGAGAGAGAGAGAGACATAAACCCGTGTTAAAGGCTGCATGAGATCAAAAAGTGAACAGATTTTTAATGGATATTGCAGTGTTTATTCTAAATAATTTATCGGTGCACATCATTATTGTGTTCAAATCAAGAGAAAATCCAGCGTTTAATGTTGTTTATATGTCTATGTGGTGTTTTTAATACGCTTTAACACACACCGTGTGTAAGTTCATAAGTGGACAGCATTGCTGAGTATTTCCTCCTGAACCAAAGACATGCTTTGAAATCGCTGGTGTTTCTGACGTCACAAACGACCTTGTAACCAATCAGATCAACGTGTGATAGTCAACCAGTGGATCTCTGAGTGAGCAGAGCTCATTTGCATATTCATAGAACCGCGCATACTAAATGAGACAAGGGTGTCGGGTTACATTCAAGATATTTTAAGGCATGAAGATTTTTTTTAAGGAAAAAACTTTTAAATGTGTCATTTTGGTGATCAAAGATGATTTAAGGGACTGATTCATGTAATCTTGAATGGAGAATATGACAATGGAGAATATGAGGAGAATAATCAACATTCAAGCAGGAAAACCTGTTCTAGTAGAGCCTGAAAACATCAAGACTTATTATGGCCAGTTCAAAGCTGTGATTGGATGATGTGTGATGGTGCTGCGCTGTGATTGGCCGTACCTCCTAAGGCATGCTCTGTCATGCTGAGGCACAGAGACTCCAGCGTGGGGTTAATCTCCAGATCGGTCCCCGGAACTTGGCATTCTGGGAACAATAAACAAGAGCATGGTATTCAGTGGAGATCAAGCCATGCAGCAACAACAGCGAACACAGAGAACATGTGCAGGAATCAATGAGGTGGAGTGGAGTTATGCAGCATTTTAGACTTCCCTGGAGACTTCGCTCGTTTCATTACTGGACGAATTCGTTTTTGAACGAATCTCCTGAGTCAATGATTCAATGACTCACTCATAAAGACCTTTTCATTACTGGGTGAATCAGCGTTTTTGAACGAATCTCCTGAGAAAATGATTCAATGATTCACTCAAAGACTTCACTCATTCTATTACTGGACGAATCAGTGTTTTTAAATGAATCTCCTGAGAGAATGATTCCATTATTCACTCAAAGACTTCACTCGTTTCATTACTGGACGAATCAGCATTTTTGAACAAATCTCCTGAATGAATGATTCAATGATTCACTCAAAGACTTCACTCGTTTCATTACTGGATGAATCAGCGTTTTTTGAACGAATCTCCTGAATGAATGATTCAATGACTCACTCAAAGACTTTTTCATTACTGGATGAATCAGCGTTTTTTTAACGAATCTCCTGAATCGAGGATTCAATTATTTACTCAAAGACTTTACTCGTTTCATTTCTGGACGAATCAGTGTTTTTGAACAAATCTCCTGAGTGAATGATTCAATGACTCACTCATAAAGACTTTTTCATTACTGGACGAATCAGCGTTTTTGAACGAATCTCCTGAGTGAATGATTCAATGACTCACTCATAAAGACTTTTTCATTACTGGATGAATCAGCGTTTTTGAACAAATCTCCTGAGTGAATGATTCAATGACTCACTCATAAAGACCTTTTCATTACTGGATGAATCAGCGTTTTTTGGAACAAATCTCCTGAGTGAATGAATGAATGATTTAATGACAAATACATATTAATATAAATTATGTATTGATGCGTGTACACAAGTTTTGGGAAATTTTTGTTAAATTATTTGCGAGAAGTTCACCTGCATATAAATAATAAATAAATCAGGCAATTATTATCTGTTCAGTGTGCTTTGGTCTTCAGAAGGCTGAAGGTCTGACTAGCGTCCGGAGATCAGGTGTGTGTGTGTGTGTGTGTGTGAGTACCTTGCTGTTGGAACAGAAGCATGGTCTGTGGAGACGTGTGAACGGGGAGAGAGTGTGTCCTCTGCACAGAACTCCTGCTCTGGCTCGGCATGCTGTTACTGCCTCCAGGATTCCCGAACCACAGGTTCTGAAACACACCATCACAGAGAACCGTATTAGTGTGTACAGGCCTGAGTCTCAGGCTTCGCTGTGGTGTGTGACTGACCTGTCGGCCCTGTGCGCTGACGGCCGCGGGGTTAGCGAGCGAGTGTCGCGGTGACGCTCCGGTCAGACCGCCGGCAGTCATCAGGCCCATGCGTCCGGGAGGCGGGGCTCCTCGCGCGGGCATCGGGAAGGGCCTCTGCCCACGTCTGCCCAATCCTGCGCTCACAGATCCAGCTGTGGGCAGAGAGTTCGATCCGTACGCCGGCCACCTGCGCAAACACACGGGATTCATCGTGAGCAGCAGCGCCGCGCGGCAGAGAGACTAGCGCTGCACCATTAATCGCGATGTTGAAACCGCAAAGGCTGTGATTGTTTGTTATGTGCAGCTTGTCAGTGAAGCACGGCTCTCCGTCTGAGTTTGAGTCGCTTATAACGTGCATTTGAAAAACATCTTTCCAAACATGAGGGGCATTTGTGAACCTCTTGTCCTTAGAGGAGTAGCTCACTTTTAAAAAACTTTTGCTGATAATTTACTCACCCCCATGTCATCCAAGATGTCCATGTCTTTCTTTCTTCAGTCGAAAAGAAATTAAGGTTTTTGATGAAAACATTCCAGGATTTTCTCCATATAATGGACTTCAATGGGGTCCAAACGGTTCAAGGTCCAAATGAGAGTTTCAGTGCAGCTTCAAAGGGCTTTAAACGACACCAGATGATGAATAAGGGTCTTATCAAGCGAAACGATCGCTCATTTAATAAATAAATAACAAAAGTTTAAGTTTTATAAGCTCAAATGCTCGCCTTGCTCAGTTCTGTGATGCTCGTTCGTGACTCGTTCGATGTTCGTGACATCAAAATGAACAAATCTTTTTTCGTGTCATTTGGTTCATTCAACGAACAAAATGAACAAGTTGACTCGAGAAAAGATTCGTTCATTTTGATGAACGAGTTCGAATATGAGTCATGATCGCGCATCACAGAACAAAGCAAGGCGAGCATTTGAGCTTATAAAACTTAAACTTTATATATATTTTTTTTAATGAGTGATCGTTTCGCTAGATAAGATCCTTTTTCATCGTCTGGAATTATTTAAAGCCCTTTGAAGCTGCACTGAAACTCTCTTTTGGACCTTGAACCGTTTGGACCCCATTGAAGTCCATTATATGGAGAAAATCCTGAAATGTTTTCATCAAAAACCTTAATTTTTTTTCGACTGAAGAAAGAAAGACATGGACATCTTGGATGACATGGGGGTGAGTAAATTATCAGCAAAAGTTTTTTTTAAAAGTGAACTACTCCTTTAAGGACATGCTTTTACTCCAAATTCAATTCATGCACCGACAAACTGGGCATCACACAATCGCAGCCTTTGCCACACATGGCGCGCGATTAAACGCACAGCGCTGAGAGAGACGCGAGCGGACCGCAGCACACGCACCCTCTCCGGTACACGCCGCTGTCCATCATGGTTTTCCGCGGGAAGAGGCGGAGCAACTTCAGCACCTGCTGTTTCCACGATAGCAGCCGCTTCTTCTGCGTCTCTGTGAACGCCTGACAAACACAGCCTCGTTACTGATCGACAGAACACACTAGGGGTGTAACGAGACCCTCACGTCAGACATTTAGTGTTATCAGCACCCACAAATATTCCCCCATTGCATTATTATACATTATAGTAGTTTAATATAGTACTGACACTCACCTCGTGTGTAAGACATTTCTCTATGAGCTGCAGGTAACAGCTGATGTTCTCCTCATCCGGTCTCGACACCAACAACTGCGTACACACTGAACACACACACACAATCCCAGTCAGATCTCACCATGCTCAATATTAATACTGATTAATCAGATAACACGCTAATAATCATCATATGTTAGTACACACACTGTAAAGTTAAATTCCAAGACTTTCAACTAATATTTATTTTATTTATTTTCAGCTTTATTCTAATTAACAGAAATGTTTTAAGAGTTTTAGATAACACTGTTTTTTTTTCATCATAACATGTTAAGATGAAACAACTCAATACTGTGTGTTTATTTGCAGTAAAATAGACTGTGGTATATAAAGGAACTATTGAAGTTAACCAGAAAAGAAGAATTAAATTACAAGAACAAACAAATAAAAATAAAGACGCATATTAAAAACATGTTTTAAATAAAAACATTACAAAAAATAAAAAATTGCAAGTTTTTGCAAAATTGCAAAAAATTCAAAGTTTATAATTAAGTATAAATTAAGTAAATAAATAAATAAAGTATTTGCATCATTTATATATATATATATATATATATATATATATATATATATATATATATATGAAGAGTTCAGATGCAAAAGCCTCTAAGTGCCATTTGAAATTTTCTTCTTTAATGATGATTCTTATCAAGCTTGTATATTTAAGTTCAGTGATTTCACTTAAATGGCAATGATAATTACCTATTAATTGTTATTTAAGTGAAATTACTGAACTTAAATATACAAGTTTGATAAAAATCATCATTAAAGAAGAAAATTTCAAATGGCATTTAGAGGCTTTTGCATCTGAACTCTTCATATATATATTTATATATATAATTTCCTCAAATTACTTATAATCTGCATGAATTTTTGGAAAACAATAAAATATAAACAAGTTTAAATAATGTCTAGATTAAGGTTAAATCACTAATATATAAATCTGGTTATTGTGGATTTAAAAATCATTCAGATTTACCCAAATCTCACTCTCACTTGCTTCATTTATTGTGCATCATGGCACAAGTTTATAATTAAGTATTTGCATCCATTATGTATATTTTTGAAAAAAAATATATAAATAAATAATAAATAATATATAATAATAAATCTATATAATATATATATATATATATATATATATATATATATATATATATATATTCCTTTTAATCAGTATGAATGTTAATTGTGAAAACAATAAGTCTAGAATGTAATATGCATATATAATATGGATATATAAAATGCAATTTTCTGAGCGTAGTGAACCTGAACTGTGTGTGTGTGTGTGTACCTTTCCCCATCACACGCGTGAACTGCCCCGCGATGTCTCCGTCAGAGATGGGCGCGGTCGAGGACTCTCCATCACACGCTGGAGGATTGTGGGTCTGGAAGCCCTCGGGCTCCTTCTCTTCGCCGGGATTGGCTGCTTTATCGACAGGTGTAACTCCAGGCTCCACCTCCTTCTGGGCCGCAGTGGGCGGGGCATAGACTTTGATTGGCGTGATGATGATCAGCTGAAGCTCTTGCAAAGCATTCCGGACGTTCCCGCCTTCCAGAATATCCTGAAATCAACAACACGTTCAATGATGAGCACGATGAGAACGTGACGGAGCGCAGGTCCAGATCTTGCTGAATCGCTCACCTTCTCAAGAGACTTCAGGACGCTCTGCCGCTCTCGAAGCTTCTGTATGCTCAGAGCGATCTTGTGTCGCGCTCCCTTCGTCACGTTCTGAAAGAAACAGAGTCTGATGAAGGGCACAGCAAACGTGGCATACACTGATCCACTTTCAGAAGTTCACATTGTGAACGTGTGGTAGGCGGGGCTTAGCTGCTCAGGTGTTGATGTGGGCGGAGCTCACCTGCGACTCCAGGTGTTTCTCTGTGAGAATCATCATCTCTTCGTACGTCATCTGAGAAAACAGCGACGCGTATTTATGCAGACGAAGACTCTTCAGCCAGGCTGGCACGTCTGGAGGAGGGACAACACACAAAGCCAGTGAGATGACATTTCTCATGCGGTGAAATAAGATATGTGTGTGTGTGTGTGTGTGTGTGTGTGTGAGCTCAGCCTGGTCACCTTTCATTCCACTGCCGTCCTCCTGAAACGTGTTGCGCGCGTTGCTCTGATCCTCCGTCTGCTCGCTGCCCGACGACGCGACGCTGCTCTGGGGCGACAGGGGGGCGTGTTCTGCCCCGGACACGCCCTGACACGCCTCCTCCTGGCTCAGCCAATCAGAGCTGCAGGCTGGCTGATTGGCAGGCGTGAGTGACATCGAGGGCTTCAGTGGGTTTGGGTGCACCTGACCAGGCAGTCCTGTGGAGCGATTATTCAAAATGAGTGAGCGGCATATAAATGGGGCATATATTTAGAGATGGGCAACGATTAATCGCGATTAATTGCATCCAAAATAAGAGTTTGTGTTAAAATAATATTTGTGTGCACTGTGTATAACTATTTTTACATATATATATATATATTAGGGCTGTGCAAAAATTAATTGCGATTAATCGCATCCAAAATAAAAGTCTGTGTTTACATAATATATTTGTGTGTGCTGTATATAATTATTTTGTATATATAAATACCTATGCATGCATGTATATATTTAAGAATTATTTGCGCTTAAATTCTGTATATATATATATATATATAAATACATAATTTATATTATATAAATATAAATATTTTATATATGAATAACACATTTTCTTAAATATATACATGCATGTGTTTGTATTTATAGATACAAAATAATTATACACAGCACACACAAATATATTATGTAAACACAGACTTTTATTTTGGATGCGATTAATCGCAATTAATTTTTGCACAGCCCTAATATATATATATATATATATATATATATATAAATTTAAGTTTAAAATATGTATAATTATATATATAAATATAAATTATGTATATAATATATATATATATATATATATATATATATATATATATATATACAGTATATGCAAATATTTCTTAAATATAAGCATGCAAATGTGTGTATTTATATATATATATATATATATATATATATATATATATATATATATATATATATATATTATGTAAAGAACTTCTATGTTGGATGTGATTAATCATTTTGGATGTGATTAATCACTATATACACGTTTTAAACACGGCTAGAAATAAGACAAGTAAGATTTAATTAGTTTCTTAAATAAATTGATTGGATTATAAATATGCAGACCAGGTTTTTGAGTATTTAATACACATTCAGTTTTTTAGTACTATTCTATAAATGTAATCATTTAATTTATGTAAGACTGACAAATATGCATCGCATCATATCATTAGTTAAACTGTGGAATCTGAATGCCAGGAAAAGGTAAAAAGTCAAAAGTCTTCATTATTAGGCTTTAAAATTGCAGTGAACCTGAACACACTAATTTCATGCGCGTGTATGTGCGACGTCTGCCTTTCCTGCTTACCCAGAGTCTTGTTTTACACAACCATTGAGGAATTTTACCCAAAGTATGTAACGAACTTTACTTTACAGGAAGACCCGGAAGAATCACACCAACTTGTGGAAAATGGGGATCCGAAGCCCCCTTTAAAAGGGTTAGTTGACCCAAAAATGAAAATTCTGTCAGTATTTATTTACTCACCCTCATGTTGTTCCAACCCCGTAAGACCTTCGTTCATCTTCGCAACACAAATTAAAATATTTAAGATATTAAGATCGCTCCTGCATGCTAGTCCATAGGCTTCTTGCTGGCATCGAAAAGTCATTAAAGACATCGTTAAAATAGTCCAAGTGACTACAGGGGCTCAATCTTAAGTTTATCAAACGACAAGAACACTTTTTGTGCGCAAAAACAAACAAAAATAACGACTTTGTTTCAACTATTCACTTCCTTCTCCATGGGCCTGTAGTCAGTTAACGTAGTGTGATTGCGTAAAGCTACGTCACACGAAGGCTCACTATTGGCCGACGCTGGTCATGTGTGTGATGCGTGTGACGTACAATAACAGAAGCTTACGCTATTAAACTAGTAACCTGACTCGCGCAGAGGGAGAAATAAACCAATAGTTGAAATAAAGTCGTTATTTTTGTTGTTTTTGTGTTCTCGTAGTTTGATAAACTTAAGATTGAGCCACTGTAGTCACTTGGACTATTTTAACGATGTCTTTAATGACTTTGAGGACAGCAAGAGTCATTCCCTCAAGAAGCCTATGGACTAGTATACAGGAGCGATCTTAATATCTTAAATATCTTAATTTGTGTTTTGAAGATGAACGAAGGTCTTACAGGGTTGGAACAACATGAGGGTGAGGAAATACTGACAGAATTTTCATTTTTGGGTGAACTAACCCTTTAAGGCACAAGCTGAGTCACCTGTGTTGACGGGCGATGAAGTACAAATATTTAAAAAGCTAGTACTATTGTAAAAATAAAATCAACCCAGTGCGCTGGGTTAAATAAATAACCCAATTTGCTGGGTAAAATTAACCCAGCATGCGTTCGGTCCTATATTGACCCAGAACTTGGGTTAAAACACCCCGAAATTTGTGTTTTTTAGAGACTAGTCAGCACAAACTTGGCCAACTTTACCCCTTCCCTATGCCCATCTCAGAGCAGACGGGAAGGCGCTGGTTACCTGTGTTGACGGGCGAGGTGACGCCCCCTGTGCCGGGGAAAGGCATGTGCCCGTTCTGGCCGGCCGGCGAGCTACAGGACGGCAGCTTCTCCTGCCAGGAGTACGCCGGCTCCAGGGACTCGGCCGAGCAGGGCCACTCGTCGGAGCCCTGCCGGGCGTGGTGGTACGGGCCGGGCGGGGGCGGCCGGCTCGACAGGTGCTCCTCCAGGTGATTGAGCCACATGGCCAGGGAGTTGCGGTCGTCCAGCGTGGTGGCGGGGTGGATGAGGGCGTAGGACAGCAGCTGCCGGCTCTCCTCCACGAACAGGCTGCTCTCGATGGTGTGGCTCAGCACCTTCTGCAGGAGGTTCATGTACTCGCACTTGGCTTCGCTGTTGCGTGGCTGAAGCAGGGGGAGATGGGACAGCAGGAGGGACACGGCCTTCTCCTTCGGCTCCTGCTGCCACTGGCTCACGATGGCTACAGAGACAGAGGGAGAGCGTAGGTTTATTTATAACTATTCAAAACATAAGACACCGTTCATGCAAACATTACTCACTTATTAACTATTTGATCTGCCTGCACTGACACTGTTATTCAAGAACTGAGCTGGACGATGACATCACGGTTTACTCTAAAGCGGCTATATATATATAAATAAACTAAATTAATAACTTTTTTACAACAAAAATCTTTTCTTTCTTTAAAAAGATTTACAAAAGTTTGGAATAACTTAAATTTGTAAAATATTGTCTCTTCAAAAAAAAAAGGCTCTTCTGCTCACCAAGGCTAAATAAAAAAATTATGTAATTATTATAATGTAAAACAGCTGTTTTCTATGTGAGAATATAATGTACCGACTGACAATGACTACACAGAGATGGGTGGAGATTAGGGCGTCACTTTACGTTTGAAAAGCAGTTGCACAAATCGATCGGACCGACCAACAAAAGCTTCGAAAACGAAAATAGGGAATCGATTTTAATCAACTATGTACACTATTCATTTTAAAATAATTAAACAAATAAAAATAAGATAGATGTAACAAAACAATAAAAATAAAATAATGAATTCTCACCAATTTTACGCACATCTACAAGTGAAACTCTGAAACATTCGAATATCGTGCAAAAGTTCATTTATTTCAGTAATTCAACTATTTGATCTGCCTGCACTGACACTGTTATTGAAGAACTGAGCTGGACGATGACATCACGGTTTACTCTAAAGCGGCTATATATATTAATAAACTAAATTAATAACTTTTTTATAACATCACTGAACTTCCTTAAGCTGTACTGTGATGCTATTCTCTTCTGGACTTCTGAAACACTCTGTACTGTAAAAGTGTATAAATAAAGCTGACTTGATTTGGTTCTTTTCTTCCTTTAAAAAGATTTGGAATAATTTAGATGTATAAAATATTCTCTTCAAAAAAAAAGTCTCTTCTGCTCGTCAAGCCAAAATAAAATACAGTTAAAAATGTAATTATTACAATGTAAAACAGCTGTTTTCTATGTGAGAATAGAGTTAAGTGTAATGTACCGAGTGACGATGCATACAGAGAGAGAGAGGGAGATTAGGGCGTGTCACTTTACGTTTGAAAAGCGGTTGCGCGATCAATCGGACTGACCAACAAAAGCTCCGAAAACAGAAATAGGGAATCGAATTTTAACCAAATATGTACACTGTTAATTTTATTAATCAAATAAAAAAAAAGATAGATTTAACAAAACTCACAAACAAGCAGAAAAAGAAAATGAATTCCCACCAATTTTACACACAACATTTGAATGTCGTGCAAAAGTTAATTTTAGTAACTCAACTTAAAAGGTGAAACTAATATATAGACTCGTTACATGCGAAGTGAGATATTTCAAGCCTTTATATTTGTTATGTTGATGATTATGGCTTACAGCTTATGAAAACACCAAAGTTCAAATTGGGATTTTGTGAAAAGGTTTTCATATTTCATGCTTTTATTTTTAAATATTACTCATTTCATTTTTTTCTTTTGACTAGGTTCTTCCTTTAAAACAAGATTTTGAAAAAAGGTTTTTAAGGTTGTAAATAACATTGTAAAAAATGTTTTGTTTTTGAAAAGTCGTCTCTGTTCTCACCAAGGCAAAAACACAGTAAAAATTGTGAAATTATATAATTCACATAGAAAACAGCCGTTTTTCATTATACTAATATTTCACTGGTTTTTTACTATATTTTCCCCTTTACTGTATTTATCTGTCCTTATCTTTTTAAAGGAAGAAAATAACCTAGTCAAATTAAAATAGTGAAATGAGCGAGTATGAACGGTTAAGTTTAGAACAGTTCGAAATAAAAGCATCATACCCGCACAATAAAACTAAGATCTCCGCCTCTCTCTCTCTCTCATCAGTCAATAAATGACACTTAACTCTATTCTCACATAGAAAACAGCTGCTTTACAGTAAAGTGTAATTTATTCCTGTGATCAAAGCATCATTACTCCAATCTTCAGTGTCACATGATCCTTCAGAAATCACTCTAATATCATTATCTGATGCTCAAGAAATATTTGTGGTTATTATCTTTGCTTCTTATTTTTGTAAAATCCATGATACCCCAAACTTTTGAATGGCAGTGCAAGTAAAAAAAAAGAAAGAAATTATTACTTTTATTCAGCAAGAAAGCATTAAATTAATCAAAAGTTACAGCAAAAATATTCATAATGTTACAGAAGATTTACTGTGGTGTAAAAAGCGCTATATATATATATATATATATATAAAGGAGAACTTTCTATTCATCAAAGAATCCTGAAAAATCAGTGACAGGTGATCATCATCACAACTGTTATGACACTTATAAAAGAGCAGCATGTGGATGCACAGTAAATTAATTCTATTTTGATGAACTAGGCTATCCCTTTAAAATTAATACACACGTCTGAAGACCAAGCTCCAGTCCTTCGGTGCGGATTATGATGGTTTTACCTGCATTGTTGGCTTCTGCCTCTAGTATGTGTATCTCTGTGCAGTCGGCCAGCCAGTGGTCCAGACAGATGTGCAGAAACCGGGCCTGTGTCCGAGAAACACGCTTCAACAACGACAACAGCGCCACCGTCTGTTCACACTCGTTCCAGCTCTTAAACCAGTCTGTCAAAATCCCCACTTGGTCCCGGAACATCATGGCGAGCTTCTTGAGAATCAGGGGCGGGGCTTAGGGGAGGGGGCGGGGTCTGTATAAAATGGGGCGGGGTTACAGGCAAGCGCTCCAGTCCACTCAGAGATGCATTGGAAACCCCTCACATGGTTCTGGAGCACAGCGGACGCCACCGAGGCAGGGGTCAGGTGCTGGGGGTCAGAGGTCAAAGCTCACAGGTGGGAAGGATCCGTGAGGAAACGTAGACGCGTCTAGCGCATCTTCACTTCACGTACACGGATGCCGGCAGCTGCAGACACAAAACACGCGTGTTTAAAAAATAAAGCACACTGAAACTAGGGATGCACCGATAATTCTTTATATTTGAAAGCCGATTACCGATAAATTGGCCGATAAATCTAAATTAAATTATTTTTATAATTTTTAGAGCCCGATTACAAAAACAAAAATCTAACCATTAAAAGCCATGACCCAAACACAATTATAATGTTCATGCATCCTATAGTCCCTACTTGTTGCACTGAACTGTATTTCCCTTTTTTTGAAGTAATTCCAATCATATTTCAGGCAATTCAAAACCATCACGTCTCAGCTGAAGGAAATAATCCATTATTTATTGGTATTAATATATCGGCCCAATAAAGATAACTTTACAAATGAACATTTGTTGGACGATGCCGATATATCGTGCATCCCTGACTGAAACCCAACCAAACCTGAGGCGGTTCCTGTCTGAGACTCGTGCATCTCTCTTTCTGTCTCAGATTATAACAGAGCTAACACATAATCAGATTCCCACCGTACTGCAGACCACAGCAACTCTCAGCGGAGGATTACATCCATCCCCACAGCGGAGCTGGACCCACACGCTACTCAACTACTCACATCCAGCACAGAGTACAGGGGAAAATCAGTCAGGCAGGGGGGAAAATCAGCCAGACGAACGGGAAATCAGCCAGACGAACTTAAAATCAGAAAGAGCATGGTAAAATAATCAGTCAGATAAGGGTAAAAATCAGTCAGAGGAACGTAAAATCAGTCAGACGAACGTAAAATCAGTCAGACGAACGTAAAATTAGCCAGACGAACGTAAAATCAACCATATGAGACTAGAATCAGCCAGACGAGAGTAAAATCAGCCAGACGAGAGTAATATCAGCCAGACAAACGTAAAATTTGCCAGACGAACGTAAAATCAACCATATGAGACTAGAATCAGCCAGACGAGAGTAAAATCAGCCAGACGAGAGTAATATCAGCCAGACAAACGTAAAATCAGCCATGAACGTAAAATCAGTCAGACGAACGTAAAATTAGCCAGACGAACGTAAAATCAACCATATGAGACTAGAATCAGCCAGACGAGAGTAAAATCAGCCAGACGAGAGTAATATCAGCCAGACAAACGTAAAATTTGCCAGACGAACGTAAAATCAACCATATGAGACTAGAATCAGCCAGACGAGAGTAAAATCAGCCAGACGAGAGTAATATCAGCCAGACAAACGTAAAATCAGCCATGAACGTAAAATCAGCCAGATGAAAGTAAAATCAGCCAGACGAACGGGGAATTAGCCAGACGAACGGGAAATCTGACAGATGAGGGGTAAAATCATATAGATGAGGGGAAAAAACAAATAGGGGAGGGTAAAATTAGCCAGACAAGAGTAATATCAGCCAGACGAGAGTAAAATAAGCCAGACAATGGTAAAATCAGCCAGACGAACATAAAATCAGCCAGACGAAAATAAAATCAAATAGATGAGAGGAAAAAACAAATAGAGGAGGATTAAATCTGTCAGACAAACTTAAAATCAGCCAGAAGGGAGTAAAATCAGCCAGACGAACATAAAATCAGTCAGGAGAGGGTTAAATCAGACAGAAAGAGTAAAAATCAGCCGCGGGTAAAATGAGAGAGAGCATGATAAAATAATCAGTCAGATAAGGGTAAAAATCAGCCAGAGGAACGTAAAATAAGCAAGACGATGGTAAAATCAGCCAGAAAAATGTAAAATCAGCCAGACGAATGTAAAATCAGCCAGACGAATGTAAAATCAGCCAGACGAGAGTAAAATCACACAGACAAGTGTAAAATAAGCCAGATGATGGTAAAATCAGCCAGAAAAAAACTTAAAATCAGCCAGACAAACGTAAAATCAGCCAGACGAATGGAAAATCAGCCAGACGAGAGTAAAATCACCCAGACAAGTGTAAAATAAGCCAGATGATGGTAAAATCAGCCAGACGAGAGTAAAATCACCCAGACGAGGGTAAAATCAGCCAGAAGAGGGTAAATCACATAGATTAGGTTAAAATCAGTCAGATGAGCATAAAATCAAATATATGAGGGGAAAAAACAAATAGAGGAGAATAAAATCAGTCAGACAAACTTAAAATCAGCCAGACAAACATAAAATCAGCCAGGAGATGGTTAAATCAGAAAGAAGGGGTAAAAATAAGAATAAGAGAGAGGAGGGTAAAAATCAGCCAGACCAACGTAAAATCAGTCACACGCGGGTAAAATCAGAGAGAGTATGGTAAAATAATCAATCAGATAAGGGTAAAAATCATTAAAAATCAAACATTAAATCAGCCAGACGAACGGAAAATCAGCCAGAGGACCGTAAAATCAGGCAGAAGAAAAAAAAACGTAAAATCAGCCAGATGAGGGGCTAAATCAGACAGACGAGGGGCTAAATCAGACAGACTGGATAAAAATCAGCCAGGAGAGGATTAATTCAGACAGACAGACGGTAAAAAATTGCCAGACAAGGGTAAAATCAGTCAGACGAAAGTAAAATCAGCCAGACGAGGGTAAATCACATAGATTAGGTTAAAATCAGAGTAAATTTAAAACAAAACGAGTATGCCTAAACACAAATCATAAGACAAAAGAGGGTAAAAATTACAAATATGATGTGTAATATCAGGGTAAATAAAAATAATTCAGTAAATGAATACAGTGGAAGAATGGTAATTTCAGGGACATGAGGTGTAAAAACAGGATATATATATTAAAGAGAAGAGAATAAAAGAGTAAATAGAGTGAGAAGAGGGGTGAGACAGGTGAGGGTGTATAATCACACACATGATCAAGAGTAACAGCCAGGAGGAGATAACTCTGTCAGATGGGCGTATAATCAGTAAAATAACAGATGAGGTGTAAATGCAGATCAACGAGGTAAAATCAGTGCATCATCATGTCGGAAAAGGGACACACGCAGTCAGATCTTTCATGTTATGCTAAATTCATCAGGACAGCGGATAAAACCAGTTAAATATGAAATCTGAATGTGAATTATATCGATGTGAGGCGGCGGTGTATCGATAGCCGCTGTTAGCTTTCAATCACACACATACATCGCTATTAAAGTCATAGTAAATAAAACAAACAAACGTGTAGTGATCGGAATGATTAGATATGCAACAGCGGTTAACATCTATCTTTGTAAATGCTTAATCACAGCCGAAATGAAATAAACACTGAGCACTGAAGCGCGGCTAACAGGCCTGATGCTAAAGCTAATGCTAACACCAGTCTGCCTGAACACTCACACACATAAACACCCGAACACACCGTGTAACAATAACACACCTGATTCTTCATTACACTCGGTAACACAGAGTTCATAAGGGGAAGCATCGCCAACACACACTACCAACTCAAACCCAGAGCTAACACACTCATACACACAGATTAATCACACCGCACTAACACACATACACACACACTTACTGAGCAACACGCGCGAAATATGCGTGCAAATACTCCGGTGAAAGAGAAACACACACACGGCCCTGAAGAAGATCACCGGAGCCGCTGTAACGTTACCGAACGACAGACCGAACCAGCGCGCGCTCACTCACACACTCTCTCTCTCTCTCTCTCTCTCTCTCTCTCTCTCTCTCTCTCTCTCTCTCTCACACACACACACACACACACACACACAGACAGACTGGAGCTCTCTCTCTCTCTCTCTCTCTCTCACACACACACACACACACACACTGGAGCTCTCTCTCTCTCTCTCTCTCTCTCTCTCTCTCTCTCACACACACACACACACACACAGACAGACTGGAGCTCTCTCTCTCTCTCTCACACACACACACACACACACACACTGGAGCTCTCTCTCTCTCTCTCTCTCTCTCTCTCTCTCACACACACACACACACACATCAATATGGGCCAACATTTCTAAAGAATGCTTGTTGAATCAATGCCACAAGAATTAAGGCAGTTCTGAAGGCGAAAGGGGGTCGAACACAGTATTGGTATAGTGTTCCTAATAATCCTTTAGGTGAGTGTATTGCTGACACTTGGTTGTACAGGTGAAACTCAAAAAATTAGAATTTCATGAAGCTAATATATTATATAGACTCATTACATGCAAAGTGAGATATTTCAAGCCTTTATTTGTTAGAATTTTTAAGATTATGGCTTACAGCTATTAAAACCTTTTCACAATATTCTAGAATGGATAAAAATAAGACAGACCAATGTAAAATCAATCAGATGCGGGTAAAATCAGAAAGAGCATGATAAAATAATCAGTCAGATAAGGGTAAAAATCAGCCAGACGAACGTAAAATCAGCCAGACAAACGTAAAATCAGCCGGACAATGGTAAAATCAGCCGGACGAACGTAAAATCAGCCAGACGAGACTAAAATCAGCCAGACGAACGTAAAATCAGCCAGACGATGGTAAAATCAGCCAGACGAACGTAAAATCAGCCAGACGAGACTAAAATCAGCCAGACGAACGTAAAATCAGCCAGACAAACGTAAAATCAGCCGGACAATGGTAAAATCAGCCAGACGAACGTAAAATCAGCCAGACGAGACTAAAATCAGCCAGACGAACGTAAAATCAGCCAGACGATGGTAAAATCAGCCAGACGAACGTAAAATCAGCCAGACGAGACTAAAATCAGCCAGACGAACGTAAAATCAGCCAGACAAATGTAAAATCAACCAGACGAGACTAGAATCAGCCAGACGAACGTAAAATCAGCCAGACGATGGTAAAATCAGCCAGACGAACGCAAAATCAGCCAGACGAGACTAAAATCAGCCAGACGAACGTAAAATCAGCCAGACGAGACTAGAATCAGCCAGACGAACGTAAAATCAGCCAGACGAACGTAAAATCAGCCAGACGAACGTAAAATCAACCAGACGAGACTAGAATCAGCCAGACGAACGTAAAATCAGCCAGACGATGGTAAAATCAGCCAGACGAACGTAAAATCAGCCAGACGAGACTAAAATCAGCCAGACGAACCTAAAATCAGCCAGACGAACGTAAAATCAACCAGACGAGACTAGAATCAGCCAGACGAATGTAAAATCAGCCAGACGAACGTAAAATCAGCCAGACGAATGTAAAATCAGCCAGACGAATGTAAAATCAGCCAGACGAACGTAAAATCAGCCAGACGAACGTAAAATCCACCAGACGAACGTAAAATCAGCCAGACGAACGTAAAATCAACCAGACAAGACTAGAATCAGCCAGACGAATGTAAAATCAGCCAGACGAACGTAAAATCAGCCAGACGAACGTAAAATCCGCCAGACGAACGTAAAATCAGCCAGACGAACATAAAATCAGCCAGACGAGACTAAAATCAGCCAGACGAACGTAAAATCCGCCAGACGAGACTAAAATCAGCCAGACTAGAGTAAAATAAGCCAGACGAGACTAAAATCAACCAGACGAGAGTAAAATAAACCAGACGATGATAAAATCACCCAGACGAACGTAAAATCAGCCAGACGAATGTAAAATCAGCCAGACAAGAGTAAAATCAGCCAGGGAGAGGGTTAAATAAGAAAGAAGGGGTAAAAATCAGCCAGACCAACGTAAAATCAGTCAGATGCGGGTAAAATCAGAGAGAGCATGGTAAAAAAATCAGTCAGATATGGATAAAAATCAGCCAGACGAGAGTAAAATCAGCCAGGAGAGGGTTAAATCAGACAGACTGGATAAAAAACACTTCAAACTCAAAAAATTAGAATATCATGAAACTAATAAATTATATAGACTCATAAATGCAAAGTGAGATATTTCAAGCCTTTATTTGTTATAATGTTGATGATGGCTTACATAATCTGAAAACCTTTACACAATATTCTAATTTTGATTTTTTTTTTTTTTTGTGGTTTTCATTAGCTGTGTAAGCCATAATCATCAACATTATAACAAATATTTCTAATATAGTTGAGCATTACTATGGAGTGCAGTGCTGGTGTTTAGTGCTGCCCTCTGCTGGAGGGGCTGGAACTGCAGTGACTGTTTGACAACCAACCACACAACAATCATTTCAGCTCAACATTTTGTTGTCTGTAAAAAATCAGAAATAAATAACCACATATGTGAATATCGTCTTAGCAATTCAGTTGCAAATACTCTGTCATTCTTCAAGACACCATTAGACGGTGAGTTTGACGTCAAATCCCCCAGAAAGCGTGTTCAGCATCCTGTCACAAGAGCCCAAAGAGGAACCGCAGAGCTGCAGGATGGTAAGACGGGTCTCATCAATGCTTCTGTCTGATCCAATATAATCAATAATGTGTTTGAGTCTCAAAGTATCGTGAGCTGCAGCTGTAGAGTCGCTTTATTATTTATGATCATTTTGTTTGAAGAGGAAGCAACGAATTACAGCAGAAAACAACACTTCCTGTCCTCAATCTCTTACACAAGTGCAGTTATAATGGCGTTAACCCAGCTAAAAGGGAACTTTCTAACTTTGTTGTGAACAATGTTTCGGAACCATTCAAAAGTAACATTCCCAAAAATGTGTGCAAAATGACTAAATGGAAAGTTGGAAAACTGGATGTTTGAAGCATTCAGAGAACATTCTAGATATAAAATTTTCATAAATGGATGTGGGTTGTTAGCAAAATGTTCTTAGAGTGATTGTAATCATTGGAGTTATAAATACATGGTTCATGTTTCATCAGTCGAGTTCTTTAGTCGTGTGCGAGGTGGACGCCAGTCTGCAGGAGAAGCTCAAAAAGTTTCGCTTTCGCAAGGAGACGAGCAACGCAGCCATTCTGAGTGAGTTTCACAAACCAGTGTATGTGAATAAAAGCACCTCTTCTCACACCGGAGCTCTTTTACTCATTTAAAGCATGTTTTCTTTAGTGAAGATCGATATGGAGAAACAGCTGGTCATCCTGCAGGAAGAGTATGAGGTCAGTGTGTGTGTTTGTGATGCTCTGAGGGTCACGAGGTTAAAGGTCGTCGCTCTGTTTACCTCTCTTCTGTGTGTGTGTGTTTCAGAATATCTCTCTGGATGAACTCAGAGAAGAACTTCCAGAGCGTCAGCCACGATATCCTTACCGGGATCTTGTAGTTAACTAAAACCATACATCACCCAGCCAAAAAAAAAGGCCACTTTTTGGATTTAAATAGGCAAATGCTTACGTTACGAGTCTATGATTGGATCATTGTTGTAGTGATTATGTTTCTAGCATTATGTGTTTGGCTACAGTTCTTCTAACCCAATTGATGGAGTGGTGGATGCTTTTAATTTCTTAAACAACCTTTTACCATGGTCTGGGTGAAGAGTTTTCCAGTTAAAAGTGATAGAGGACAACTAGGAAAGGAGTTCTGGTGAAACGGTTTACTGTTTGAAATTAACAAACCTCGTTAGACCGTTATACTATGTCTACCAGTGTTTTTTAATTATAGGTTAAAAAAACGAAAGTGTAACGCCCATCGCTAGACAAGCCTAAGTTACAGGGGGAAAAATACTGGAAAAAATACTTTCTGGCTCGTAAGTTAGCTAAACTGAGGGATCTCCGAGCTGAGCGTACTATAAATCTCCGGTTGCTAAATAATTCCGTCAGGCGTAACCAAGGAAACCGAGTTATTGTTTGTAAAAAAAATCGATTTCGATTTTAAAAATAATTCAAATATAAACTAATGTTTTAAAAATGTGGCAAGTGACCAGGGTATAAGCGGTTAAATGCCCGACGAGCTGTCCATTGTCAGGTATTAATGGACTTCGGCGGAGCAACCGTTCGCCGCATAGACTGTAAAAGGTCCGCCGTCGTCCATTAACGACAACGGCAGCCGGAAGTAAACTGTTAACTGTCGTAGCTAAAGAGCGCAAAAATCACTAAGCAACAGTAAAGAGGACGGCATTGGGGATAATTTAATCATATCAGACAAAATACAAAAATGAAAATGATTTTAAAAAGTAAGAGAGGGGTTGATTTGGGCATTTAATGATATACAGAAACGATAACAAAGCCAACCTAAACCATAATATTGACTGTCACGTAACGACTACGGAAAATCAGCTCTTCTCCCGTTAAAGACGTTTACAGTAGAAAGTCGCAAAGGAGAAGTTAATGTCGCGCATGCGCAATAGAACGACAGAATGCAGGAAGTTCATAATGGCCATGGATGACAAAGCTCAGATTGTTGTAGGCTCATAACATCACAACATTTACTTTCATTAAGAGCATCAGCTTTTGGTCAAGATCTTGTATTAAGAGTCCAGCGCTCTGTAAAGTCTCCTCCAGCACATCCCAAAGACTTTCAGTAAATTTAAGATCCGGATTCATATGTGAAAATGATTCGTCATGCTCCTCACAACCATTCTTTCACCATTTGAGCCGGATGAATCTTGACATTGTCATAAACATAAAACGGATTGTGAGAATTTCCAACAGGATCTCGGTTTTCAGAACCTTGGCTCAAATGCTGGCAAAGCTCTTTCAAAGTCTAATAAAAAAAGTAATGTTCAGAAACGTTAGCGTTAGCAAAAGCTTGTTTATTGAGGATGCCGGACAGCCAGCTAGTAATGCATACAGTAATCCAGTCTAGAGGTCATGAATGCATGAACCAACTTTTCTGCTTCAGAAACACATAGCATGTTCTGTAGCTTAGCAATGTTTCTTAGGTGGAAGAAGGCTATTTATTTTCATATGAAATATGATTTTCAAAAGACAAGTTGCTGTCTAATATAACTGTAGAGGATGAAGTTACAGCAGATCCTTATACGTATTATATTCTAAGAGACTCTGTGTACAGGTTTTTGGTCTAAATCGGAATTAAATAGAAGAAAATTACAGGTCATCCAATATTTTATATCTTTAACAAACTTGGATAATTTAGAGATTTCTTTTAGTTGTGATTAAATATATGCTAAGTATCATTAGCATAACAGTCAAAACTAATTCTTATTTCGTTTTCTTATTATATTACCAAATGACAGCTATATATTGAAAACAGCAGAGGGCCTAACACTGAGCCTTGAGGCACTCCATAACTTACTGAGGTTAACTTAGATTTTTTACCTTTTAAAAAGACAAAATGTTAAATATCTTGCTGTGAGATAACCCTGATGTGTTCAGTGTGAGTGCTTTCTTTAACTCGGCACACGTATATTGTGTACAGTTATAAACTGACCCACGGCGACGGACGCGTGTCGTATCCGCTCTGCTTTATCTTCTCTAGTCCTGTGGGTGAGTATTAGTAAAGATCTCTGCTAGCTGGAGACTCTCGGTATAACAGTGCATGTGCTTCATATTCTGCTCATGATTTCCACTGGAGTCGCTGCTGAATGTCTTACGGAGATGTTAACTCTCACAGGCTGTAAACCCGAGCAGCAGATGATGTACGCGGGCAGCAAGAACAGGCTGGTTCAGTCGGCAGATCTCACGAAGGTAAAGTGTTCATACTTAATATACCTCATGCTTTTTGAACTTGATTAGTCATTAATTCAAGCTGAAAATCGAAAAATATTGCGCAATACTACTAATAATAATAATTAAAAATTATAACAAATAAAGGCTTGAAATATCTCACTTTGCATGTAATGACTCTATATAATATATTAGTTTCAACTTTTAAGTTGAATTACTGAAATTTTGCGCTAAATTCTCATTTTTCGAGTTTCTGTATTGTTATGCGTTAAATAAGCAATGATGAAACAGAATCTCTCGCTTTCTTCGGACTGTATGAGACGCATTTGAAAATTATGAAAAAAATAGGGCTGTGCAAAAATTTATTGCGATTAATCACATCCAAAATAAAAGTCTGTGTTTACATAATATATTTGTGGGTGCTGTATATAATTATTTTGTATATATAAATACACACACATGCATGTATATATTTAAGAAAATGTGTTATTCATATATAAAATATTTATATTTATATAATATAGATTATGTATTTATAAATATATACAGAATTTAAGCGCAAATAATTCTTAAATATATACATGCATGCATAGGTATTTATATATAGAAAATAATTATATACAGCACACACAAATATTTTGGATGCGATTAATCGCAATTAACTTTTGCACAGCCCTAGAAAAAAATTAACCCATAAGTTGAGTTCTATATGAATGCATGCTATATTAGACACCTAAAGTTACGTTAATAAACTATTACTTAACAAAATTACAATTATTATGAATAAAAGCATTTTTTTGCACACTTGTCTGACTGATTTGTTGAAACAAATTCATAATAGCAATAAATCTTTTCTGTCTGCAGATTTTCGAGGTTCGTAATCCGGACGACCTGACCGAAGAATGGCTGAAGGAGAAATTGTCATTTTTTCGCTAAATTGCAACCAGAATCATGAAATCAGGCAGAAAATCAAAACTATTATTCTGTTTAAAAACAATTTTTTTTATCATAATTCTTTTTCATGTCATTTTCTCAAATGTCTCATGTCAGACATTGTGTCTGTAAGTCTGTGTGAACCATGTTCACAGTGGCCTAAAGCATTTTAATGAATATATATTATTCAGAAGATAAATCATGTTTGATCAATCAAGTCTCTTTGTGTTTTTACAGTCCCTCCAGGATTTCACGATTTTTTTGTGTGATTTTTGCGATCAAAATGAATGATTTTGTGGTGGTAATTTCCAAAAATTTGTGAAAAAATTTGCTATTTATATATAACATTTACCATAATAGTATAGTAGATGTACGCATGAAGTAAAGTTCAGGTGTAGAGAATCACATTAACTACCAACATTACCCACATCAAGAAACTCAAATGTAACAAATTCATTGTTTATTTACAATGTTTACACTGTAACGAGAGGAAGAAACTACAAAAACGTCACTCGCTTCAGTCTCACATAATGAAAAGCCAGAGAAATAAAACAGAAACGTCAAACAATAAAAACTACAGCAGGACAAATCTGTGTAATTCAGTTGATTGCTCACATGGATGTGAAGCAGATGGCATGAGACACGTGTGTGTGTGTGTGTGTGTGTGACGCTCACAATCACGTCCAGGTCACTGATTATTTCCATGACGAGTAAAACAAGCAAAACATAATTTCACGAGGATGAAAAGGCATGTTCTTCACGAGGGCGCGCGAGAGAGTTTAGCGCCTCATTCGCTGTCGCTGCTGGAGTCGGACGCTCTCTCTCTCTCACTGCCGCTGTGCTGAACGCTGCTGCTGTTGCTCCTCGCTCGCCCACCCTCGTCTTCCTCGCTGTCGTCATCGCTGCCGAAGATCTCCTCCTCGTCACGGGCCGCGTCTCGGTCCTCTCCGCTCTCGCTGCCGCTGCTCTTCCTCTCGCGCCGCTTGCGCACCTCCTCGTCCTCCTCCTCTTCCTCCTCCTCCTCCTCTTCTTCAGCCGGTCGCTCCTCATCCTCGCGCTCGGACTCGCTCTCAGAGTTCTCCGAGTCGCTGGGCTTCTCACGCTCATCGCCTGAACACAGTATCACATCGTCTTAATATTCTGATAACAACGTCATGGGAAAACTTTTCAAACTAAAAAAATGAAAACTTACCATAAAACTTAGCACTATGGTAACTACAATAACTAAAATTATAACTATGACCATAAGTAAAATGAACTATGATAACTACAATAACTAAATTAAAGGGATGGTTCACCCAAAAATGAAAATTATACCACGATTTATAACAATAACTGACTAACTATAACCAGTCCCACCAGGATTTCACGATTTTTTTTTTTGGTGATTTTTGCGATCAAAATGACTGATTTTGTGGTGGTAATTTCCAAAAATTTGTGAAAAAATTTGCGATTTATATATAACATTTACCATAATAGTATTCAGTCCTTCCAGAAAAACGCGGAGTTTTTTTGTGATTGTTGCGGGCAAAAATTGATTGATTACGCGGCCCGTTTTCTTTAAAAATGTGATGGAATATGTGGGATATTTATGCAATTTTATGCGATGATATTGCAGGAATTTGCAAAAATTGAGGGAACTTGATGAAAAAGAGAAAAAAAGTGATTCCCCCAACATCCTGTTCTCACTAGGATAATGTAAGAGTCATTTCTTATTACTTCCTTTGATAAGCAAGCATATATTTAATTTCTCATCTTGTTTTATTTCAGACTGTAACGAGTGTAAATAAGGTGTGGCCCCTTTAAGAGCTCTCTGCAGTGTTATGTGTGCGCCTCGAACACCCCATGTCTGTTTGATGCTACTTCTTTTATCTTATGTTGTTTATTAAGTAACGATGTGACGGTAGAACGTGTGACGGACAGTTATACGAGTTCGATTTGTGAGATGTCGATCGCCTCCGTGAGTCTGTCTGGCGTCGCGTAATTGCGTCACTTCATAACGTTCCCATGGAAACAGGGGGAAATGGCTGCTCTTGTGTGAAGCAAACGCAACATTTTTTAACTTTCTGCTAAGATACATGTGACTTTTTTTGCAACGAAAATGCGAGGATTATGAAATTATGCAAACCTCGCATATTTTGCACGGAAATCGGCAATTTATGCGGCGAAAGTGCGGCGTATTTGAAAAACTGCGGCCTTTGGCTGATTTTGCATTGAATTCAGCGATCGCATAATCGCGTTTTTTCTGGAGGGACTGAATAACGATAACTATGATTTAACTATATTGATAAATAAAAATGTAACGAACAATAACTATGATGATAACTACAATCATATTGATAACATATATGTTGATAACTATAACAATATAACACTAACTATGACAATAATATAGCTAAATCTGTAACTATAACACTAAATATGACTGCAGTTATAACAATGATTATAACAAAACTATAATGATAAATAACCAATAACTGACTAACTATATTGAGAACTACACTAACAATAAGAATAACGATAATTATAACGATTAAACAATAACTACAACAATAACTTTATAATAATATCTAACAATAACTTTAATAATTGTAAGATGAACTGTAATGAAAACTATTATAAGTTTTGTGATCATTTTATGGTTATAGTTCTGACTGAATCTACACACACACACACACACACACACAGCTGATATAATGATGATGTGTGTGTTACCAGAGTCCTGCATGTCTTTCTCCAAGTCCAGCTCCTCTCCATCCTCATCCTCCGGCTCGTGATTCTCCAGCTGAGCCTTGCGAGCATCCTGACACACACACACACACACACATCAGTGACCGTGTTCATATGGCCTCAGAATCCTCCTTTTACAGGTGAAACTCATTCAATTACTAAAATAAATTAATTCAAATTTTTGGATTTTCACCTGTCCATTTCTAAGCATCGAGCAAAGTAAAGTGTGTGTGTGACGAGGACTCACCTGAGCCTCCAGCTCTTTCTCGTTCATGTCTCTGTGTTTACACACCAGCACAGCGTTCGTGGACGACTGAGCGCCAACCTTCGCTCGCCTCTTGCTCAGACGCACCCTGAAACACACACACAGGCGGTGTCATTAACACACACAGGGAGATGAGTGTGTGGGCGGAGCCTGTCTGTGTGATTGACAGGTACCTGGTCTCCAGCTCGTTGTAATAAACGCCGTCCGAGTCTCTGAAGATGAAGAAGTAGTTCTCCTCGTATCCTTTACTGGCCTTGTTCTTCACGTTCCAGTTGTACTCGCGAGCAATTTTATAATCGTACCTACACACACACACACACATTACAAACAGGTGAGGTTATTACTGTGTAAAATCTACCTTTCCTCTGGATTCACTCATAAATCAAACTTCTAGAGCTGCACGATACAGGATGCAATGAGATGTCATACAAATGAACCAAATACTTACGAATGAATGATTCAATGACTCACTCATAAAGACTTCATTTGTTTCATGACTGGATGAATCCGTGTGTTTGAACGAATGATTCAATGACTCACTCTTAAAGACTTCACTATTTCATGACTGGATGAATCAGTGTGTTTTAACGAATCTCTTGAATGAATGATTCAATTACTCACTCATAAAGACTTCACTCGTGTCATGACTGGATGAATCCGTGTGTTTGAACGAATGATTCAATGACTCACTCATAAAGACTTCACTATTTCATGACTGGATGAATCAGTGTGTTTGAACGAATCTCTTGAATGAATGATTCAATTACTCACTCATAAAGACTTCACTATTTCATGACTGGATGAATCAGTGTGTTTTAACGAATCTCTTGAATGAATGATTCAATGACTCACTCATAAAGACTTCAATCGTGTCATGACTGGATGAATCCGTGTGTTTGAACGAATGATTCAATGACTCACTCATAAAGACTTCACTATTTCATGACTGGATGAATCAGTGTGTTTTAACGAATCTCTTGAACGAATGACTCACTCATAAAGACTTTACTTGTTTCATGACTGGATGAATCAGTGTGTTTGAACGAATCTCTTGAATGAATGATTCAATGACTCACTCATAAAGACTTCACTTGTTTCATGACTGGATGAATCAGTGTGTTTGAACAAATCTCTTGAATAAATGATTCAATGACTCATTCATAAAGATGTCACTTGTTTCATGACTGGACGAATCAGTGTGTTTGAACGAATCTCTTGATAGAATGATTCAATGACTCACTCATAAAGACTTTACTATTTCATGACTGGCTGAATCAGTGTGTTTTAACGAATCTCTTGAATGAATGATTCAATGACTCACTCATAAAGACACTACTTGTTTCATGACTGGATGAATCAGTGTGTTTGAACAAATCACTTGAATGAATCATTCAATGAATCACTCATAAAGACTTTACTATTTCATGACTGGATGAATCAGTGTGTTTTAACGAATCTCTTGAATGAATGATTCAATGACTCACTCATAAAGACACTACTTGTTTCATGACTGGATGAATCAGTGTGTTTGAACAAATCACTTGAATGAATCATTCAATGAATCACTCATAAAGACTTGTTTCATGACTGGATGAATCGGTGTGTTTGAACGAATGACTCAATGACTCACTCATAAAGACTTCACTATTTCATGACTGGATGAATCAGTGTGTTTTAACGAATTTCTTGAACGAATGACTCACTCATAAAGACTTTACTTGTTTCATTAATGGAGGAATCAGTGTGTTTGAACGAATCTCTTGAATGAATGATTCAATGATTCACTCATAAAGACTTCACTATTTCATGACTGGATGAATCAGTGTGTTTTAACGAATCTCTTGAACGAATGACTCACTCATAAAGACTTTACTTGTTTCATGACTGGATGAATCAGTGTGTTTGAACGAATCTCTTGAATGAATGATTCAATGACTCACTCATAAAGACTTCACTTGTTTCATGACTGGATGAATCAGTGTGTTTGAACAAATCTCTTGAATAAATGATTCAATGACTCATTCATAAAGATGTCACTTGTTTCATGACTGGACGAATCAGTGTGTTTGAACGAATCTCTTGATAGAATGATTCAATGACTCACTCATAAAGACTTTACTATTTCATGACTGGCTGAATCAGTGTGTTTTAACGAATCTCTTGAATGAATGATTCAATGACTTACTCATAAAGACACTACTTGTTTCATGACTGGATGAATCAGTGTGTTTGAACAAATCACTTGAATGAATCATTCAATGAATCACTCATAAAGACTTGTTTCATGACTGGATGAATCGGTGTGTTTGAACGAATGACTCAATGACTCACTCATAAAGACTTCACTATTTCATGACTGGATGAATCAGTGTGTTTTAACGAATTTCTTGAACGAATGACTCACTCATAAAGACTTTACTTGTTTCATTAATGGAGGAATCAGTGTGTTTGAACGAATCTCTTGAATGAATGATTCAATGATTCACTCATAAAGACTTCACTATTTCATGACTGGATGAATCAGTGTGTTTTAACGAATCTCTTGAACGAATGACTCACTCATAAAGACTTTACTTGTTTCATGACTGGATGAATCAGTGTGTTTGAACGAATCTCTTGAATGAATGATTCAATGACTCACTCATAAAGACTTCACTTGTTTCATGACTGGATGAATCAGTGTGTTTGAACAAATCTCTTGAATAAATGATTCAATGACTCATTCATAAAGATGTCACTTGTTTCATGACTGGACGAATCAGTGTGTTTGAACGAATCTCTTGATAGAATGATTCAATGACTCACTCATAAAGACTTTACTATTTCATGACTGGCTGAATCAGTGTGTTTTAACGAATCTCTTGAATGAATGATTCAATGACTTACTCATAAAGACACTACTTGTTTCATGACTGGATGAATCAGTGTGTTTGAACAAATCACTTGAATGAATCATTCAATGAATCACTCATAAAGACTTGTTTCATGACTGGATGAATCGGTGTGTTTGAACGAATGACTCAATGACTCACTCATAAAGACTTCACTATTTCATGACTGGATGAATCAGTGTGTTTTAACGAATTTCTTGAACGAATGACTCACTCATAAAGACTTTACTTGTTTCATTAATGGAGGAATCAGTGTGTTTGAACGAATCTCTTGAATGAATGATTCAAAGATTCACTCATAAAGACTTCACTATTTCATGACTGGATGAATCAGTGTGTTTTAACGAATCTCTTGAACGAATGACTCACTCATAAAGACTTTACTTGTTTCATGACTGGATGAATCAGTGTGTTTGAACGAATCTCTTGAATGAATGATTCAATGACTCACTCATAAAGACTTCACTTGTTTCATGACTGGATGAATCAGTGTGTTTGAACAAATCTCTTGAATAAATGATTCAATGACTCATTCATAAAGATGTCACTTGTTTCATGACTGGACGAATCAGTGTGTTTGAACGAACCTCTTGATAGAATGATTCAATGACTCACTCATAAAGACTTTACTATTTCATGACTGGCTGAATCAGTGTGTTTTAACGAATCTCTTGAATGAATGATTCAATGACTCACTCATAAAGACTTCACTTGTTTCATGACTGGATGAATCAGTGTGTTTGAACAAATCACTTGAATGAATCATTCAATGAATCACTCATAAAGACTTGTTTCATGACTGGATGAATCGGTGTGTTTGAACGAATGACTCAATGACTCACTCATAAAGACGTCACTTGTTTCATGAATGAGTCTGATGTGTGTGTGTGTCTTACACTTCATCAGGCATGTAATCCAGATCCTCTTCCACGTCTCTCTTGCGTTTGCGCATCGTGTCCTCGTTGGGAAGGAAGTACGCCACGAACTGATTGCCCTCCTCGTCCATCATACCCCTGAACACACACACACACACACAATGACACTGTCTCCGTGCTGTCCTGCTCATGCTTCACACAGATGATACGTGTTCTGAGGGTTCACACACACCTGATCATGGCCTGTGACATCATGTCCACTCCCGCCGGGGCAGACACGTCTTTCGGAGCCGGATCGGAGTCAAAGATGACTTGAGCGCAGGGATTGATCCACATCTGTGTGTGGAGACAGACGGACATCAGCACGGGACATTACACGTCTCAGATTAATCAGCAGCGACACACACTCTAATAAACCACCAGTTAGGATGTTATCAAACGCTGGAGCTGCAGTTCGGTTCATAACTTTATAATAGGGCTGGGTATTAAGACAAATTTCACAATTCGATTCCGATTCACAAGCTTGCAATTCGATTCGATTTCGATTCGATTCAATATCGATTATTTTGGATATTAGTTACAATAAATGGCAAATTTTCTCAAGGGAATCGAATCTCGTAACTAATGCTGTAAACTATGGGAGTCTAGTTGGGCTTCATTAGCCTAATATGAAGGTAATAATCAACTGTTTTTTAGCTATACAAACACTTAAATTACACTTTTATTTATTTTTATAATAAGAAGATTATATGAAATATAAACATTTAAATGGTGGCTGTCATAAAAACTTGCCAGATTTATTCAAATATGCATTAAATATTGAAGAACATTAAGATTATAATGCATATGTAATATGGTGTGTATATTTAGCAAAATGCTCTTCTCTGGAGTTATTTTTTCTAGCTGACTAACGAGTTTATGTGGGTTTTCTGAGGTAAATATGACGATACATTGATTACAAGCTGTTTAACTGACGTCTTTCCACGGGTGAAACGCTGATTGAGGGAATCAATGTGACATGATATGGATTTCGATAAGTTGTACTCTATCTTTAACACACTTTCAGACGCTCATTCATGTTTAACTGGTATTATTAAGCCGGAGGAGAGATCAGCGCTGCTGTTTCTCCAGAGCGATCTCACGCCACAGCGACAAAACGCTATTTATGTTTTTGAATTTCTAAAGAAAATGGACGTAATTTGAAAATTGAGACTTGGTTTCATATCAATAGTAACAAAGGACAAAGATTATTGCGATGTTTTGGATGCGCGCAGCCGCGATATAACGTCCCATTCGTTCAAATGAAACAGGATGACTAATCGACTCGGTATCGGTTAATCGATTAATATCGAGAAATCGATATTTATTACCCAGCCCTACTTTATACAGTTGAGGAACTGAATAATTGATCTGAACAACGGTACTGTAGGTTTTTTTAGAGTTTTTGATTGTGTGTGTTTGTGAGAGAGAATGTGTGCGTGAAAAAGAAAAAGAGAGAAAGAGTGTGTTTGTGAGATTGTGAGTGAGTATGAGTGTGTGTGTGAGACCTTGAAGTCTGGGAAGACGGGCAGCACCTCCACAGGCGTGACTCTGGGTTTGCTGTAATGCTGAGCGATCTGAAAGATTCAAACAGAAGGATAGATTCAGACACCGATCTGATGCTGTCGTCAGGTGTGTGTGTGTGTGTGTGTGTGTGTGTGCTCACGGATTTCTGTGCGTCTTCAAAGGTCTTCTCAATGGCAGCGATCTGACTGTCTCTGTCCTTGTAGATCTCCTCCTCTGTGAACTGCTGCTTCACGGACACACCGATCCTGCACAACACACACTCGCTCAGGAACACTTCACACACCACATCACTGACCTCACTTGAGCCGGACCGAGACGCTACTCTCTTCTGGACACTGAGAGATGAAGTGTGTGTGTGTCACTCACTTGACTTCCACCTTCTCGTTGGAGACGCCGTATCTGTTGAACTCGGTGGAGATGTACTCCGTCTTTCTCATCCACGGCACCACCTTCGCATGCTGCTGCGACCTACACACACACATACACGTCTGTCAGCCTCAGTGCTGGGGTCAAAGGTCACTCACAGGGGCATCACATGACTCTCGTACCTCTTTGAGCTCGACGGAGCCGTGATTTCCTCCTCCAGCAGTTTCTCATCAGCAGGATCCAACAAAACTGAAACACACACGAGCATTAGGTGAAAGCTCTGGGGAACGCAGATAAGAGGTTTTACACGGTGTGTGTGTGTGTGTGTGTGATCTCACTGTTGGGGTCGATGCGGTACGTATCAGGGTTGATGAGGTCGATGGTGACGCCCAGATCCGGTTCGGTGAGCAGCTCGTGTTTGTGTTGCTTCTCTAGTGATGTGGCTTTATACTGCACAAACCTGCAACACACACACACACACTCACTACACAACATCCCACGAGCCCGTCACGGCACAAGCGGACCGGAGCCGTACCTGTGCTGGTCGAACGGATACGTGATGAACTTCGGATCAAACGGGATGTCCGGGAGACTGTTTCCATATTTGACTCTGCACACGACGCCAGACCTGAAGCACACGAGACACAGTCTGTGATTGGTCAGTCAGACAGATGGCCCCCGCCCCCAGAAGTTGACATGTTGATTCAGTTCAGTTCAATAAATGTGTATGAAACCAGTTCAATTCACTACAGAAGTCAATTTTGTTCTGTCCAATAGTGTCACTGCAACCTAATTAGCATATGATCCACCCTAAAGAGTGTTCAAGATCTGGAATACTATTAAGGGTGGATAAGGTGAGAATTAGGATGTAGAGTCACAGTTTCTCTGTCAAACTACCAGTGGTGGAATGTAACGAAGTACAAATACTTTGTTACTTTACTTAAGTACATTTTTCACGTATCTTTACTTTACTTAAGTAGAATAAATAGTGCATACTTTTTACTTTTACTTCGTTACATTTTGCAGCAATTATTATACTTTCTACTCCACTACATTTCTACAACTTCTGTTACTTTTTCATTTTCTGATCAGTTTTTCCCCCTGACAAAACGTAATCTGACCGTCCGTTCGTTGCAATTTTGTCTCACCAGTGACGTGGTTGCCATAGATACATCAACTAAATGTGTGTTTATCGTGCAATTTATACGCAAAAATTTGTTTTTATGTGCATAGGAAATGCACCGTGTGTAATATACTTTTGGTTAGGATTATGGCAAGCCAAGAGGTTCAGAATGACACCATAAATGAATCGTAGTTATTAATAGATAGTAAGGATAAGCATGATGTACATATTGCCTAATTGCAAGCTTGTTTCAGAAATGGTGACAACAATTTTTTTCCATCATTATTGAACATCATTATAGGGATTATTAGGTGGAATGAGTTAGAATTAAATGTTTTATTAATCATTAGAAAAAAATAGACATTAAAAGAATAAATTGTTATGCAAGTACTTTTACATTTAAAATCAGGTACTCTTTACTTTTTACTTAAGTATGGTTGTCATTGTGTTACTTCTACTTTTACTAAAGTAAATATTTATCTGTTTATTTGTACTTTTACTTAACCCTTGTGCTGCATTAGATTTTTAACACCGTTGAGTGCATTAAGGACCAAAAATGGCCACATATTAAACATTGCCTAAAATATTATATATTATTATTATTTTCCACTTTTACCAAGTTAAATCTTTTAACCAGCATCAGTCCTCATCATAACTACCAAAAATGTATTCAATTTCAGGATTTTAACCCTTTAATTACCAGTTTTGTTTGCGAAACCATCGATTTGTATAAGAGGAAAAAACACAAAAATTCAATTATTTTCAATAAACTAAATGCAAAGAGAAAACTTTAGATTTGGATTATCACAGTCCCACTTTGCAAAAAAATCCCACTTAGCGCGTTAGAGACCAAAAATGGCCACCTATTAAACATTGCCTATTGCCTAAAATAAGGTGCATTTCCACCCATAGGGAATAAATATGTAGTGACGTCATCTGGTGGAATACACTATATAATGCAAATATAATGCTTTTGCTTCAAAATGAAAGGATGTTTGTGCAAAAATCATGTTTCATGTATTACTGACGGCCTCAGATTTAAACAACGTTTTAATGGGTTTCAATGGGCCATTTTTGGTCTTTATGGTGCTGAGTGTTACTATTTGATCTACACAGTGTGTGTTATACATATTTTGCAAAATGGGATCACATTTTTTACATGTATCCAAAAAGTCACAATTTTGCCAAATTTCATACCATTTGCATTAAAACAGCCAAAATGGTCAAAGAAATTAAACTGCAAAAGACCAAAAATGTCCCTAATGCAGCATAAGGGTTAAGTACTGAGATTCAGTACTTCCTTCACCACTGGTAACTTTATACATCAGAAGTGCACTGTAGTTCATCATCATCATCATCATCATCATCATCACCTCTCTGGGACGCTTCTGTGTGCTGAACTTCTGCAGAAAACACACAGAAAGAGATATAAATGAGACATGACCAGAAAAGCGATTTCTAACGTCTATGTATTTAACGTTACTATGTAACCTAAAGTTCCATCTATGTTTCCTATCGTTCTCTATCTATTTAGTACTCGCGCATATATATATATATATATATATATATATATATATATATATATATAGTTAATGTTAGCATATTTGTGCGTTTAACCGGTTAGTAATCTAAGATGTCTCTCACCGGTGTCCGTCCTCGCGCTGCGCCTGCGTCTGTATAGTAGGAGCCATAGAGGAGGAAATAAACGCGTTTTCTCCACACAAACGATTAATATACAGCGATGAAAGAGTTCAAATCAGCTTTTCGACACAACAACAGCAACGCGCGCCCCTGCGTGCGAATGAGTGCCTGACTTCCGCCCCGCAGAGTTCCTGCAGGACCCCGTGCGCGAGGAGGAGCTGCCCCGATCAGCGCCTGAATCAAACTCACCGCTTCACTGGCTAATTACCTGCTAATTACCCTCAAACCCAATACAGAACATATTCATGCATTACGTATGTAATGATTCATATTTAACTATTTATTAATGTCGTATAGTTATATCAACAGAGGTGTTTTGTTTTAATTGTGTAAATTCATACAGGTGTAAATTCATGTGAACAAGCTGACTGCTGGCAACATGGAGACCCAAACCTGCAAACAAATTGTAGAGTATTCTTATATAATATATATTTTTAATAATTTGCATTTTATATAAAAAATAAATTATTATCTATTCAAATTGTTAAATAATAAATGATTATTATTATTTAACAATTAAAATATGAAATGTTAGTATTGGTTTATTTTCAAATGGTTAAATAATGATAATAGGAACATAAGAAAAATGTATAGCATAATTCATTTTAATTTAGTGTTTTTTAATTTTATTTAATAATTTGTTATCATAATTATTATGATATATTCAAATAGTAAAATAACACATTATTATAATGATTATTATTATTTAACAATATATTTTTATACTCAAATGGTTACATTAAATTATAATAATGCCCTTTTATTTACTCTTTAATATTTATTATTATTTTATATTCAAATACATTATTATAATTATATACATATTATTATCATTTTAATAATTTAAACATAAAACATTAGTATTATTTGTACATTCAAATGGTTAAATAATAATAAAATAATAACAAAAAATATAAATAAGTGAAAAAAATGAGAAAGAGGAACATAATAATAGGAAAAGAAATAATTTATTAAATGACTTGACAAACATAATCAATGTGTAATTAAATGCATTCCTCAGTTCTTGCACATGATGAGATGTTTGTTTTTAATTCATTACACATGAACACACATAATTTAACAACAAACAAGTGTAATAAATTCTGTGAAAAACTAAAACTAAAACGGAGTGTGTAAAGCATATTCCCATATTTTTTATTATCAGGCAACACAATCAAAAGGACAAACTGGTACAAAAATAGAAAGTGTATAATTGGAGGATTGGAATCATCTTGAGACGTTAATGCTCTATAAAGTGAAACTCCCTCTAGTTTAGAAGATCCCAGATCACACACACACACAGATCTCTGAGCTTTCAGTGGGTATTATTCTGTTATTGCTGAACCTCTCTCTCTCTCTCTCTCTCCCCATCAGGATCCTCTGAGACGTGACATCACCGATGACCTCTGACCCTTCCCGTCCTGTGAGCACGGCACTCCCACGCCGCGACATCACTTCCTCACGTCTGCATATGCGCCGACAGATCGATCCTGCAAGAGCAAGAACAAGGTGACAGTGTGCTTGCAGCATTTATTACTATAGAAATAACAGTAAACTAGGCATTATTACCAATAATGGCAACACTTTATTTTACAGAGTCCTTGTTACATATGTTACATTTACTAACCCTCAACCAAACCCTAACCCTCTGAGACAAGAGCACATTAAAAATAAAATAAAACTGACCTGCTCAACACATAGAGGAACTGATCCGGATCATCTGCAAACTCCCTGCAAACACAACACTCATCATCATCATGTGTCAGTGCTTCTGGAGGTGAGGTGTGTGTTTGACTCGACCCACCCTGAGCCCCAGTGATAGAAGACCCTGTCCTGATAGTACAGACACAGGAACAGCCACACACTGATGGTCTCCAGCCAGAAGATCACGAAGAGGAACCAGACAGAAGACAGCAGCAGCTCACACACCATCCTGACACCGGCGTCACCACTAACATCAGGGACAAGTCCAGGGAAAGGCCAACAATTACAAACAAATTATGACAGACATACTATTTTGAAATTACACAAAAAAGTCCCCCCAAAAAATCACAAAAAGTCAAAATGATATATATATAAAAAAAAAAAAAATCTAAATTATGGCAGACTAAGTTGAAATTACATGAACAAGTCCAAAAATGACTAAAAATCAAAATTATGACAGACATACTAAAATTGAAATTAAAAAGTCGAAACTATGACTAAAAGTCAAAATTATGACAGATATACTAAAATTGAAATTAAAAAGTCCAAAAAATTACAAAAAGTTGAAATTATGACAAAAAGTCCAAATTATATTAAAAAAATGTAAATAATGACAGACATTCTAAGTTGAAATTCAATGAAAAAGTCCAAAACTGACAAAAAGTCCAAATTATATATATATATATATATATATATATAAAAAATCTAACTTATGACAGACTAAGCTGAAATTATATGAACAAGTCCAAAAAATGTCAAAAAGTCCAAATTATATATATATAAATAATCAAAATTATGACAGAATAAGTTGAAATTATATGAACAAGTCCAAAAAAGGTCAAAAAGTCAACATTATGAAAAAAGTCAAAATTGACAAAAAGTCAAAATTATATATATATATAAAATCAAAATAATGACAGACATTCTAACTTGAAATCAAATGAAAAAGAACAAAATTGACAAAAAGTCGAAATTATATTAAAAAAATCAAAATAATGACAGCCATTCTAAGTTGAAATTAAAAGAAAAAGTCCAAATTATATATATATATATATATATATATATATATATATATTAGGGCTGTGCAAAAATTAATTGCGATTAATCGCATCCACAATAAAAGTCTGTGTTAACGTAATATATTTGTGTGTGCTGTATATAATTATTTTGTATATATAAATACCTGTGCATGCATGTATATATTTAAGAATTATTTGCACTTAAATTCTGTATATATTTATTAATACATAATCTATATTATATAAATATAAATATTTTATATATGAATGACATATTTTCTTAAATATATACATGCATGTGTGTGTATTTATATATACAAAATAATTATATACAGCACACACAAATATATTATGTAAACAAACACAGACTTTTATTTTGGATGCTATTAATCGCAATTAACTTTTGCACAGCCCTAATATATATATAAGTTATGACAGACTAAGTTGAAATTACATGAAAAAGTCCAAAATGACCGAGTCAAAATCATGAAAAAAGTCAAAATTATGACAAAAAATTCTATGATGACAGACAAAAAAAAAATGATGATGACAGGCATAATTGATAAAAAGTCAAAAATATGACATGCATACCAAGTTGAAATTCTGATGTGAAAAAGTCCAAAATGTATAAGTCAAAATTATGACAAAAAAATTAAAATTATGGCATGAAAAAGTTAAATAAAAGATACATTTATGACAAAAAGTCACAATTATGACAGACATACGACAAGATTCCTTTTTCATATCACAATTTTGACTTTTTGTCATTTTTTGGACTTTTTCATACCATAATTTTAACTTTATATGTCTGTCATCATTTTGACTTTTAATTATCATCACTATCATCATCATGCTATGGTAAAGTATAATTATGACATTATTAAATAGAAAAAAAGTACCAAATCTGACATAATTATGAATAATGACATAGTAATAATGACATTTTCATTACAAGAAAATGACCCAAGAAAAATCTAAATGAAAAAGTCAACTTTAAGACATACTAAGTCCATGAATGTTCATTAATACATGACAAGGTCGAAATCATAACTTTGTACAGTATGTCATACTTTCCATTTTTTTGTCATAATAATGATTCGCAAAAGCACGATTTCTTTCTTATGCTGTGGGAATGTGTTGCAATAGATCCCAAACGTACAGTGTCACAAATAAAACCACTAACTTAATCATTTTTATAAATATTGACCAATTCATAAAGTTATTAAACGACTGACCTGATTGTGGACTGAATCCTGCAAGTGAATCAACAGACTGTCAGTCAGTCGGCAAAGCAGGCAATGATGTGTCCAGTGATGATCGATACCCACAGACAATCACTTTAAAGTGATATTTTAATAAAATAAACACATTTGCTGGAACAGTTTGCAGTTAATCTGATCACGATAAAACCACTTCCGGTCATTCGCTTGTTGTGCTTCTATTGTATTTTCAGAATAAAAGTCCTCATGAACCCGCCTAAAGCCAACGCAGTTAAATAATTTAAGAACTACAAAACACCAAATGTTTATAACTTAACCCAGAGCCATGTATTGAGATGGCTCAATACATGGCTCTGACTTAACCCAGATCCGCTGAAGAGATGCTACAACCCCAGTACAGATAAACTATTTAACAAAAATTATTTTATTATTATTAATGTCACTAAGACGGTAATATTTTCCTAAAATTGTACTAATAACACTACGAAATAAATGTTAAAAAACGATTTCATGATTGTTTTATAATGATAAATATTAATTTAAAATAATGATGCTATTAATTTTTTTATAGAAAAATAAATTTATGTTTTAATTTAATTTCTATAAAAGAAATGAAATAGATTTTTTTTTAACTAAAAGTCTACCCCGGACGTTTCTCTGCCGTGAACAGGAAGTGAAGTCACCGTCACAGAAGCGCAGGGATTGTGTGAGTTAGCTCGAGGTAAAGCGACTTTATTGATTAAAGTTCATTTATTAAAGTGATTTTATCCATCACGGATAATGTATTAAAGCGTTATTTACAGTTCAGAAGTGACGCGGTGCGCGTTCACGACGCCTATCGTCAAAATACAGGTACGTGTTTCTGACTTATATTTATCATCTTATCTTCAAAAACAGTTTACATTTTGGATTTGTAACCAAAGTAATACTTTAGTATTATTTTCATGTACCGTGAGTAGCATATAAACATTACAAGAATATGGTATTATTCAGTAACTTAGTAGTTTACTGTGAGGCTGTGTCTTTCATATTGTTTACCGCAAGTGTCATTAGCTTTTACTAGCTAGATGAAGTTTTTTGATGCTTTATTTATTTATTTGTTTATTTATCTATCATTTTACTTAAATAGTATAATTAGTGTCTGATTTGTAGATTTTAGTGTGCGTGTGAGTGAGAGAGAGTGAGTGAGTGAGTGTTAGAGAGAGAGAGAGAGTGGGTTTAGAGGGAAAATTATTTACCTCACCTTTTTTTCTTTTCTGTTTTCTCCACAGATTCAAAATATGGTCTGGATGTGATCGTTGTGTCACTCGTTTCTGGATGTACTTAAAATCAACCGATTGCTGAATTAAAAAAAAGGACGATCAGCAAATGTTAACATGACTCCCATTTGACGTCCGTTAGCCTCTGACTAGTCACTGAAAGACTAAAAACAGAAAGACATCATGTCTCTGCCTGAGGAAGCAGGGGATCGTGGGAAAGAGCGAGAGCGCGGAGCCCGTCCGAAAGTGCGTCAGAGCCGCTCTGAGGAAAGAAGAGACGGCGGGAGGAGAAAACCCGGGAGAGGGAAGAAGAAAAGCCACCCGTCGCACGACCTGACGTCTGAGCGGCCCGTTAGCGACGGCTTCGAGTACGGCGATCTCCTGAACGAGTCTAGCGAGGGCGGCTCGTCCTCTCCGGTGCGGGAGCACAGAAGACGGCAAGTTCTGGGATCGTCCGGATCCTTGTTACCTGAAAAGGTTTCCGCTAAGCTATCGCTCGGTTCGCCTGATCTCAGCAGCGACTCGGACAGCAAGTCGTCAGGAAGCAGTCGGACTCTCCGACAGAAGATCCAAGACGCGGTTGGCCAGTGTTTTCCCATCAAAACCCACACTCAAGTCCTATCGCACTCGCCTTCCTCGCGTCGCAAGATCCACATTAGCGAGCTCATGCTGGACAGCTGCCCCTTTCCCGCCGGATCCGATTTGGCTCAAAAGTGGTACCTTATTAAACAGCACACGGCTCCTATTTCCCAGGCGCCTGTTTTGGAGTCCGTCGCTCCTGTTGCGTTGGTGACGCCGGTCGAGGACGAGGATGATCGCTTACGGGAGCGACGACGGATTAGCATCGAGCAGGGAGTAGAACCGCCTCCAAACGCACAAATCCACACGTTCGAGGTAACAGCACAGATCAATCCTCTATACAAACTCGGACCTAAGCTAGCTCACGGGATGAACGAGCTAGCCGGAGACGAGCGCGCCACACTCCACCAGCTTCTCCTGCAAAGTTGTTTGGACACATTGGATGAGGTCGCTGCGTCAACTGCGGCGTCTGATTTCGACTTGGGCGCCGCGGCGTCACCATCATCCCAAGTCCAACCGGACTCTCCCAACTCGCAGGATATACAACATCGGATTCACACTCAAATCGACTACATCCACTGCTTAGTCCCGGATTTGCTTCAGATCACAAACCTTCCCTGCTACTGGGGCGTCATGGATCGATACCAAGCAGAGAATCTTCTGGAAGCCAAACCCGAAGGCACGTTCCTGCTACGCGACTCTGCACAGGAAGACTATCTCTTCTCCGTTAGCTTCCGACGCTACGGCCGCTCGCTACACGCGCGAATCGAGCAGTGGAACCACAACTTTAGCTTCGACGTGCACGACCCTAGCGTCTTCCACGCGACCACAGTCACCGGCCTCCTCGAGCACTACAAGGATCCCAACTCTTGCATGTTCTTCGAGCCGCTGCTCTCGAACCCCATCAACCGGACACAGCCCTTTAGCCTGCAGCACATCTGCCGCGCCGCCATTAGCAGCTGCACCACGTACGACGGCATCAATGCACTGCCGCTTCCCAACGCGCTCAAGGAGCACCTGAAGGAGTACCATTACAAGCAGCGCGTACGCATTCGCAGACTGGACACGTGGTGGGAGTGACGTAGCGAACTGTCTCAGGTTACGGAGGCGAGAAACAAGACCAGAAGTGCCACTACACCGGTTCTTATCGCTGCACTCTCAACTAGCGCTGCACAATTAATCGCAATTTACATGAAAACGCACTCTTGTCAAGACCACTTTCGTCAAATACGATTGACAATTAGCATATAGTTTGGATTGGCGGTATGGTTCTGTTCTAGGCAAGAACGTCCATGTAGCCTAGCATGGATAAGAGCAGCGTAGGGTAAACGGAACAGAACCAACATGAATGAATTGCAGATTATTTTATTAATTAATAAAGATTTTTAATGTATAACATAATTGACAATTCAAGGGGAATCCTGAGTGGCGAGAGGAGGAGCTGGGGAGGGAGGAGGGTAATTCGCGTAGACGTGGATCAGCTGAGAGTCACTGATGCGAGCTTGACTAACGTGACATGCCAGAAATGATGCTTGATTTAAACCGTTTTGGCTTATAAAATCGCAAAGGCTGTGATTGTTTGTTGTGTGCAGCTTGTCAGTGAAGCACGGCTCTGTAAACGCGGCTCCGTCTGAGTTTGAGTCGCTTATAACGTGCATTTGAAAAAGCAACACGTACGCGGCAAACACACATGAGAAGCATTTGTGAAGCTCCTGCCCAACTAAAGACATTTAATAACGTGCTTTTACTTCAAACTCACTTTATAAGGAGCATAGAGCTCATCCTTCCTCATCCCTACTCATGTTTAATCAATCCAAGAGTTTCACTCTTCTGATTATTCAGCAACAGCGATAGGGATGTGTGTTATGGGTAGGGTTGGGTATCGAGAATCGAGTATCGATTGGAACCGGGACTAACTTTTCGTTTTTCCCGGAATCGTTCAAAAGTTAAAATTTCGATTCCTAGTTTCGATATTCACAGTCCGCCGAGCGGAAGAAGAAACCGCTGAACAACACCAACGAAGAAGCGTCTACCGGAAGTGTTGGCATAACCACGCGAGTACCTTACGTCGGCGATCCAAAGTGTGGCTTCACTTTTCTAAAAATAATGAAATCTCGGCAAAATGCAAAATTTGTGACAGAAGGAGTATTTCCTTCAGAAAGGCCGTTGGTTAGCAAGGTTAGCTAAACTTTTTTGACCCTGCCTCTTAGAAGAATCGGAATCGAGAATCGTTAGGAACCGGAATCGAAACAAAGAATCGGAATCAGAATCGTTCAAATTCAAACGATACCCAACCCTAGTTATGGGGCATACGGTGTGTGTGAGATGCCCTCGATCAGTCGCTTCACTGACAAACTGCACATAACGTAATCACAGCCTTTACGAAATCGCGCGCGGTTTCATTGCGATTAATCGTGCAGCGCTACTCTCAAGTCTAGAGGACTGGTGTGAAGACGTGAGTGCCTTTCTGATGCTACTAATTTTTTGAGGTTTGAAATGCTGTTAGCTCATTGTCATGATGTTGGCGTCACAGGGTTCACCGCATCAACACTGGAGCGATTAACTGAGTAACACTGCACTGAATCTGCAAGCATTCGTTATTTTTTTATCGAGACAAGTGTCTCTTTTGGGAGTTATGGCACATTCACACCAAGAATGATAACTATAACGATGATGACTAAGGACAATGACTATAAAGTTTACAATAGGATGACTATTAGCATTATATGCTTTAAATTCAAATGGTTTCTGATTGGCTGTCGATGTTTTTATTCATTTATCAGCTGGAAGAAAATCGCTCTATAAGTGATTCCTGTGAAATCGTTCCTATGTGGTGTGGAAAATGATCTTAGATTTGGAGCGATTATCCAAACTTTATAGTTATAGTAGTTATTATCGCTATAGTTATCGTTCTTTAATGCACAAGGTTTGTTTTTCTGTGGTGAGTGAACCTCTGTAGTGTGTGGTATTTGAAAAACATTTCAGTTTTACAGAGGCATATTGAACTGTTTCTTGTCTTGGTAAAACATCAGAACTTTTGTAGAGTCACTCATTCATTCCTGGCAAATTCAAGTGGGCCAGAGGAACCCGAAGTCTCGCAGCTCACAGGTAGTTCAAGCCACTGCATGCTAAAGTTACACTGGAAAACTGGTGCTAATGTTCATCTGGATTGGCTTCTAATGCAGTTCTACACCAGATTGAATGGAGAATAATACAGGTAACGCACCATCTCAGTGTCATCTCTGTCTCTTGAGCTCGGTTGCCAATGTACTCTCGCCTGGATGCATGTTTGACTCATTTACTCACAGCACACTTATCATAGACAGATATGCATTTGGCCTGTGATGTATTATCCAAGAACAGATATCTGTACCAATTCTTGAGCTTGTAGACCAGTAGAATAGACCAAATCCATAGTTCTGCTTCTCTTGGATGACAGGTTCTTCATGGAGAACAGCTCACTCTTTCCACGTGGACGTCATTCATTCATTCCACTCCATGACTTCTTGTTTTTAATGTTCATTCACTGTATCACATTGTAATTCCTCTCTAATGCAGTCAATACATATGAATGTAAATCACCCCATATTAGAACTTATTATAGAAGCCGTTGTCTACCATGTTTTATAACCTCAAACATTCTTAACTATTGAAAACCCCCATTGTGTGTCCATTTAAAAACTCTTGAGCATTGAGTTTTGATCTGAATACAATAAACGGCATCTTTCTGCATTCGTCTGCTGCAGTGTTATTGAGATCTCACAAGAAAGTGATGGAATAACGTTAAACAACCATTTAATTTATGATGTTAACGAGCCGTTTCTGTTGGGAATCTTTTTTGCGTGTAGATGTGTCTTGCTGGTCAAGTCTGGATTGATGTGAATACAGTCAGTGCATTTTGCTTTGTCGACATTTTACCGTGATTTCCAGAGGACCATCATGAATGTTACAAACTTTTGTTCTTAAAACAGCAGCTTGCCTCTCTCTTTCTTTTTTTACATTGATATTTATTTTCTATTTAAGGCTTGCCTAATATGCTTAACATTTTTCAAATTATTTCTGATGTATTAAAGCCATGTGTGAATAATTTTATGGGTGTGTACGGTGTTACAGAAGCACATATTAATAAACTGTTGTATCTTTTATGACTCTCTAGTGTTATTTTTGCCTATTCTGTTTACCTGAAATAATATTTATATTCATGTACTTGTGTGTCTCATCTGGCCTATATATATACAGTAGTCAACAAAGACAGTTCATCAAAGTTGTCCTAAAAGACAAGAATGGATATTGTTCAAAATTCATGAATAACTTTGATAAAATATTTGGATCTACTTTAAATGTTGACTACTACGGTGTGTATAAATATATGAGAATGAGCGCAAAGAAATGATAAAATAATAATTACATTATAAATTTGTCACTTTAATATTTATTGTTGTTGAGGGCTTTATTTTGAATTATTATATATATATATATGTGTGTGTGTGTGTGTGTGTGTGTTTGTGTACATTTATGGCATTAATTTTTTTTTTTTAACTGGAAATATTTATCGTTGTCGAGGGCTTTTATTTTGAAGTGCAGCTCTTGCGGCCGCCATGTTCCTTTCTGGTTGCTGTGATGGAGACGAGGCGCTTTGGATTTTAAACTTTCTGTTTGAAATAATAAAAAAAACCCTCCGAAATACTCAATATCAGACATAGAGCATCAGAGCTGTACAATCACAAGATGTTTTAAAAACACTGCAGAACTGAGGGTGTAGTGTTAGAGAACAGGTGAGGATTAAACTAATCGCGTTATCAATTATTATTGGAATGATTGTAGTAACGTTAATGTTCGTTATTCTCGTTGTTTTAACTTCCGCAGAGTATTTACTGATAATCTACTCTTTATTTAACGTTAGTCGTTTATTGTACTCTGTTAGCGTTGCATGTATTTTTGTTAGACATACTATTGTACAACTAAAGCCCTGTTCATATCTGCGTTTGTATGTTTATTAACAAAGCATCGATTTAACCGGTTTTCTGTTGTAAACGCATATGTTGATGCTATGAAGTGTTTATTTACTAAGCAAAAAATGCAACAGTAAGTAAATGCTATTTGAGGAACGTGCTGTGTTTTCTAAAGTTTTAATTTGAAGTAATTTAGTGAGATTAATTCAAGGCCCGTTCCCGCCCCAGTGCGCGCGCTCCTGTCACGCCGCCGTCACCATGGCGACCACGGGACTGCGCATCGGAGATCAGCTGGTGCTGGAGGAAGACTATGATGAAAACTACATCCCTTCTGAGCAAGGTTATTAAACTATTATAAACTAAACGCAATGATTGTTGGCATTGAGTGAATGTACTGATTGCCGTACGTAATACAGCTTTTGGCTTTTTGAATTGTGACATTATTTGCATGGCAATTAAGGACAAATGCACATCTTTCTGGTTGGAGTTTTTCTATAATTCTCATTACTGTCATACAGTCTTGAACAGGGTTAACTTAAACTGAAATTAATTCTGTAAATCGAATCTAAAAGAAAATATAAAAAAATACTTTTTTTATCCTCATCTTTACATCGTTAGTCAACGTTATGTCATAGTCAATATTATTTTGTTTGTCATTGTTACAGTCAACGTTATAGTCCATTATATAATTTGTCAAAACTATATTATTTTAGTTGTCGTTATAGTCAACGTTATAACATTGTATACGTATATAACTTATAACGTCATTGTTATATCGTTATTGTTATAGTCATCATTGTATTGTTAGTCAGTGTTATATTGTAAGTCAACGTTATATCGTTAGTCTAATGATATAACTGACTAAATATAACAATATCAACGTTATATCGTTATAGTAGTAGATGAATGTCTACAGTAGAACTTCATGTTCTTTATGTATATAGTTTCTTGTTTATTTTGAGATTAAATTTGATCCTGACAGTTTCATTCTTCATGTATTAATTAATTAGCCTAATATTAATTTATCAAATATTAAACAGGTTAAAAGCCTGTTCACACCAAGACTGATAACTATAACGATAACTAGATTAGTTATTACTATATTAAAATTATTTTAATTAATCAAGATTATGATCCACATGAAACCGATACATAATTTATATTAAACACTGCAATATTCCACAAAAATTCACAAATTGTCAGTTTTTGATTTGATGGTGACTGTGTGTGTGTGTGTGTCAGAGATCCACGAGTACGCCGTCGAGATCGGCATCGACCCTCTGCGCGAGCCGGAGCTGCTGTGGTTGGCCAGAGAGGGGATGGTGGCGCCGCTGCCCGACGAGTGGAAACCATGGTAACACACACTTCCGTGAGAACACACACACTGATTCACATACTGATAAACCTTCAGTGCCGTCCATCTGGGGTTTCAGAGGAACGTATTCAAATAATGTAAAGGCTACATAAGTACATTATTAATAGTTTTAATTTGTTGCTCTTTTATAGCTCTTGAGACTCTCTGGATTTCTGATGTTTTTTTATTATTATCCACATTATCCCATATAATCCACAGTGTGAACTTTACCTGTGATATTCATCTTAATGTGTCTTAGGAGAAGTCAAATATTGACATGCAGTAAGAGAACGGAGCTGTGTATGAAATGAATGTGATGATGAGAAATGTTTGAGTTTCAGTAGTGTTTGTTTCTGTGTTCTTTACAAAAATAAATCTAAAGTTCCTTGATAAAAAGCTGTGAGCTTGGAAAATACATGTTTTTTTTATAGTGTATGGTTTATACATAGGTCGGATGTCCAGATTAGAGCCCGACCGATAAAGGATTTTGAAGGCCGATACCGATACAAATATTTTTGGGTTTTAAAATCTAACATATCGGACGATATTTTTTTGTATTAAATATTGTTGGATTTCACAAAAGAAAATCTAACTTTTCTGCACAAGATACGTTTGATACTTTTTCTCTATGTCTAAATGTTCACTCCTCGCAAGTATAACTTACATTTTACAATGCAGGGACTGTAACTAGAGATATGCTAGTTATAAATACAGTAATCATTACTTAATTTAGGCTGAAAAAGTTCATTGCGGTTTCCAAGCTCATTAATGTTAACGTTAGCGGTCTTCCACTGATGATAGCGGCATTAGCTAGATTTGTGGTTAGCTAGTCTATGATGAGCCATAATTTAGCAATAGATGACATCATACAGCAAATTGTAAAACATACATTTTCAATACAACAGGCCAAGGAGAGATAATTAAAGCGTGTTTCGTCTGTTTTTATTTTATTTTTTAAATATTCATTTATCGGCCATTATAGACCATTTTACAAGATGTAAACAACACTGGTCCAGAAGAACTTCCTGTTTTTTTTTTTTTAACACTAAATAAAAGCTGGGATAAAATACAACCAACAGAACATATAAAACTCAATCAAAAAGTTAAACTAATATCTTTAAGATGCTTTCTTTACATGTGAAATAAAGAAAACAGTTACAAACTGAAACAGGAAGTGTTTCTGAACCAGTGTTGTTTACATCTTGCAAAATGGTCTATAACTGCCGATACTCATATTTTGGAAAGTGCCTAATATCGGCAGATAATATCGGTCGGCCGATATATCGGTCTGACTCTAGTCCAGATATCGGATATGAATTTGATTTAAAAACACATTTGGAAGTGTACTGAGATCAGATGATAATAAACCGGTTCTCGTGTGGATTTTTGTGTTTATAAGTGTGCAACAAATTCCGATCCGTGTCAGATGTGAGTAAAAGATCGGATTTTTTGTGCCAGTGTAAGTAAACGCAGCCATGGAGACAGGAAGTGTGTGTGTGTGTGTTCAGTCAGGACATCACCGGTGAAGTGTACTACTTCAACTTCTCCACGGGTCAGTCCACGTGGGATCACCCCTGTGACGAGCAGTACCGCCAGCTAGTGGTGCAGGAGCGCGAGCGCACACAACACAGCAGAGCCGCTCCGCCCGCGGCCAACGCTACCGTGGGGAAGGACAAGGAGAAGAAGAAGAAGAAAGACAAGAAGAAGAAGGAGAAGAAGAAAGAACCAGAGGGAGTCAGAGCTCCAGGGGTGAGTTCATTTCAGAAAAACACTTTAAAGGTGCTGTATGTATGTTTTTGTCTGTACTAAAGCATAAAAATACCAGAAACATGCAAACATATGGTATTCAGTGTCACATGATCCTTCACAAATCATTCATGTGTGTGTGTGTGTGTCAGATGTTGGCTCCTCTCGCTCCTCTGCGGGGTCTGTCTGAGGCTCCTGTCGCTCCTCTCAGAGGGTCTCTGGGCGTCTCATCTGGACTCCAGCCGCTCAAAACCTCTCTAGGGGTAAAAAACCTCGAACTTCTCATGTGTGCTTCATTAATGGAGCTTCTGAATAAGTTTTAGTTATGATTTATGAATATTAAATGTGTTTTTGTCACTGGTGTGCTTCAGTCTGCCGTGTCGAGCTCCGCTGCTTTCAGAAGTGCTGAGGAAGACGAGGAGATCTCAGAGGAAGATGTGAATCTCAAACACACACCTGAACGCTAATACATGATGATGCACTGAACGCTAGCTGTAATCTGTTGTGTGTGTGTGTGTGTGTGTGTGTGTTTAGAGGCCGCGAGATTCAGTGGGACTGCTGAAGAACCTCCACCTGGATCTGGATGCTCTGGGAGCGGGACTGCAGTATGAGGTGAACACCACGAACGCATCACATCCTGCTGGAGATCAACACTTCACATGTTGGAATACTAAACTGCTGAACTACAGTGATTTTTATTATAGGGCTTTCAAACGATTAATCGTGATTAATCGCATCCAAAATAAAAGTTTGTGTTTACAAGATATGTGGGTAATTATTTTATATATATAGATACACACACATGCTTGTATATATTTAAAAAATATTTTCATGTATATACTGTTTATAGATTTATATATAATTTATATTATATATAAATATAAATATTTTTTATATAAATAATATTTTTTTCTTAAATATACTTGGATGTGTGTTTATTTATATATATATACAAAATAGTTATACACAGTGCACCCACATATATTATGTAAACACAAACTTTTGTTTTGGATGCGATTAATCGCGATTAATCGTTTGACAGCCCTATTTTTTTATTTTATTTTTCTCAGTATTTTTGTCTTGTTTTCCTTCACAAATATCTAAAAAATGTGAGATAGTTTTACTATCAGAACTTAATAAACTACTACGGTATATATAATGTTGAATATAATGTATAATAATGCAATGGGGGAATATTTGTGGGTCCTGATAATGCCTAATGTCATGTTACCAGTAAAAAGTGGCCTAGATTATTTTAAATATATCTTGTCAGTGACAGCAAGTAGATTTGTCTAAAATAATTCAGTATTTTCAGCCTCAGAATCATGGATATTGTTATTCTGGCATCTCTATTGTCCTTGGCTTTGGGTTTCAGCACCAAATCCAATCCTATTCATTTACATCCACCAAATGTATAATTTTAATCAACAGTACATTTTTTGTTAACCTTTTATCATATGACTTGGAGCATCGCAATAATATCGTATCGTGAGTTCAGGATCGTGAAATGTATCGAATCGTGACATTAGGGTATCCTTACACCCCTAGTTAGTGTGTGTGTGTTATAGTATTATAGAATAAAAGTCTATGCAAAGTTTAGACGGATTAGTAAACGTGTGTGTGTGTGTGTGTGTTTCAGGACAGTGAGGTCAGTGGGACGGTTCCTCCTGAAGAAAGAACAGAACCTGAACTACAGGATTTGGCCTTATCGAGGGATCACAGTCCAGAGCCGCCTTCAGAGGTACCTGTCTGCCTCTGTGTGTGTGTGTGTGTGTGTCTGCCTCTCTGTCTGTCTGTGTGTCTATCTCTCTCTGTCTGCAGTTTATCTGTGTGTCTTTGTTAAAAATACGGCTGTTTGTTTGAGCCGTTTGCATGTGACCTCACAGCCCGTCTGTCTCTCTGTCTGTGTGTGTGTCTGTCTGTGTGTCTCTAATCCATCCCTCCACTGTAAGGACTCGTTGCGTGGACGTCTCCTCCCCTCCACAGCCGCTTCATGCCCTTTGACCTCAGACGCTGCTGCAGACGAAGGCATGAGTGACGGTGCGCAGCAGGAGGAGAAACAGTCCGATGAAGAGATCGATGAGGAGATTGAGAGATTCAGCCAGACCAAGGAGAGAACCGAAGAGCAGAGAGAACAGACGGAGAGTGAAGATGATGAAGACAAGCCTAGAGAAGAACAGGAGAAAGACAGCGGCGTACAGGCAGAGCGAAGTGAGGAGGAGGAGAGGCTTTCAGAGCGCAGTGAAAGAGAGGAACACGAACACGAAAGAGACAGCGAGGAAATCGAGCGCTTTCAGACGGACAGCCCTCCGATAGAAAAAGGAAAAGAACAGAGGCAGGAGAAAGGCGAGATCAGCAGTGAGGAAGAGGTAGAGAGAAGTGTTTTCCATATGGAGGAGGAAGAGAAGCTTTCAGAACACGGGGAAACTGAGGAAGATGAGCATAAAGAAGAGCAGAGAGAGAGTGAAGGACGTGGGATCAGCGACACTCAGAGCGACAGAGACGGCGAGGAGATCGAACGCTTTCAGGAGGACAGCCCTCAAATGACACACTTTAAAACTGGGAAGTTTGTGCCTCAGTGGAATCCAGTGTGCAGTGAGGTAGGACTCAGAGCCCCGCCCCTGCACACAAACTCCACCCATCTCACACAAAAACCCCACCCATCTCACATGCCCTGCCCCTGCACACAAACCCCACCCATCTCACATGCCCCGCCCCTGCACACAAACCCCACCCATCTCACACACAAACCCCACCCATCTCACATGCCCTGCCCCTGCACACAAACCCCACCCATCTCACATGGCCCACCCACTGCAAAAAAACCCCACCCATCTCACATGCCCCGCCCCTGCACACAAACCCCACCCATCTCACACACAAACCCCACCCATCTCACACACAAACCCCACCCATCTCACATGCCCTGCCCCTGCACACAAACCCCACCCATCTCACATGCCCCACCCACTGCAAAAAAACCCCACCCATCTCACAGACCCTGCCCCTGCACACAAACCCCACCCATCTTACACACAAACCCCACCCATCTCACACACAAACCCCACCCATCTCACACACAAACCCCACCCATCTCACATGCCCTGCCCCTGCACACAAAACCCACCCATCTCACATGGCCCACCCACTGCAAAAAAACCCCACCCATCTCACAGACCCCGCCCCTGCAAACAAACCCCACCCATCTCACATGCCCCCGCCCCTGCAAACAAACCCCACCCATCTCACATGGCCCACCCACTGCAAAAAACCCCACCCATCTCACAGACCCCGCCCCTGCAAACAAACCCCACCCATCTCACATGGCCCACCCACTGCAAAAAAAACCCACCCATCTCACAGACCCCGCCCCTGCAAACAAACCCCACCCATCTCACATGCCCAGCCCCTGCACACAAACCCCACCCATCTCACACACAAACCCCACCCATCTCACATGGCCCACCCACTGCAAAAAAACCCCACCCATCTCACAGACCCCGCCCCTGCAAACAAACCCCACCCATCTCACATGCCCAGCCCCTGCACACAAACCCCACCCATCTCACATGCCCAGCCCCTGCACACAAACCCCACCCATCTCACATGCCCCCGCCCCTGCAAACAAACCCCACCCATCTCACATGCCCAGCCCCTGCACACAAACCCCACCCATCTCACATGCCCCCGCCCTGCACACAAACCCCACCCATCTCACATGCCCCGCCCCTGCACACAAACCCCACCCATCTCACATGCCCAGCCCCTGCACACAAACCCCACCCATCTCACACACAAACCCCACCCATCTCACATGGCCCACCCACTGCAAAAAAACCCCACCCATCTCACAGACCCCGCCCCTGCAAACAAACCCCACCCATCTCACATGCCCAGCCCCTGCACACAAACCCCACCCATCTCACATGCCCCCGCCCCTGCACACAAACCCCACCCATCTCACAGACCCCGCCCCTGCAAACAAACCCCACCCATCTCACATGGCCCACCCACTGCAAAAAAAACCCACCCATCTCACAGACCCCGCCCCTGCAAACAAACCCCACCCATCTCACATGCCCAGCCCCTGCACACAAACCCCACCCATCTCACATGCCCAGCCCCTGCACACAAACCCCACCCATCTCACATGCCCCCGCCCCTGCAAACAAACCCCACCCATCTCACATGCCCCGCCCCTGCACACAAACCCCACCCATCTCACATGCCCCCGCCCCTGCACACAAACCCCACCCATCTCACATGCCCCGCCCCTGCACACAAACCCCACCCATCTCACATGCCCCGCCCCTGCACACAAACCCCACCCATCTCACATTCCCCGCCCCTGCACACAAACCCCACCCATCTCACATGCCCCGCCCCTGCACACAAACCCCACCCATCTCACATGCCCCGCCCCTGCACACAAACCCCGCCCATCTCACATGCCCCCGCCCCTGCACACAAACCCCACCCATCTCACATGCCCCGCCCCTGCACACAAACCCCACCCATCTCACATGCCCCGCCCCTGCACACAAACCCCACCCATCTCACATTCCCCGCCCCTGCACACAAACCCCACCCATCTCACATGCCCCGCCCCTGCACACAAACCCCACCCATCTCACATGCCCCCGCCCCTGCACACAAACCCCACCCATCTCACATGCCCCCGCCCCTGCACACAAACCCCACCCATCTCACATGCCCCCGCCCCTATATTATATCAATATAATTTGCTTTCATGCTGATATAGGAGAAAAACAGCATTCTTGCTTGTGTGATATTACTTACCTACACTATATTGCCAAAAGTATTGGTACACCCTCCAAATCATTGAATTCAGGAGTTCCAATCGTTTCCAAGGCTTTAATTTATTCTGTGAATTATTCGTTCATTGATTTGTTTGTTCGTTCTGTAGCATTTGTTCAGTGTTTGTGTCTTCATTCATTTATTGATTCGTTCGTTCATTCTGTTGCTTTGTTCAGTGTTTGTGTCTAAATTCATTGATTTGTTTGTTCGTTCAGTGATTCGTTCGTTCATTCTGTAACATTGTTCAGTGTCTGTGTCTTAGCGTGCAGAGCTGCAGAGAGGAGGCGTGTCTCAACACAGTCATGTGACATCACACACTAAAAGCTCCCTTGAGGAACATAGTTTGATGTGTGTCTCATCTCATTATTCATGAGCCAATCAGAGCTCCTCTCTGAAACTGCCAGCATCCTCCTCTCCCACACTGGCTCACTGCTTTGTGTGTGTGTGTTATCAGTGTATTAATACGAGTGTGTGATGTCATATCCTGTGCCGTGACAGGAATCTGAAGCTGGTGAAGCAGCAGCGGCGTCGCTCTCATTCGCCGATGATGTGCAGGTGTGACTTCATCAACACACACACACATTTATTTACATTCATGCATTTAACAGACATGTCTGGATTGTGTGTGTGTGTGTGTGTGTCGCATAATTTCACTCTTCATGTTTTTCCTCAGGCTGGCTTTCACTCCAAACTCTCAGAGAATGTGTTTGATCTGCTGGATCTGACTCCTGCAGTGGTAACACACACTCACACACTCACACACTCACGCACTCTCACAAACACACCTCTACAGGTTTAAAGGCTCATTCTGTCTCTGTGTGTGTGTGTGTGTGTGTGTCTCTCAGGACAGGAAGGAAGAGGAGGGAGAGGAAGACGTGGACAGCTGCGTGGATGTCTCTGTCTCTGCAGACAGGTGAGGATGATGATGATGATATGACTCGCGAGTGAATTATCATCACAAACCCAAAAGTTTTTGTTTACATGATATATGTGTGTGTGGTGTGTATAATTATTTTGTATATATAAATACTAACACATGCGGTAACACTTTACAATAAGGTTCATTAGTTAACATTAGTAAATGCATTAACTAACATGAACTAACGATGAGCAATGCATTAGTTACAGTGTTTGTTAATCTTTGTTCATGTTAGTTAATATAAATACAGCTGTTCATTGTGCGTTCATGTTAGTTCACAGTGCATTAACTAATGTTAACTAATATAACCTTTGATTTTAATAACGTATTTGTAAATGTTGGAATTAATATTAACTAAGATTAATAAATGCTGAAGAAGTATTGTTCATTCTTAGTACATGTTAACTAATGTTAACTACTGAACCTTATTGTAAAGTGTTCCCACACATGCATGTATATATTTAAGAAAAATGTGTTCTTAATATATCAAATATTTAAATTTATACAGAATATTAATTATGTATAAATATATATAAAGTATATACATGCAAATATTTCTTAAATATATACATGCATGTGTGTGTATTTATATATACAAAATAATTATACACACCACACACACAAATATTACGTAAACACAAACTTTTATTTTGGATGCGATTAATCGCGATTAATCGTTCCCCATCCTTATTGTACAGTGTTACCGAATGTTCTCTCTGGGATTAATGTGTGTCTAATCTCAGGCGTCTGCAGTCCCAGTCCGACCTCTCCTCGCCCGCCGATGACATCAGCAGAGCATCACATGACCAGAGACCGCCGACGGCCCGCGGCCGAACCCACACCAGTGATCAGGAGAAGAGACGAGAAGCTCAGGAGGATGAAGAGCAGCGTGAGCGTGATGAAGAGGAGAGAAGACGGATGGAGGAGGAGAAGAACAGATTGATGGAGGAGGAGAAGAACAGACGGATGGAGGAGGAGAAGAACAGACTGATGGAGGAGGAGAAGAGAAGAGAAGCTCAGGAGGATGAAGAACAGCACAAGTGTGATGAAGAGGAGAAGAACAGACTACGACTGCAGCTGCTCAGACAAGCGCTGATGAAGGATGAGGAAGACGAGGAGTGCCGGATGAAGGAGGAGAGCGCCGAGCAGCTGAGGTCAGTGACTGCTGCATTGTGGGTCCCTGTGCTGTAGAAGTGTGTGTGCCAACAAATCATGAGCAGTTTGGCACCAAAGTTTTCCAAATTCATGTCAACTCACGTCATCGTGTGTGTGTGTGTGTGTGTGTGTGTGTGTGTTTTAGGGTTTTGAAGGAACAGATACTTAAAAACAGACGAGATGAGGAGGAGCGATTAAACAACGACATGCACACACAACTACAAAAGCTAAGGTACCCTTATATACATAAAACAGACACACACTATATCAACATCAAGACACACAGAAACACTATATCAACATCAGCACACACACAAATACAACAGCTCAGGTAATATACACACATCAGCACTCACAAAGACCGTCTCGTGTGTGTGAACAGATCTGAGAACGAGGTGAGACTCCAGGAGCTGCGCTCAGAGCTGGAGGCAGAGCAGAAGAGGGCGGAGACTGAGAAGAGGCGGGGTCTTGAGCTCCTGAGGGAGGAGTTAGAGGAGGAGCTCCAGGCAGAGAGGAGGCGGCTACAGGACAAGAAGGAGGAGCAGCTGACCTCCATCAGAACACAGGTGTGTGTGTGTTTGAAGTCTATGCAATTTTCACACTGATATAGTGAAACAAATGTGTGTGTTTGTGATTAACGCTCTGTTGTTTTTTGTCAGGCTAAACTGAGCGACTCTCTGAAGAATTCAAGGAGTCCACGACCAGAACAACCTTTAGCCGAGTACCAGAGAGAGGTACAACACACTCACTCAATCACTCACTCACTCTCTCTCACACACAAACACTCACTCACACTTGCACACTCACTCATATACTCACTCTCACTCTCTCACTCACTCATATACTCACTCGATCACTCATATACTCACTCACTCATCATATACTCATATACTCACTCGATCACTCATATACTTACTCACTCATACACTAACTCACTCATATACTCACTTATATACTCACTCATACACTCACTTATATACTCCATCACTCATATACTCCATCACTCACTCATATACTCACTCTCACTCTCTCATTCACTCATATACTCACTCACTCATATACTCATATACTCACTCGATCACTCATATACTTACTCACTCATACACTAACTCACTCATATACTCACTTATATACTCACTCATACACTCACTTATATACTCACTCACTCATATACTCCATCACTCACTCATATACTCACTCACTCACTTACTCACTCATATACTCCATCAATCACTCATATACTCACTCACTCACTAATATACTCCATCACTCACTCATATACTCACTCATATACTCCATCAATCACTCATATACTCCATCACTCACTTATATACTCCATCAATCACTCATATACTCCATCACTCACTTATATACTCCATCAATCACTCATATACTCCATCAATCACTTATATACTCCATCAATCACTCATATACTCACTCACTCCTATACTCCATCAGTCACTCATATACTCACTCACTCACTCACTCACTCACTCACTCATATACTCCATCACTCACTCATATACTCCATCACTCACTCATATACTCACTCATATACTCCATCACTCACTCACTCACTCACTCACTCACTCACTCACTCATATACTCCATCACTCACTCATATACTCCATCAATCACTCATATACTCCTTCAATCACTCATATACTCCATCACTCACTCATATACTCATTCATTCTGGAGGAGAAGAACAGACGGATGGAGGAGGAGAAGAACTTATATACTCACTCACTCATATACTCCATCATATACACTCACTTATATACTCACTCACTCATATACTCCATCAATCACTCATATACTCACTCACTCACTAATATACTCCATCACTCACTCATATACTCACTCATATACTCCATCAATCACTCATATACTCACTCACTAATATACTCCATCACTCACTCATATACTCACTCATATACTTCATCACTCACTCATATACTCACTCATATACTCCATCAATCACTCATATACTCACTCACTAATATACTCCATCAATCACTCATATACTCACTCACTAATATACTCCATCACTCACTCATATACTCACTCATATACTCCATCACTCACTCATATACTCACTCATATACTCCATCAATCACTCATATACTCCATCAATCACTTATATACTCCATCAATCACTCATATACTCACTCACTCCTATACTCCATCAGTCACTCATATACTCACTCACTCACTCACTCACTCACTCATATACTCCATCACTCACTCATATACTCACTCATATACTCCATCACTCACTCATATACTCACTCATATACTCCATCACTCACTCACTCACTCATATACTCCATCACTCACTCACTCACTCACTCATATACTCTATCACTCACTCATATACTCCATCAATCACTCATATACTCACTCACTCACTCATATACTCCTTCAATCACTCATATACTCCATCACTCACTCATATACTCACTCATATACTCCATCACTCACTCACTCACTCACTCACTCATATACTCACTCACTCATATACTCTATCACTCACTCATATACTCCATCAATCACTCATATACTCCATCAATCACTCATATACTCCATCACTCACTCATATACTCCTTCAATCACTCATATACTCCATCAATCACTCATATACTTCATCAATCACTCATATACTCCTTCAATCACTCATATAGTCCATCACTCACTCATATACTCCTTCAATCACTCATATACTCCATCACTCACTCATATACTCACTCATATACTCCATCACTCACTCATATACTCACTCATATACTCCATCAATCACTCATATACTCCATCAGTCACTCATATACTCACTCACTCACTCATATACTCCATCACTCACTCATATACTCACTCATATACTCCATCAATTACTCATATACTCCATCAATCACTCATATACTCACTCACTCACTCACTCACTCACGTTCATCTGCATACACTTTTGAGAGCCAAGCCCACATCCAATCAACAACTGGTGCACACCATTTATTATTTTCAGCTGTTACACCCTGATATACTGTATGTCACAATAAATAACCTACGTCTTCTGCAGTGTTATATGAATGGAATTCTGCAGCAGTAGCTGGAGTGTTTTAATGTGTGTTAGTGTGTGTGTGTTTTAGCTCACAGATGTCCTCCAAGAAGTTCGTGAGGAAGTTGAGAGAGATCACAGAAAGAAACTAGAACAACTGAAAGAGGAACATCGACATGAACTACAGAACCTCAGAGAAACACACCTGGAGCGGGTACAACACACACACACACACACACACACACACATCAGACATGTGTTGTTATTATTATTGCTGAGTGTGTCGTCTCATCCACTCACCGGCTGTTGTGTGTGTGTGTGTGTGTGTGTAGGAGAGCAGGGAGAGAGAGCGTCTATTGAACTCTCTTCAGGAGGAGAGAGACACTATGATGTCTACACACACAACACAACTACACAAACTACAGCACACGCTGGAAACACAACTGCAGGAGATGCGCAGGACACACTCACTGAAGGTCAGCACAACACACACACTCATGGCACAGAGAAACAATATCACTGTAATCACGTTCAGAGTGATGTTTCTCCAGATGATGAATGATAAACACACTAGCCATGTTTCCATCCACTGTGTGTGTGTGTGTGTGTGTGTAGGAGACAGCGTTACAGGAGTGGATGGAGAAGCTGGAAGTACAAACCAAAGAACTTCAAACTCGAGAGGCAGAACTTCAGTCAAAGGTTCAGAACAGTGTGTTTTTATGCATTATATTAGTTTGTTCATGTAGTTTACTTCACACATGAGTTGTTCATCGTAGTTTTACTAGAACACTAACAGTGCCGTTTACTGATGATCACCAGGCGTCAGAGTTGAAGAAGAGCAGACAGCAGCTGTGTGAGGAAGAGGAGGATATTCAGAGAGGATTAGAGGTGTGTGTCTGTGTGTGTGACAGTGCTGTCTGATACAATCAGGAGTGTGTTTGAATGTGTGTGTGTGTGTGCAGTCTCTCCCTCGGTTGTTGAAGGAGCGGGACGAGCTTCGTGAGGAGCTGCAGCGGATGAGGGCAGATCTTCAGCGAGAGAGACAGGAGAGGGAGAGACAGAGAGAGGAGAACAGCAGGATGATGGAGGAGAGACAACAGCTGGAGACGAGGGTCACACTCCTGCAGGACAGATGTGAACAGCTCAGCTCCAGAGTCAGGTAACACACTCACTCACTCACTCACTCACTCATATACTCACTCACTCACTCACTCACTCACTCATATACTCACTCACTCACTCACTCACTCACTCACTCATATACTCACTCACTCACTCACTCATATACTCACTCACTCACTCACTCATATACTTACTCATATACTCACTCACTCACTCACTCACTCATATACTCACTCATATACTCACTCAATCACTCATATACGCATATACTCACTCATATACTCACTCACTCATATACTCACTCATATACTCACTCATATACTCACTCATATACTCACTCACTCATATACTCACTCATATACTCACTCATATACTCACTCATATACTCACTCACTCATATACTCACTCATATACTCACTCATATACTCACTCACTCATATACTCACTCATATACTCACTCATATACTCACTCACTCATATACTCACTCATATACTTACTCATATACTCACTCATATACTCAATCACTCATATACTCACTCATATACTCACTCATATACTCACTCATATACTCACTCACTCATATACTCAATCACTCATATACTCACTCACTCATATACTCACTCATATACTCAATCACTCATATACTCACTCACTCACTCATATACTCACTCACTCATATACGCATATACTCACTCATATACTCAATCACTCATATACTCACTCATATACTCACTCATATACTCACTCATATACTCACTCACTCATATACTCAATCATATACTCACTCATATACGCATATACTCACTCACTCATATACTCACTCATATACTCACTCACTCATATACTCACTCATATACTCACTCATATACTCACTCATATACTCACTCACTCATATACTCACTCATATACTCACTCATATACTCACTCACTCATATACTCACTCATATACTCACTCATATACTCACTCATATACTCACTCACTCATATACTCACTCATATACTCACTCATATACTCACTCACTCATATACTCACTCATATACTCACTCATATACTCACTCATATACTCACTCACTCATATACTCAATCATATACTCACTCACTCTTATACTCATATACTCACTCACTCACTCTTATACTCATATACTCACTCAATCACTCACTCATATACTCACTCATATACTCACTCATATACTCACTCACTCATATACTCAATCATATACTCACTCACTCTTATACTCATATACTCACTCACTCACTCACTCACTCACTCATATACTCACTCACTCACTCACTCACTCTTATACTCATATACTCATATACTCATATACTCACTCACTCACTCACTCACTCACTCTTATACTCATATACTCACTCAATCACTCACTCATATACTCACTCATAAACTCACTCACTCATATACTCACTCACTCACTCACACACACACTCACCCACACACACTGACTGTAGACACACTCGCACACATACACACTCAATCAATGTTGATTTATTTCAGTTCAATAATAGTGTCAATGGTGCAAAAATGAATAAAATATAAAATATTTTGTTTCATCGATGATCATCTCTAAGACAATCGTGTAATTATTCAGCTCAAGTGTTCATACTGTGTTCTCGTCCAGTAGTGTCACTGCAGTCAAATAATATTTAATAGTCAATAATATTGCCTTATTTAGTGTCCTAAACTAAACGAGCTAAGGTGGTGAGGCAGAGACAGACTGTGTGTGTGTGTGTGTGTGCAGCGAGCTGGAGCAGAGCAGCAGATCGGCGAGAGAAGACCAGCAGAAGAAGAGCAGGAGGAAGAGCGAGAGCGGCCTGCGCTTGGAGGACCTCGAAGCCTCAGCGCTGCGCTCAGGAGACGCCAGCGATAACAGCGTAGACGAGTACGTGTGAGTCCTAGAGAGCTGCCCATCTAGTGCTCCTGATTCTCACTCACTCCTGAGACAGAGCGACACGTGTCATAATCTAAGAACCACACACACACACACACACACACACACGTCTCCACGGACTCTGTGTTGTGTGAAGCTGCCTCCTTTCTGACTGATAACAAGAACAAAACAATAGCCATGTTTTCATCCACTTGTCAATCGAATTATCTGAAGTTCGGTAAAAAAAAAAACACATGCGAATAAAGCTGGTGAAAGTGTGTTTCCATCCAACGGCTTTAAAGCCAATAAAAACCTGTACGTAATGATGTCACATGCTGTTTTGCGATTTTAAGGTGTTTCCATTCATTTTCGCACTGAATCGAAGAACATTCCAGCAAACTTTTGCGAACAAAGTTTTGTTAGACAAAACGGATCGCGGCATCTACCAACAAATGATCAATATTTCACAAGTTGAAGCATAATAATGCTTATGTGCCAGCTGATAGCGACATATGTAAGATATAATGTATGCGAGGCGGCTGTTGAAGGGGTTGAATTTGCTATAACAACCGCCTCGCTTTATATTATTCTGCTTATTACATATAAATCAATAATTTGACACAACAAATTGACTTAAAAACGAGTATTGCTTCTGCTAAAGAAAATATAAAGTCGCAATTGCAGGTTATAAAGTCAGGCTTTCGTGATATAAAGTCGCAATTGCGTGTTAAGTCAGAATTATGAGATATAAACTAGCAATTGCGAGGCTACTTGAAATTTTGACTTTATAATACGCAAATTGGGAGATATAAAGTCGCAATTGTGAGATATTGAACTATTTTTTTTAACAGATTTTTTTCCCTTAGAATTTGACTTTAACTCGCAATTAAAGTCGCATTTTTTTGCTTTGTCCACTTAACGTTACATCCGTCTTTGTTGACATCCGCCATGTGTGCGCAAACAGACTGGCCATAAATGAACTCGTCTTCTGGCGCGTTGCAACCATAAAAGGGCCTAAAACTTAATCGCAATTCATTATTTATTCGGCAAATAACGTTTCCATCAGCTTTTATCGCATTAGCCGTATATCGATCAAGATAAAATCCGATGAGACCGAACGTATTTCATGAAATTTCATCGAATTTTACTGTTTCCATAAGGTATTTTTCATTCGATATCACTTAATTCGGATAAAAACGTGTCGATGGAAACATGGCTAATGTCTGAAGGCTGCTATGTGACAATGAGTACAGCAAACCATAGATATCTATATAAAGGCTAGATATCTCGTCCACGCTGCTGGCCAATGGAGGTCGACGTCTGCACCTGGCGGCCATCTTGCCACAGTCAGCTCGCTCACTCGTAACATTGTGTTAATGGTACATGTACTATTTAAATGACCATAACTTGCTCAATTTTCTACCGATTTTCAAACGGTTCGGTTTGTTATAAACGTCAGAGATGTAGTTATGACACAGCAGACTTATGAATAAAAAGTGTATAAATAAATAATCATCCAGATTATTATGTTTGTAAGAAACCAAACCGTTTGTAAATCCGTTAAGATTTCAACGAGATAAGATCAGCTTGCCTGTGACAAGATGGCCGCCGGTGATGACTATAGAAACTCCGCCTTTATATAGATATCTATGCAGCAAACAAGCTAAAAACACAGACACGTTGCGCTCCGTCTCAATTGCCTGTATCCACTTTTATGTCCTTTAACGGGGTGTTACTCTCTCTCTCCCAGTGTGAGGCAGTATGTGTGGAATGAGAGCGTGTCTCTCCTCAGGGCTCGGCAGTTTCTGGAGCGCCAGAGCGTTCAGGTGTCGGACAGACAGGCAGCGCTGCGGGCAGCTCACAGCAGTCTGAAGGACCCCTCGCCCGGGACCTCCACGCAGCAGCTCTACCACAACCTGCAGCAGGTGAGTGTGTGTTCAGACAGAGCCGTGTCTGCAGTCCTTATCACCTGATGTGTGTGTGTGTGTGTGTCAGAGATGGGGACTCGAGTCGCACAAACAGCTGACTTCAGACTTGACTCGTGACTCGACCCAGCAACCTGTTTTCATGCAATTATCGCTTTTTAAATCTAAATTCATTTTAATGTATTATTATTTTCTTTTATCGGCCCATACGTTGGGGAAGCGTATGATAAGCTGCATGTCCCCCGCCCTTTGTCATACTGGAGCATATTTAGGCCACGCCCACACCGGGGGAAAACTATCCAACCGTCTCCATTGACTTTGCGTCTGTAGATTTCTCATAAATTCAACAAAAGTTGGCATTGTAAATCATCCCGATCTGCACCGTCATCACAGACATCGTTAGAAAGCTCTCTCTCTCTCTCTCTCTCTCTCTCTCTCTCTCTCTCTCTCTCTCTCTCTCCTCTCTCCAGTTCAATGTTGTCGGATCCAAATATGGTCATTTCCTTTTAATCAGCAACCAATCGCGAAAGTAAAAGGGGGATTTAACTCTAAATGAGCAATCTCATTGGCCTGATGGAAATCTTTAGATCCCGTTTTGCGTTTTCTCAAAATGACTTTTTTGAGTCTTGAAATCTCCACTTCAGTAGCACCGATATACCAAACCTAATACACCAAACTGTCCAGTCTTGTACCTAGTTTTATTATGAAGACTATTACAGATGGATTTGTAAATATATTATTCCTAGCTTGACTTATATAACATTGTTTTTCTAAAAACATGGCGAAAATCTATTTAAGGCTATCTGATTACAGGATAACAAAAGTAGATGTACATAAATAGCTATTTTCCCCCATCTATTACTGTATGTGAACACAATGAAAAAAATATTTTAAATCTGGCTTTATCTAATAGGCCACTCAGATTTGGTCTTTTTTTTTTTTTTTAATATATGCAAATTCGCACATATTTAATTAGGCAATGCCTAATAATTTAAGACTTGAGACTTGACTTGGACTCGAGCTCAAAGACTTGAGACAGAGACTTGACTTGGACTTCCAAAAAATGACTTGTGAACATCTCTGGTGTGTGTGTGTGTTTGTGTGTGTGTGTGTGTGTGTGTAGGAGGCGAGGGATCTAGCCGAGCTGAGGGAGACGCTTCACAAGGGTCAAACGCTACTGAAAGAAAAAGAGGAAAAACTGAACCAGCTCGAAACTTCACTGACTGAAGAGGTACGACACACACACACACACTGCTGGATACACTATACTAGTGTGGGGATTACATAGACACGAGTGTTTTATACTGAGAGAATCATATTTGAGCTAAATCGTCATGTTCAAGGACAAACCTTTAAAAAAACATCACAAATATAAACACTAGTCTGCACCAGTGTTGGGTAAGTTACTCTAAAAAAGTAATTAATTACTAGTTACTAATTACCTCTTTAACAGTGTAATTAGATTACTGTACTAATTACTCTCTCTTAAAAGTATTTAATTACTTTTAATTACTAATTACTTTCAAAATCCCAGCTGAATAATACAAGGATAGACATGAATCTGTTTTAATTCTTTCAAATAAATACTATAAAATCGCATGAATTATCCTTAAACTGAGCAAGGTGGAGAAGGTTACATTATAAAAACATACTTTTTACCATCAGACAATACATTTTGATGTTAAACCCACTATTGTTTTATGTCTGATCTCATGACATTTCACACTTTTTCATACATATTTTACAATAATTCAGTACGAGTGCGGTCGTACGATTTAGACACCTCATAAAATGCATACGAATCGCTGTGAGATCGGATTGATCCATACACACTATTGACCTCAATTACATCAGAAGTAACTGTAATTAAATTACAGTTAAATGAAGAGTAATCCCTTACTTTACATTTTCAAGGGAAAAGTCATTAAATTACAGTAACTAATTACTTAGTAATTAGTTAAACCCAACACTGGTCTGCACACACACACACACACGTTATAAAGCCCAATCAGATCAGATTTTTAACACCCAAATTCTGTTTTTTTCCCCACTAGATTCCTATATAGCTCTATATACAGGAGCGTTAAAGTTGTTTTTATACATTATTACTTACTTTTATTAGGTTTTGTAGTTGGATATACATTTAGATATTCTCAAAGACTAGTTTTTGTTTTATGTTTATTTGAAGTGTTCGTTTTTTCATACATGTTACTACAGTCAAACCTGGTTGTGATGAAGAGGTGTGTGTGTGTGTGTGTGTGTGTATCTGCTGATAGTTTTCTCAGATGTAATGGTGAAATGTTGGTGTAGAGAAGCTGAGACAGACTTTAATACTCACACACACTCCTCCATATCGCCGTTTGATTCGGTGTGTTGCCCTGTCTGATTTATTCAGCCGACATTGTGACATTCAGCATTATACTGTACATTTCATGAGATGCGTGTGTGTGTGTGTCAGGTGTCATGCGAGGACGCTGAGAGGTCAGCTGATCGGAAAGTGACGTTTGATGTCACCGAGTCAGAGATGAGCAGCATCTACAGCCCGGAGGGAACAGGTGACACACACACACACACACAAAGTGCCCCTATTATGTTTATATTATTATTACATCGTATGTAATAAAGCTGTTTTGATTGTAAAGGGTCTGCAAAGTTTCAAAGTTAAAATAAGTTTCCCAAAAGAAACGAGTCGTCAGGACGTGTGTGACTAATTAGCATAAAACCAGCCTGTGGTCTTGATTGGCTGAACAGCGTCTCTTAGCCCCGCCCTCAAACACTGTAGTTTATCTGTGACTGGAAGAGATTTAGATATGATAATGAGCGTTTGGTCATGACCAATCAGAGCAGAGCAGCTCTTTTTATAAGAGACTGAATCTTTTATCGAACCGTTTCAGACAAAGAGCTGATTCTGCTGTGGATTTATGAGAAAATTAAAGTGTTTTGGATGCATGTAAAGAAAACAAATCTAAATGAGGAACATTTGCATGATTGGGGACTTGTGTTAATGTGTGTGATCGTCTGTCAGTTCCGGTGAAGGTGCAGCAGTTGGCCGACTCTCTGCAGCTGATCTCAGGTCAGCTCAATTCTGTGTTAGGAGCTTTGGGTTCACTGACCCACAAACAGGCCCCGCCCACTCTGACCACACCTCTACCACCCCGGCCCTCGTGGGCGTGGCCTGTGAACTCCTCCCCCTCGCTGTCCAACGGACTCAGACCCACAGACTCGCTGCAGAACCGCTGGACGGGTGAGACACACACACACACACACACGTCATCACCTACAGCATCATCTGAACATCATCTGTTTCCACAGAAACCAGCAGAGCTCACATGACCTACTCAGGATACACACTGCCAAGGTGAGCTCACACACACACCAGTCTTCCACAGTCATATAGATATTCAGTGTAAATTGCTGTTATGTTGTGTGTGTGTGTGTGCAGCCTGTCGAGTCTGCGTCCATCAGCAGAGGTCGAAGGTCAGCGGCTGCAGGGTCTGATTGAAGGAAACAAACGCTGGCTGGAAGCTCAACGCAAAAACCGCAACATGTATCCTTACACAGCCGGGTGTTTTTCTCAAGGAGAACGGGTTTATTTCAGCTCAGGCGGTTTGGGTTGAAATCACGTCGTCAGCAACTAGAGCCCGACCGATAACGGATTTTGAAGGCCGATACCGATACAAATATTTTTTGGTTTTAAAATCCGATATGCCGATATATCGGCCGATTTTTTTTTTTTTTTTTCGAAACGCGCAACAAAACATTAAAGGTATAGCGGAGGATCTTTCCGAATTTTAGAGAAGACCCGCCCTCTCCAATTTTTTAAAAAAATGCACATGCACAAACACAACACTCTTGCTCCCGAGAGGGAACACCTACTATTACGCCTTGCACAATTATGTTGCAAATTGTAAACTAACTCAAAAATATTCATAAAAAAGACAACATGTCTAATGCCCTTCCGTGTTTTGTTTACTTATTATACTGATCGATTGAGTGACCGAGGACTCAAGACATGATATGTGCAACCCTGTATCACACAAAATACGATCTGAGGAAACTATTTTGCAAATCGCAATTACGTTACATAGCAACATAAGCAGTGCTATTACGTTGGTCCTTAACCTAATATCTCTCATTGTTAATACGTTATTTTTATACATAGTTGCATATGGAGAAGTAGCTTGTTGCATTTGTGTAATAATAAACACACAAGATTTTAGAATATTTCAGCGTGATACCATTTACCATTTTGGACAAAAGGCTACTTTAGACAAATTGAGATGTTTACCGTGTCTATGCGGTGCATGACTCGTGCCAGGGCTAGCATTGTAGCTTGCATTAACTTTTACTAGTGATTTTAAATGGATTTCTCCAAATAGCGTGACAAACTTTACCTGTCTGGTAGAATCTTCCCGACTGCGGCATCAGTGAGAAGCCCAACCTGTGCTTTTAGCGCACGCCAGCGTGTGATATTCACCCAAAATCTCTCTGGTCTTGTTTCTATATTCTGCGGCCTTTCTCTTCTTATCAAACACTTCGTAAACATGTTTTCTCTTTCGACCCTCAGCCATTTTCAAAGGAATAGCTGAAACCGCAACTCCGACATAATACACCTGAAAGTGAAAACGACATAGGGATGAGCACGTAGCCTACGACGGCCTTACGTAAACATATCACCAGAATGATTGACACTTAGGTGGACCAATAGTATAGACTACCCACCCGGAAAAAGAAAATCCTCCGCTATACCTTTAACAGATTTCCTTAACATTAGTTATTTGTAGTTATTTATGAGTTTTAACTAAACTATGATGATCATGAATTTTAAAAAGAAACTTTTTTTCTTTTATTGTCACTGTCACAACAGAACAGACTGATGATAGTGGCATTAGCTAGCTTTGTGGTTAGCTAGTCTATGACGAGCTGTAATTTAGCAATGGATAACATGATACCACAAATTGTAAAACATACATTTTCAATATAACAGACCAAGGAGAGAATGATCCGTCTCATTGCTGTAACTGTCACGCGCTATTAAAGAAATACTTCGTCACGTTGTCAAAAGTTAAAAGGACAGTCAGTCAACTACACTGCAACAACGTAACAAAATTATTACTAACTAATTCCGTTTCACTATCAGCTTATTAAACAGCAAAACTGGACATGATAGTCACAAATGTTGTCATGCTTATTTGAGTTTAGAGAACTGATGGGGATGATCTTAAGCAATGACCAACTCAACGAGTGTTGCCAACAGGAACGGTGTAGAGTGCCCTCTGGTGGACAAACTATACAACTCCAACACTCATGACATGGTTCAAGCGTGTTTCGTCCGTTTTTATTTTATTTTTGGAATATTCATTTATCGGCCATTATAACTGCCGATACCGATAGTTTGGAAAATGCCTAATATCGGCCGATAATATCGTTCTGGCTCTATCAGCAACTTTCTCCCCTGAACACACAGACACACACACACACACACACACACACACATACTGGAGTAAACGTGTATCTCAGTGAATGAGCTTCTGTGTGTCTCGTGCTGTTTTCCTGAGCGTCACACACTCAGTCCACTCTTCCCAAACCTCAGGACCGGCTCCAGCAGCGGCGGGTTAGTTCAGCTCAGCCTCGACGACAACAACCAGATCAAAGTCCATCATTACTGAAGCAGCGCCAATACACACACACACACACACACACACACACTATGGCAAGCCGTTTTATATGAATTATTGATATCAACAATTGTATTTTCACTAGTGAAATGTTACAATAGGCTGCCATTCAAAACCAATTGTTGATATCAAGAATTGATTTCTTACTAGTTGAAATTTCACATGTCAGAAATAAAATTTTTACTAGTAAAAACCTTTATTTTTGATATCAAGAATTCAATTGTCACTAGTTGAAATGTCTATTCTTGATATCCACAATTGAATTGCTACTAGTAACAATGTTCATTTTTGATAACAATAATTCAATTTTTACTAGTGACCATGTTAATTTCTGATATCATGAATGTGATTGTTACTATAGTAAGATATCTGAAATAATATTGATATCAGAAATACATTTTCAGATATCAAAAATGATCATTTTTACTTGTAACAAATGAATTGTTGATATCAAGAATAGACATTTCAACTAGTGACAATTTAATTATTGAAATCAGGAATTCATATTTTTACTAGTAACAATGTAATTATTGATTTCAAAAATGATATTTCTACTAGTAAAAAATCAATTATTGATAAACAATTCGTTTTGAATGGCAGCCTATGGTGACATTTCACTAGTGAAAATACAATTACAGATATCAGCAATTTAATTGTTGATATCAATAATTCATATCCTGGAAATGAATAAAAGCTAAAACGGCTTGCCATACACACACACACCTGCTGGAGATTCTGAAACCGCTCGTGTGTCTCTCAGGGAAATCTCCAGCGCTTATATGAGCTGTGAGGAAGTTTGTCTACTTTTCCATTTGTATAGCTGTGTGCAGATCTCATTTGTACAATATTTTTGTAAACAATTAAAGGAATTTAATACTTTATGCAGGTCTGAGTTTCTTCAATTTTATGTTTAGTGGTTTAGATGTTAGATACTAGCAAATTAACCGTTAATTACAATACAATATTACAATGTGCTCCACTCCACCTATGGGGCATGTTGTCACACCTCCCTTCCATTCTTTCGAGGTAGCCTAAAGAAAGACATAAGTATAAACTGTATTAATAAAAACAAAACCACAATTGAACTAGACGTGTGAAACTAATGTGGGGAAAAAAGAAAGACAGATTTACACAAACTGAGAAAGTCAAGTGCAAGGATGTGTCCGGCTCTCCCCTGTCTACTTTTAGTGGTCTCTTCACTGCTTGGTCGACTCTTCCCTCTTTTTGAGCTTGTGTTTTCTACTTTTTGAAGTTCACAAAGAAGTACTTTTTGTTTTAGTGTTTTCGAATTGTGTGATAAGGAGGTCACAGGTGGTTAAAAAGTGCAGCTCTCCTTAACTATTGTCCCCGTACTACAGTGTACAGGAATAACCTGCTCTCTCTCGCTCCGGTGCATTCTGGGAGTGTGCGAAGGAGTTAGTGTTTGTTGAGTAGGTTTTATTGTTTTCACCCTCGTAAATTTTTTCCCTCAGTTTTGTCAGAGAGGAGAGAGAGAAGGAGAAAGTCGCGGTGATGGAGTCTCTGTCCCTCCGGAATGGGTGCAGTTGCGAGCCGGAGCCCGGAGTGACGGTTGAAGATCTGCTCCTGGTTATCGGGGAGAGGATCGGATTTGATAATATAGTGGCGGCATCTCGTGTGGATAAAGCGATTGTGGTATTTTTGAAGTCTGAATCGCTGGTAAATCAGTTGACTGTGAGCGCGTTATGGGTTAAAGAAACGTTTGTTGCCGTTAACGTGTTATCCGATTCGGCAACAAAAATTACGATCACCAATGTTCCTCCATTTGTATCGAATGACGCGATTGCGAAAGAGTTACAGAAGTTTGGGACGATAGCGAGCCCTGTAGAAATGATTCCCCTCGGGTGTAAAAACGTGGCACTTAATCACGTCGTTTCCTTTAGCCGCCAGGTTTATATGTTTCTGACTTCACCCACGCGTACTCTAGAAGTTTCCTTCTCTGTGAATCACGGAGAAAACTCGTACATGGTATCTGCGAGCACTGAGAGTTTGCGGTGTTTTGAGTGCGGAGATTTGGTCCATACACGGTGTGCGTGTCCACATAGAGATGATCAACGGCCGTCCACTTCCAGAGCTGATGCTGGAGTTACTGAACATCATAGACAACATGAAGCAGAGCAGAGGAGTGTGGAACAAGATGGAGTCACAGAGGTGAGTGATAATAACAATCCTGGATGTGTGAATGATACTGATGGTGATGGACAAGAGTGGTTAGCAGACTGCTGCTGCTGCATCCATCCATCATAAAAGTGCATCCATCCGTCATTAAAGTGCATCTATCCATGGTTAAAGTGCATCTATCCATGATAAAAGTGCATCTATCCATGATTAAAGTGCATCTGTCCATCATAAAAGTGCATCTATGATCTATCCATCATAAAAGTGCATCGATCCATCATAAAAGTGCATCTATCCATGATTAAAGTGCATCTATCATCATAAAAGTGCATCTATGATCTATCCATCATAAAAGTGCATCTATCCATGATTAAAGTGCATCTATCCATCATAAAAGTGCATCTATCCATGATTAAAGTGCATCTATCCATCATAAAAGTGCATCTATCCATGATTAAAGTGCATCTATCCATCATAAAAGTGCATCTATCCATCATAAAAGTGCATCTATCCATGATTAAAGTCCATCTATCCATCATAAAAGTGCATCTATCCATCATAAAAGTGCATCTATCCATCATAAAAAGTGCATCTATCCATGATTAAAGTGCATCTATCCATGATTAAAGTGCATCTATCCATGATAAAAGTGCATCTATCCATCATAAAAGTGCATCTATCCATGATAAAAGTGCATCTATCCATCATAAAAGTGCATCTATCCATGATTAAAGTGCATCTATCCATCATAAAAGGGCATCTATCCATCATAAAAGGGCATCCACACGCTCCGGGGGTTAATAAGAAGCATATCCATATTTAAAACTTTATAAAGTAAAATAACTAGCTTCCGGCAAAACGAACATACAGTAAATTTGCATTTAGCAGTTAATCATGTGATGCACTAAACGTTGTAATTACACTGATGTGATCCAAAGGTTTAATCTAATATATGTAGCAGGGCATTCAGTTAGTTTTAAAAGGACAAACAGAATTGCTGGCGATAAAAAAATATTAATTTCCTCACGTTTTACCCCTGGTTTTATGTAAGAGCCAGCATGAGCCACTGACAGATGACAGTTGCCACGGTTGACAGTTGACGTCCACTCCCACTTAAGTTGCATTTTTCTAGGGGATTGTGAGGTAGACTTAAGCTGAAAGAGAGAGATTTCATGACCCCTAAACACATGGCTAATCTTGAGTTAACACAGTCACATGATCCCTTTTCTCCCACACTCCAGATATGTTCAGCTAAATAATGAAGGTCGTGTAATCAAATCATTTAATTTAGTGTGTGAATGTTTCTTCATCAGAGTCAGTACAGGAGATCAAACTCATCAGATTCTCCAGCATCTTCATCATGGCTGATTCACAAGCATCCAGAGATGGAGATTTCTCTCCAGGACGCAGGTACTTTCAACAAGCACTGTCAAAAATTGTGTTACATCACAGAAAAAGAGCACAGTTTTTGGGGGGCACTGATCATAAAAATGTGTAGCGTATTTTTGTCTGATTTGTCTGTTGTTGTTTATTTGTTTGTTTGTTTCACAGACAAGGCTTAAGCTATTCCCAGACTATTATAGCTGTTTTTTTTTTAACTGAAAATATATCAGTGCAATTGTTTTTCTCAAGATTCACACCAGTAAGTGGTGGCACTTTTATGAATGCAAATAAAATGTCCTAATTGAACTTAGGCCTAAGCCTGGCTTAAAGGGATACTCCACTTTTTTTGGAAATAGGCTCATTTTACAACTCCCTCAGAGTTTTACCGTTTTCTAATCCATTCAGCCGATTTTCTGATATTTAGAAGAAAATCAGTAACCAGACTGTTTCTGGTCTCATTGACTTCCATAGTAGGAAAAAATATATACTATGGTAGTCAATGAGACCAGAAACTGTCTGGTTACAGATATTCTTCTAAATATCAGAAAATCGGCTGAATGGATTAGAAAACGGTAAAACTCTGAGGGAGTTGTAAAATGAGCCTATTTCCAAAAAAATTGGAGTATCCCTTTAATCTAAGCCTTGCCAATATCGTCTGTTATAGAACAACTCAGCACACACAGTGATTAGCTACTTGCTCTACGTTTATTTAAAATTAACAGCAAGACAACTACAAGTGAATGTGCTTTCTATTAAATAAATCATACACAGTAAACAAAGCCTTAACAAAAAAACATTGCAGTTTAGACGGATTCGGCTTGAAGTCGGTCATCCTCGGACGCGTTACAAAGCCGTACATGCGGCCAAGTGAAATTGGGTTTGCGCACCGAACGCGTCATTTCGCACTCTTGCAGACGCGTCGAGTATAAACAAGGCTTTACTCTGTGTCAGCACATGCTCTGATCGATAAAGGGCCCGAGATTTCAGACCTGCGTTTATTAAGGAGATCTCCAAGATTTCTCGTCTTGTGAGGGGGTGCACAGACCTCTCCCGAATCATCTCCAGCAGTAGCAGAAGCACAACTAACCCCGCCTCCGTTTCCCTCGTGAGCTGATATTAGTATTTAAACATTCTCTATGATAAATGTTTGTGAAAAAAATATATATTTTTGTCGGTTGACCCACTGCTCTGCATATTGTGTATGTCCAGAGAATGTCTAATTGAAGAGAATTTGCACTGGCTGGTTACTTCCGGGTTCTGGACTGGCTGCAGTAACGCGTCTCTGTCCATGCGGGGGCGCTCGCGGTCGAGTGCAGAATGAATGGGAGTCAATGGGGTTTCACCAACAAAAATCCACTTTTCTCAGGATGTAATTTTTTGTCAAGTAATTTGAAAGTTGCATTCAAAAGGGAGGGCTAAGATAATGCACTCAGCTCAAAATTGAATTTTTAAGTTCACTTATCTGTTCTAAAAATCCATTCAAAACCGTGATGACGTCACACAATAGCAGAATGCTAGCGTGTTCGGGCCAACAACGGCCTAACCTGTAAGAAATCAAAAGGACATAAGTACTCGTTTATTCGACTTTCGGCCTATAATCTATATTGAACTTGCGGAATCAACAATAAAATCTATGTTAATTTAACGACAAGCAGGTGGAAGAGACACATTTAGCCGTTTAGCCCCATAGACTCCCATTCATTCTGCACTCGCCCACGATCACCTCCAGTGGAATTCTAATGGAACTGCAACCAGGATGACACACAATGGGGCTAATAGGAAGTGCCAAGGCTCTCCGTTAGACGGGCTCTGGTATGTCTCCCTTATTTAACACACCTGATTCAGATCCTCAGCTCGTTAGGATAGACATAGAGTCCATAGTGGAGACATACACAATATGCAGAGCAGTGGGTCGCGAGGACTGGAGTTGAGGAACCCCTGCATTACCTCATCAATGAACGTGATTTCCCGTCGGATTCCTTTCCATCAGCTGTGGAGTTGAAAACAACAACTCCCATTAATCCACGCTCATTCATCGCATCATCAAGCTACATCTTTTTTTGAATAAGTGACCTCTAGTGGTGAAACTTACATACTGTGCCTTTAATACTATCATGAAATTTAAAAAAAAAGTTTCTTTTGCTCTTTGATGGAAGATGAATGTGCTCATATTAATATGGTTCCTATTATAAAGAATGAACACAGTAATCTAAGGATTAAACTGAATCTGATCTCTGTTCCAGTTCAGTCCAGCAGAAGAGCTCAAACCCAGAGTGTGTCTATGAAGAGTGACCGCTCTATGGATGACCCGCCACAGTTTAAGAGTGGAGACACACGGCCTGATCTCAGGTACTCTGAATAACATTTCTATAAAAGATGTGCCTATAGTATTAGATTTTTGTATTAGAATATAGGAAAAGTTAGGCTCAAATGGTTCAGTTTCATTTGGGAATATATGAAGAGTTCAGATGCAAAAGCCTCTAAGTGCCGTTTGAAATTTTCTTCTAAAATGATCATTTTTATCAAGCTTGTATATTTAAGTTCAGTAATTTCACTTAAATGGCAATGAAGATTACCTATTAATTGTCATTTAAGTGAAATTACTGAACATATATATACAAGTTTGATAAAAATTGTCATTTTAGAAGAAAATTTCAAATGGCATTTAGAGGCTTTTGCATCTGAACTCTTCATTTATCAAATCAAGGAACCTTGAAGAAATCAATATCAGAAAATTATTAATCATTTTTTTCATCCTCCAATTCTCTCTTACCAATATCTGTAAGTTCTATTACTTACAGATATTGGCTATTATTATAAATTATTATATTATAGGCTACTTGATTTTAGTTGATCATTATGAAAAATATTTTCATTTCATGAATATAGTGACCAAAATGATCACGGCTATACACAAAATCTTGTTCGAAAAGCCTAATACACAATGAAATCAATTCGACAAGTTAATAACATTAAAGATAATGGCCAAATTTTAAAGGAGTGTCTTTTATGTTATCTACTAACATGCACATGTTCAAATAAACTTTTGACAAAAAAGGTTTTATAAAAAGATAAACCTCACATATTTCAGCATTTAAATCATCTTTATAAAAGAATGAGTCAATAAAGATACATTCCTGACATTTATAATGCACAGTAGCTTATCATTTATTATTAATAATACAGTAAATTGGGTCCGATTTGCCCATGGCTGTCGTTGCTATACAGCCATGCACTGCGCTCTCCACAACGACAGAGAAGTTTTAGTAGCGAATGTATTTCCACCACAGAAAAACGCTTGCTGTAGCTCTGCTAAAAGATTTATTTACGAAGAAGAGAATAACACTCACGTGTTTGGGTGCACTTGCACTCCCATACTGAAAATGTGCAATTTTTCATCTCGCTGCTCCTGGAAAAAATGAGCGTGTTGCTTCAAGAATGAGCGCACTTCTCATGCGCCTACATTTGAAATAACGACCTCGAAATATCTTCCCTTGTGTTCAGCAGAAGAAAGAAAATACAGGGTTGCAACAACTTTAGGGTGATGACAGAATTATCGTTTTTGGGTGGAGTATCCTTTTAAATTTTCGTCTTTTGTCTATGTGACACATTGGGTCTCATTCATGAAACATTCGTAAATATACGAGTAAATATGAGAGAGATTTGCGCGTAAAGAGTCCTTCCCGAAAACTCTTCTCCTGATTCACAAATACTTTGTAAATGTCAGATGTGATAGTGAAATGTGTGTGTGTTAATGAATTCCAACCAGTCGTAAATGGGATGCGCGTGCACGTTCATTCTCAATTACCATAAATCCCGCCCATTATATGCAACTGACATCTATATATAGGCATATAATAACATGAATGTGAATGAAAAATAAAGAGTTCTCGGATGCAGAAATTGAAGTTTTATTATCAGAAGTTCATTCAAAACGCCACATTTTATTTTCAAGCGTACATAGTGGCGTATCAGGTCCTAAAAAAGCTTGGCAGCATATTACAGATGCAGTTAATGGAGTTTCATCTGTAAATCGAACAGTGCCAGAAGTGAGAAGAAAATGGTTCGACATTAAGCTTGACAGCAAAAAAAAAAAAAAACAAAAAAAAAACGAATTTCTTCGGGAAAATCTTATTCAAACTGGAGAAGGACCACCATCGATCACCAGATCTGCTATTACTGGCTCTCATAATAAAAGTAAAAAGAAAAAACGTATGTAATTACTATATAATATTTTTTCAAAATGCTGTTTAAATATGTAAAAAGACGTAAAAAACTTTTGCTGATAATTTACTATAAATAAGGGTCTTATCAAGCGAAATGATCCGTTATTTCAAAACTTATTTCAAAAATGTAACTTTTCTAAGGACAAATGCTAGCCTTGTAATATACTGTGAGGCGCGTTTGTAACGCCACGTAATACGTAATTACGTTCAAAAGGTCACAGGCGACGTATAGCCAGAAGTACAGAGTCAGTGTTTACAAGTTGAACGCATAGGTTGAACGTGAAAACTAACTCAAACGCCGTTTACAAAAAAGGAATTAAAAGGTAAAACAACGATGTCGGACGATTTTGATTCTGTACTTCCGGCTACGTCGCCCGTGACCTTTTGAACGTAATTACGTATTACGTGACGTTGCAAACGCGCCTCACAGTATATTACAAGGCTAGCATTTGTCCTTAGAAAAGTTAAATTTTTGGAATAAGTTTTGAAATAACGGATCGTTTCGCTTGATAAGACCCTTATTCATCGTCTGGTGTCGTTTAAAGACATTTGAAGCTGCATCTGAAACTGTTATTAACTGTCGTTTGGACCGCGTTTGGACCCCATTGAAGTCCATTATAAGGAGAAAAATCCTGAAATGTCAAATCAAATCAAAAACCTTAATTTCTTTTCGACTGAGGAAAGAAAGACGTGGACATCTTGGATGACATGGGGGCGAGTAAATTATAAGCAAAAGTTTTTTCAAAAGTGAACTAATCCTTTAATGAACAAAACATTCGGATGTTAAGCGCACCATTTACGCGTGGTTGGGAGCAGGTGTATATTTCTTGCGTACCAAAAAATACGAACATTTTAATGAATCCCAAAATTTACGCCAGAACCACTTTTTCACACACGATTTACACAAAAATTCGTTCTGCTCGTGTTTCATGAATGAGACCCATTGTGTGTGTGCGGAGTGAGGTGTTTGCATCCAGTGTGTTGGATCCATGCTCCATGTTTTATCACTTCGGGTTGAGTGTTTATTCACTCGCCGCATGCTCATCTTGTGTGTTTTCGTTGAACTTTGTCCTATGAGTTCATTGGCCAGGCGTTCTTGTGATGTTGTGTTCTGTAACTTCATGTCTGGCAAAGTCTCACAGAATCACCATTTATCAAACAGTCAGTCAGTGATTTCAGGAAATGTCAAGGAGATTGATGGTAATTGAGATTTTTGTCCACCTTTAAGTAAGACAGAAATTTTCCAGTAAATCTGTACGGCATTCTGTCGCTATATAAGTTTCTAGTTCTGTATGCTTTTTTATTTTAACATGAAAATGAATTAACATAGTGTAAACTCCAGTGGATAAGAATTAAACTGAATGTGTTCTCTGTTCCAGTTCAGTCCAGCAGAAGAGCTCAAACCCAGAGTCCAGCTGTGTGTCTGTGAAGAGTGACTGGTCTATGGATGAGCCACTTACGTTTAAGATTGGAGACAAGTGCTCTGATCTCAGGTATATCATCTCTATAAAATTAGAAGCAAAATTGATCAAACAGTCAGTTTAATGCTAGCAATGACATCAAGTAAATGTAAGCTGAGATTTCTTCCACCATAATATAATAGAATAGGTGTAAAATTAAGTGGATTTTTGTAACCGCTGGTCAGAACAGTGATGTTTCACACCAAGAGTGCATTTACAAAAAGGTGGTTTATAGTGCAAATTACAACTCTACTGATATCCATTACAAAAAAAAAGTCACCAGAGAGAACAAATTAAATTAAATAAAAATTCCAGAACACCTGTAAACACTAAATGCCACAAAAAAAAACCTTAACTCTGGCTTTTATAGCTACAACTGGTCAACAAGAGTAACTTCTGATTTTGATCAAGTCCATGAATGTTAAATGACAGGCCTGGTATCACCAGAATCAATTGTTATCTTGTTTAGTTTTATATATAACATCTACATTAGCCTTAAAAAATGAAATATCATATATGATGGGGAGTATTGTAACACTACTTTCAATATGGGAAAATATTAATTTGTTATAGCTGTGAAAGTGACACACACACATGTATTTTTGTTTAATGTATTTTTTCTATAGGTTGTTTGTTTTGAATTAAAACTTTCCTAATATTAAGAATTTTGAATTAAAGTAGGAGTGAGGTAGGGAAGGGGAATAATATCTAATTATTTTGAAAAAGTTTGAAAACTATAATTAATTAATGCACACAATTTACACAGTCTTCTATACTCTTACAACTTACCTTTACTGCTGTTAGATTTCAATGCAAGGATAGTTTGTGTGGGAATAAAACACTCACTGGTGTTTCCTAAGACAGAAGTTTCCTGTAAAAGTGCACAACATATTTCAGTCTGTATGCTTTTTATTTTATTTTTTTTTTAAACCAGTTCAGTCCAGCAGAAGGGCTCAAACCCAGAGTACAGCTGTGTGTCTATGAAGAGTAACCGCTCTATGGATCCGCCACCAAAGTTTGAGAGTGGAAACACACAGCCTGATCTCAGGTATATCATTTCTGTAAAAGTTATGCTTATAGTATTTGATTTTAATGAAATTGTTAATATTCAATGATCAACATTGAGCCTTTGTATTATTAATACATTTAAACACTATAAAAGCTGTTGGTGTGCTACTCAGTTAATGACACAATTACATCAATATAAGTGAATCTTGATTCTTTACTGTCTTCATTCTGTTTTAAGGTCAACACTTCCATCCAGACCAGTTAAAAACCAAACTGTGTTCATGCCTGTGATTCTACCACAAGACTTTAATGAACGCATGTGTCCTGGTCTCAGGTAAAATGTAGGACTTTTTAATTGTTGTGTAATTTTAGGTGCTGCAATACACATCACTCATGATTAATAATTGAAAAAATTCAGAGACATAATGTTCTGTGTCCCATAAGACAGCAAACAAAAAATACAGTTTGTAATTTATGGCTATTTACTACTCTAACTTGTGTAATAATCTGGTATTTTACAGCTTCGACTCTAAACATGAAGTCCTCAACACACTGAGATCAAATCTGAGACAGAAGTTTGAGTGTGTGTGTGAGGGAATATCAAAGCAGGGAAACCCAACACTCCTGAATGAGATCTACACAGAGCTCTACATCACAGAGAGTGGAAGTGGAGAGATCAATAATGAGCATGAGGTGAGACAGATTGAGACACAGTCCAGGAGAGCAGAAACAGAGGACACACCGATCAAATGCAGAGACATCTTTAGACCTTTACCTGGACAAGACAAACCCATCAGAACTGTGCTGACAAAGGGAGTCGCTGGCATTGGGAAAACAGTCTCTGTGCAGAAGTTCATCCTGGACTGGGCTGAAGGGAAAGAGAATCTGGACATCCAGCTCATATTTCCACTGGCTTTCAGAGAGCTCAACTTGATGAAGGACAAAACACTCAGTCTTTCAGATCTTCTTCATCTCTTCTTCCCTGAAACCAGAGAAATGGCCATATCCAGTGAGGAGTATAAAGTGCTGTTCATCTTTGATGGTCTGGATGAGTGTCGTCTGTCTCTGGATTTTCAGAGCGATGTGAGGTTGTGTGATGTGACTGAATCAGCCTCAGTGGACGAGCTGCTGACGAACCTCATTGTGGGGAATCTGCTTCCCTCGTCTCTCATCTGGATCACCTCCAGACCAGCAGCAGCGGATCTCGTGCCCTCTGTGTGTGTCCATCGAGTGACAGAGGTACGAGGCTTCAGTGACACACATAAGGAGGAATACTTCAGGAAGAGGATCAGTGATCAGAGTCTGGCCGACAGGATTATCTCACACCTGAAGTCCACAAAGAGCCTCTTTATTATGTGCCACATCCCAGTGTTCTGCTGGATCTCAGCCACTGTTCTAGAGGAGATGTGCAGTGAAGCAGAGAGACGAGAGATTCCCAAGACTCTCACTCAAATGTACACACACTTCCTGCTCATTCAGACCAACATCAAACATGAGAAGGACTATGAGAAGAAAGTGAAAGATGAAGACATGATCCTCAAACTGGGGGAACTGGCGTATCGGCAGCTTCTGAAAGGCAACCTTAACTTCTATGAGGAAGACCTGAGCGAATGTGGCATTGATGTGGCAGAAGCATCAGTTTACTCAGGATTGTGCACTCAGATCTTCAGAGAGGAGTTGGGCTTGTGTCTGGGGAAAGTCTTCTGCTTTGTTCATCTGAGCATTCAGGAACATCTAGCAGCTCTATATGTGCATCTCTCCTTTATCAACAATAACATCAATGTGTTTGACCAGATTACCAAACCAACTATTGGAGGCAAAGTGTCCCTATCTGATCTCCATCAGAGAGCTGTGGATGAGGCTTTACACAGTAGAAATGGGCATCTGGACCTTTTCCTTCGTTTCCTTCTGGGTCTGTCAGTGGAGTCTAATCAGAGTCTCTTACAAGAACTAAAGACACAGACAGCAAACAGCTCTCACAACAATGAGGGAACAGTCGACTATATTAAAGAGAAGATCAGTGAGAATCCCTCTCCAGAGAAATACATCAATCTGTTTCACTGTCTGAATGAACTAGGTGATCTTTCTCTAGTGAACAAAGCTAAACCTCATATGAGCCGTGGAGGATTACGTGAAGTGAAACTCTCCTCGTCTCAGTGGTCAGCTTTAGTGTTTGTGTTGTTGTCCTCAGAGCAGGCAATGCGTCATTTTAACCTAAACAGCTTATTTGGAGCCACTAATAAGTAAGTAACACTGAGTACAATCATTACAGTCTAAAACATTATGAACCCAGAGAAACAAAGAGATCAGAGGTGTTTAAATCATGGGGCACAGTTTGATTTTCTGGGATATTGTATGTAATAACCAGGTGTTTCTCAAATGGATGCTGTGTCCTAGTAAGGCTGCTTATCTCGGCTGCCACTTCATCAAGAGGCAGTCTCAATTTGAAGGATCCTTTGAAGGCAGTCTTTAATTCAGTTTGTTTTGAAGGATATATCAATTGTATCCTTTGTGTCCTTTGTTTTAATGCTGAGGACTTGAGCCTTCAAGCCGAAGGATTGGACTAAGAAAGATGCAACCTCACTAGGATGCAGCCTTCCATTTGTGAAGCACCCAATATCAAAATTCGGGAGACTCCCGAAACATCCGGAAAGCTGGAATGACTGATTATGGGAATGAATTCACTAAATTGTTGCTCAGTGAGTCTCTCCTGAAATTGTGATAACCATAGCAACGGACAGGACAAAAAAATCGGATGTGTCAAAATAGATCTCTGCACTACGTGTTGTATTGTAGTATAAATGCAGACTAACAGACATACCACAGCAACATTGACAAAAAAAAAAAATGTGTTTGCTGACTAAGCTTAGTGACATATACAGTTAAATACAGCAACAACAAAAAAACTGTACATGTCCTTTTTAAAGCAGTGTTTATTTAATTGAATTCTATTTCGGGGAATTTAAGGAACATATTTAATGTATTATTTGTTATTTTCAAAATAGTGACTCCTCTATCACCCTGAAAGCTCAAAACACAGCAGATGAAGTTCTTCAGAAGCTGATGCCTGTGGTTACAGCAACTAGATCAGCTGTGTAAGTAACACAGAGAAACAATCATCACTGTTGAAAAATAGATATTTTTTGGTAACACTTTACAATAAGGTTCATTAGTTAACATTAGTAAATGCATTAACTAACATGAACTAACGATGAGCAATGCATTAGTTACAGTGTTTATTAATCTTTGTTAATGTTAGTTAATATAAATACAGCTGTTCATTGTGCGTTCATGTTAGTTCACAGTCCATTAACTAATGTTAACTAATACAACCTTTGATTTTAATAACGTATTAGTAAATGTTGGAATTAATATTAACTAAGATTAATAAATGCTGAAGAAGTATTGTTCACATATTGTACATGTTAACTAATGTTAACTAATGAACCTTATTGTAAAGTTTTACCTATTTTTTTTACTTAAAATTAATATTGTAACAAAAAATGTCACACTTCAGCTTTTAAACCCTTCACCTATCTAACAAGATTTGTTTTTTTTTTGTATGACATTTGTATGAGAAATTTATTTTCCGACAAATGCATTTGTAATGTATTTATAGACATTTATATTTAGATATTTAGATTTATTTAATTTAATTTCAATGTTAAAATATGTATTTGTATTTAGGGAAAAACAGATATATTCAATGTATTTAATTATATCGGTTTTATATAATGTTTCTCACAAAGAGACAATCTCTTAGAAAAACAGTAAAACTCACTGACATTGAATAAATTGTTTAAAAAAATAGAAATTGCACACACAAATTATAAACTTACAATCAAGAAAAAAAATCCTGCTTGAATTTGACTGCAGGTGTGTTATAATGTTTTGTGCTCTGTGACATAGGCCAAGATCCATCTAAAATAGTAATTTGATGTTATTGGTTTCTCTTAGATAATGAAGTCTCTGGTGATCTGAGAGAGTGATGGGTGTGTCATTGTTCTCTACAGGTTGAGTAAGTGTGGTGTCACAGATGAAGGTTGTGCTGCTCTGGCTTCAGCTCTGAGATCAAACCCTTCACACCTGAGAACACTGAATCTGAATCTGAATAATATAGGAGACTCAGGAGTGAAGCTGCTCTCTATTGTATTGAAGAATCCTCATTGTAAACTGAAGGAACTGTGGTAAGTTCATCTCTCTGATAGACACATGATCTGGTGTTTCAGATTTTAAATAGTTTATAGTGAGACCAAATCCAAATCTTTGGGATTGTAATTTACATATGATGATTTTGCCTGAATCACATTCAACATAATCACAGTTAATGGATTTGATATCTGAAGCTAAATCTTATTTCATTCATCTTCACTCTTATCACATCAGTGGCAAGGCTACACAAAGGACAGGGTGGCTCTGGCCCACTCAGATTGATGGCTGCTCCACCTAATCAAATGAGACACCAAATTATTTACTCGTGGGAAGAGAAAAATCACACATAAAGGACAATAATCATTGCTCAAATACATGAATTTAGCAGATGTCACTCCCTAAACTTTGCAGAGTGTACGTGGCCACTGGTCAAGCAATAAAAACAAGATTTTTCCAAAATTTGAAATGATTATATATTGCCTAGATAGTGAATAAAGAGCATTCCATTTATAATCACTATAAAAGCTGTCACTCATCTTAGTTCCATTTTAATCAAAGAATCTCCGCACTGCACAATGAATCTCTTCAAAAATAATTCAGACGGGGACTCTCCCCTGCACATTCACACTTAAAGAGTAGCTAAACACTAAACCAACTTTTTTTAGTTAATGATCTGTAAGAATGGATCTTTATTAATACCAGTCATTGATTCGAGTAACTTTTTTGACATTTGTAAAAACGTCTTAGTGCTGCCCTCTTCAGGTTGAACGATGGCTACTGCAGTTGAATTTTCCTATTGGATGTTCCGCACTTCATGTCGTACGTAGGTTTCAGCTCGCCCTTGGCAGTATAAAAACCATCTTGTGTCATCAAAACCACTGTAGGGAGTCAGGAATTGGGATTGTGAGTATTGAAAACGATCAGTGTTTTAGCATCTATTTCGTCCCCTCTATCTCCGCTGGGGTCTGCCCACTTTTTCAACTTTTTCAGCATTTTCAAATATTGCCAGTGGGTGGAGTCAGGCTCTGACCAGGGGTTTAGTTACCCTTTAACTGCTTCAACTCTCAACTTCGACTGCTCCACCCACACACACGTACATCGCAAATGGTATGGTAATACTTTCCTTTGTATATAGAACAAACGTAGACATACGTGGTTGTCCATGTATTGATAACCAATTGATAACCAATTTGCAAAAAATGTGGGCACAAAGTGGCTGTAAAAGGAGGAAACGCCCATATTTGAGAGCACCGTCTCTCAGTGCTGATAAAGTCCTGTTTATAACTAAAGTCCGTATGATTTCTGTGATGCAGAGGGAATCCTGGAATCCAGTCTTGGAAGTGGTGGTGGGGACAGGGTCTTGGGCCCATAATGGTTGCTTGCAGCTATATTTTTCATTATTTTTATCCTGTGTATTGTAAAATTACGTAATCTGAGAGCAGATATTGAGATCGGCCCTATTTTACCAAGGTCCACTTTAAAATGTCTGGCCTCGCCACTGCATCACATGACACCTTTGTTTGAGACTGATTTACACACAACAAAACTAAATTAATGAAATAAAAAAAATAGTACACAAATAAATACTAACAATAAACATAATGATGAAAGAATAGGTGCAAAATAAAGATTATTAATTTCTGATAACTGAATAGGCATGTTATTTAATTCACATTTATATTGATAAAATTTATATTTACTCAGTGTCCGTCTCCATCTATAACACTGTTGTGTGAACATGATTTGATGAATATCAGCTACATTATATTCTACAGAGATGCATTTTTTTTATTCATTAAAACATGAGCTACAGAGAAAGTGAAGAGTGTTATTGTGCTCTACAGGTTGAGTAAGTGTGGTGTCACAGATGAAGGTTGTGCTGATCTGGCTTCAGCTTTGAGTTCAAACCCCTCACACCTGAGAGAACTGAATTTGTCATATAATAAACTAGGAGACTCAGGAGTGAAGCTGCTTTCTGCTGTATTGGAGAACCCTCACTGTAAACTGGAGAAACTGTGGTAAGAACATACATGACTCTCTCATGAAACTGTGGCACTGAATTTATTCAGGGGAAACTAACTCTTACATTTATTAAAAACAAAACTATTGAAACTACATTATCAGGGGGTGGTGATGGCGCAGTGGATAAGTGTGCACTTTGCTCACGCTGGATCAGGATGGTCTTTTCTCCTAAATACAAGCTCAAGGGTTTATTCCTTGCAAGTGAAGAAATAAGGACAAAAGTATTTAAATTTTCCTATATTATAGTATAATGTAGACTAAAATATACTTTTGAAATATTAATTTTCATTTATATACTAGTACATTTATAGGCTATATGGATTTTACGTCATAGGAATAAATCTATAAATCATTATTACATTATTATAATAATTGTTTGGGATCCTAAAACTCCATTGATAATGTAATGTAGACTGAGACTCAACTAAAACGATGTTTGAGCCCTGTTTATTGTCCTGGTACAAATCAATGCGTTTTCTTTGTTCAACGAGCAGTTCATGTGTTGAAGCTCTTAATTTTGATCTCTCAGAGAGCACGAGATTGATGCATTTGACCTTAGAATGTACAAAATTTTCTTGCGGGGGAGCATGCCCCCGAACCCCCTAGAGGAACAGTAAATCGGTAAAACTATAAATGTTATATTAAGGGTCCACCCAACATAGTTTTACAAATTCCTATAGGAAAGAACAACCATTTATGAACTTTACTCCAGCATAGTTCAACAAAGTTAATTTTAAGTCATTAAGTCAGTAAAACTGTAAATGCCATATTAAAATGTCCTTGGACAAAATATACATTTGACCTGCTTAAGAGGGGGCATACAAGACATTGTGCCCAGGGGCCTCTGAACTCTTAATCCGGCCCTGCCCAGGTTCGAATCCACTGTGAGACACCAATGTGTCTCTGAGCAAGACACTTAGGCCCCGTTTACACTGTCAGTGAAATGTGACCCAATTCCAATTTTTTGCTCATGTGTGACACAGATCGGATGTGTTCTATGACAGTGTAAACAGGAAAAAAACGCATTCATTCGGATATTTCGAGATCGGTTTCAGGCCTCGTTCATATGTGGGAATAAATCAGATATAAATCCGATATGTGCCAATGCGACTGTCATGTAAACAGGCAGATCGGATTTTTTGAGGCATTAGGCAACGTCTCCGCGGCTAAATGACGAGAGAAACCCCCAACGCGCTTCGGCAAAGGGACGGATGGCCGTGTCATAGGAGAGGAATGTGGACAGGGGCACAGGAGGTGTTTTCACATGATTGTAAATGTGCTGAAAATGGTTCATTTACATTTATTTTAAGCATTTAGTAATTTATTTGTAATAAACGCTTTAAGTGGGCTATTTAAATCGTGCTAGGACTATTAACATGCTCAATTATATTTTTAAAACATACGCGCAGAGTGTGACATCATAATTTGTGTGCATAGAAAGAATTAATCCGCCGCCGCTCAAAAAAGAAAAGGAAAATCGTCACGTACAGCTGCTCTACTCCTGAGCGCAACTCCACTGTCAGTGTTGTGTAAGTACAGGCTCTAGGCAGTTTGTTGTGTTCATTTCTATTTGCTGTCTCTTTGCAGGCTCTTTATTGTATAACAGTGAAAAGCCCAAGAACCCCTTTATTTTAAGGCTTAATGTCCCGTAGATAGGTCCGTTGCAGTACGAATGAAAGCAGTATCAAACATGTGAAGTGCAGTCAAGTTTGGGTGTGTATGCTGTTTTAATGAGTGTTCTCACCATTGACTGTGGTTCTCACCGATACGCGTGTGATTCGTGGAGTTTTAACGAGTTTGATAGACATTGTTTCTTATTCAAAAGTGGTGTTTTGCAACTTCATATTGCAGAGCATGAAGCATATTTCGTGTTCGTCCATCTGTGCAAGATAATTTAACCCTTAAAGCATGCGCGATATGTTTCAGATAGGTGTGTTTCATGAACACATGAGCTGCTTCTTAAGGTGATAGTCACTCTGATAAACACACTTACTATCAACATTTAACACACTTTACTTTAATAAACACACTCAATCTCAACACAGTCAAGGTTAACAGTCCATTCAATTTGATTGTAGGTGAAAAGTGGATAATGTAGAGCTTTTTTACATGTATAAAATCTACATCTAAATCTACAAGTATTAGGGTCTGGCCAAAACCAGGTAAAGTACGTATTTTACTGTGTTTCCAAGTACTTGTTAGAAGAAGCAGTCGAGCAACAGCATGCGAGTGTTTACTTTTCTCACTCAGCGAAACTTTTTGTCGCATGTTTGTTTGTCGTGTAAAATAGTACATAAATAATAGGCCAGGTAAAGTACTTATTGTACTATTTGCAAGTACTTTTTAAAAGAAGCAGTCAGGTAACATGAGGAAAAGAGACGTCGCACAAATGATGAACCTACAAAAAGAGTTTGACTGCAGGTGTGTTATGATAATGTTTTGTGCTCTGACACAGATGGTGATTTGAGCTTATGTTATTGGTTTATCTTTGATAATGAAGTCTATGTTGATATGAGAGGGTGAAGAGTGCGTCATTGTTCTCTACAGGTTGAGTAAGTGTGGTGTCACAGATGAAGGTTGTGTTGCTCTGGCTTCAGCTCTGAGATCAAACCCCTCACACCTGAGACAACTGAATCTGAATTGGAATAATCTAGGAGACTCAGGAGTGAAGCTGCTCTCTGGTCTGAAGGATAATCCTCATTATGAACTGCAGATATTATGGTAACAGTAGTTTTTAACAATTTTGCATCATCATATTTTCATTTAAAGTTTAAAGGGCTGTTTTACTCACTAGAAATAAAAGGAAATTTTACCAGGTTCAGTAACACCACATGTGTAAATATACCCAGGTGAAAAAAAGTACACTAAAATACATTTTATTTAAGTGCACTTAGTACACTTCCATAATGTACTTAAAGTGCTCTATTTTCGCGCACTTATTTTGTACTTCATATACTAAAATCTTAACTTTAGTACTTCTTAAGATAAACTTAAGATCAATTAAGTGTATTCAACTGTGCTATTTTGACACACACTGAAGATGAACTTAAATATATTTTTAATATACTATTTCAACCTTTAAAAAATATATTTTGTTACCACTTTTAGTATGTCTAAAACCCATTTTAAATGCATTTTAATTATACTAATACATTATTTAAAATATAATAATATTTTCTAAATATATTTATATTATACTTAAGGTGTATTCCTTTGTCAAAAAAGTACACTAAAAACATTTTATATTTCATAAAAGTACAAATTTATTACCAATGTACTTATAGTGCATTTGTTAGAAATATATTAAAATTATGCTTGTGTTTAGCATATTTCTTAAAAGTGTAATTAAGCATATATTTATTGCCAATGTACTTCTAATATACTTGGTAGAAATATATTAAAATGCAAAAACATTCTACTAAAAATACATTTAAAAAATCAATGGTATTTAATATACTTTAGCAATTACACTTAAGTACTACTCAAGTAAAAGTATACTTTAAAGGCACTCTATGCAAGATCTGTACCTTAATATAACAGCTTCAAAGTCGTTTTGGTGGTTAACAAAGTCATAGTAGGGCGAATCATCCTGGTAGGAAAGCTTGGGGGGGACGCCGCCGGAAAAACCAGCCATGCAAGTTTGAGAGTGGCGCCCCTGACACAGCGCGTGAGAATCACGAAATGGTTTACGGCAACGACGTCACACGCATCAACAACATCATACTGTATGAAGCTACTTTCGAAACAGGGAAAGAGAATCGGACCGTGCTAGAAACCGGACAAGAGTCCACTCGGTCGGGCTTTCACTCGTTGGCGCGAGCTTAAAAGCTGCACTGGATTGTAACTGCGATGCTGACCTGGCGATCTTGTTGATGGACTTGTAAGTAAATCTCTTATTTATAAACTTGTTTGTATTTGTATACTAGTTGTTTCTATATTGTATGTTGCTGCACTGGCTTGTGGTATGTAATTTTTTACGGTGCTGTTCATCCGTTGTTGATAATAAGACCAGTTCAATAATTCTCACATGTCTATAGCTTTCGATTACCAGAGCTTTAAGCAGACTTCCTAAAAACAGTCGTTTCTCTTAGTCTTGTTGTTTTTTTCCGTTATGTTTTATTGCCAAGCTTGCCACAAGAGCTAGTTTGCCAGCTGAACTCAGGTGTTGTGATGTGTATTTATCACGTATCTTTAGTCCTGTGTCTGGTTCGGATTTCTTATGACGTGTGTAAGTTACTGTTATATCAAGTTTATCTGACTAACAGTACACTTCCCGACTGTAACTTCAAATTGTGTTGATTATGAATCAATCAAATCTTAACGCTGTTGATGTTGATTCTTGCGATTACCATGAGGACATAGTCAATATCTCACATAATTATTAGGACATATATAAGCCTAGAGGTTGTAAATAATTGAACACAATTTGCTATTATGATAAATTGTAATCATGTCTAAATCATAACGTCCAATGTTATGAAATAATGCGACGTACATTTAACTTGATTGATGTCATCTGACATTTTGTAATTTTAACATTACAATCAAAAAACATAAATGAAATTATACAGTAGCCTATACACTATAGGCTATTTACTTCTGATTTTGCAGAAATCATGTAAAAACGCTATAAGCCAGCAAACGCGATAGGCAACTTTATTATTAAAAAGCAGTCTAGCACTTGACAGTAGTTCAGTAGATATGCAGTAACAGGGGAATAACGGTTATTTACGACAGTGCAAGTACACCACAGCGGCTCTAGAGGTCACTGTTTTACAAAAAAACCAGAGAGTGCATAGTGTGCCTTTAAATTAGTGTATTTATATTGTATAATTTTTACACTTTTATTTAGCACAAAAATAAAGAATGTACTACAAATATACTTTCTTGTATTTAAGTGTTTTTTTAGTGCACTCAGGTACACTTCTTTTTCACCTGGGTTTCATCGGAGATAATCTGATAATAAGTCTTATATTCAGCTTCAGTTTCTGTAGATCTCTGAACTTTAAAATGTTTAATATGAGTTTAAATAGTGTTGTGACTGATTGTGAAAAAAATATTAATGTTATTTTCAGCTTTTACCTTTATTATGCGTGTAATTATCTGAGATTTGGGTTGTTTATAATTATTGATATTAAATTAGTAGTGGAGTGTAATGATCATTTCTGCTAAATTATTATATTATATTGTTAAGTTTTCTTATGAAAAGATGTGACAGACGTAATGTCTCATACTGCTTATATGATTGTTTTATTTTAGGACTAGTATTGGTTGACAATCTGATCTTCTCAGGATCATCTCTACAGAGACGCGCAGTTAACAGAATCAACCGAGACTGAAGATACAGTGATTTCACTGTTTTAAATTAACACTTCATTTAGATTTCAGCAATCCTCTGACAAACATGATGAGGTGGCAGTAAAACGCTTTTTATTTCAGAGCAGCAAATTACAGTTTCTCATTTATAGGTTAATCATTTTATTTGTATAAACATACAGTATAAATTCAAAAAGGTTAGAGTTTTGTTAGAAAAAATATAGCGCCTGGATGTGTTTGTGCTGTACCAGCAGAGGGAGACAAAGTCTGATAAAAGGTCCATTTGTTGTGATTAATAAAAAAACCCCAGTTCAAGCTCACCTTTGGAATACAAATAATAGAACCTTGAGTGTATATAATGATAGTTGTATTACATTTGTATTAATGTATTTAGTGTTTCTTTGTAAAATTATAAATGGTGGTAACATTTATTAAAGTGATGATTTAAGGCTCAATTACAGTATCATGAGACTATTAATGTTTCCTCACAAGTCTAGGGTTTGAGTAGCCTGGTAATACCAGACTCTGCTACTTCACTTTGCTTCGTAGACAGGAGCGAAATGAAATTAGCGGAAGTAGGAAGTCTGACGTAGTCAGGCTAGGGTTTGAGGGGAGTAATAAAAGAGATTGCGGAGCTCCTTCACCCATCCCAGAACTTTACATTACATCCCAGAGTTGTAAACACTAGTGTTGATCATATTCTGAATTAAGAAATCATTATAATGCTGTCAAAAATATTTTACAGGGAACATAAATATGACTTTACCTTCCAAGTCTTTCTTTCATTTGTTACATGACATACGCAATGAACGTATAGTTCATAAATCACCCATCACTAGTTAACACAAGGAAAAGTAATTATTTAGGGAACGTAACAAGTTTTCTTGAGGGGGCAACACCAAAACAATAAATCATTTTTTTTTTAATAATTGAATAATCCACTTCTTATACCTTAATACCATATGTGGCATTAACAGCTCATCAACATTTTTAGAAGTAATCATTTCTTTAATCTCTGTAAAAAAAAAAAAAAAATTATTACTGACCCCAAACTTTTAAATGGTAATGATTGTACTAAAAGAAAAAAAAAATTAAGATTGACTATAAAATACATATTGACAATTTTCCAAATCTACTACTAGCACTGTGGTCAATGTGAACAACGACACAAAACTTCACAGGAAAGTTATTTGAAATCCAATATTGATTTAGAATCAAAATAGTCTTCATTGGATAATCCTGTTTATGTCAATGACCTACTAGTTAGAGGAGTGTGACTAATGGGTGCTTCTCATGTAGGTGGTCTTGGTTTACTACAAATGCTAAAATTACTCGCATGATGAGCCGTTTTTGCCCAAAAGCAGTTGTGCAGGTGCATCTCTGATCATTCTTGCAGGTTCAGTGATTTATCTAGTGCACATCTGCAGCTTTAACACACTATAAATGATCCTCTACTGTTTCAATGACAGAAGTTTGACGATTTACCAGCGTCTAAAACGAATGCACGTGGATAAAAGTGCCTGCCAAATACTTGCATTTTAAAACCAACTGCATCCGGATACAACAAATAGTGGTAAACATGGTGACGTTTTTTTGTGGGCGGAGCTTAGGTGGAGGCAGAGCGATCCGGCCGCTTCACTAACGCTAGTTAGCAAGTATTGATAGCTTTTTTTTAACAATGACTGGAGAAAATCAGATTTTTATCTTAATGTGTAAGGTCACTCAGTGTCCAGGACCACGATTGTTTTTTCCAAAAGTTATCTTTAACGGACGGAACCAGATTGGCCGACCCGTAGCCGCCTACATGCTCACTCAATGCTTCGACGATCTGACAGGATTAATGGTACGTTACCTCAGGTGAGTGGACTGACTTTGTTTTGTACCAGTTAGCGCCGTGACGTCGGCGCAAAAGGAGTCTATAACGTTTCTCTGGTGTAAACAACCCAAGTCGTTATTTTTGTTTGTTTTTGCGCACAAAAAGTATTCTCGTCGTTTGATAAAGTTAAAATTGAGCCACTGTAGTCACTTGGACTATTTTAACGATGTCTTTGATGACTTTTCGATGCCAGCAAGAGTCATTCCCTCAGGAAGCCTATGGACTAGTATGCAGGAGCGATCTTAATATCTTAAATATCTTAATTTGTGTTGCGAAGATGAACGAAGGTCTTACGGGGTTGGAACAACATGAGGGTGAGTAAATACTGACAAAATTTTCATTTTTGGGTAAACTAACCCTTTAAAGAGTAAATAAACACTTTTTTTAGTTAATGATCTGTAAGAATGGATCTTTATTAATACCAGTCATTGATTCGAGTAACTTTTTTGGCATTTGTTTATAAAGTGTTTTATTTCTACAATATATGGTGTAAAAACGTCTTAGTGCTGCCCTCTTCAGGTTGAACGGTGGCTACTGCAGTTGAATTTTCCTATTGGATGTTTGCGGTGGTACGTGACACAGCGGTTGTTGGTGACATACACAGGCAAGTTTCATACAAAGAGATGCGTCTCAGATGCACGCCCCCCTCCGCTGGCCTCTGCCCACTTTTCCAGCATTTTTCAAATATTGCCAGTGGGTGGAGTCAGGCTCTGACCAGGGGTTTAGTTACCCTTTAACAAATGTCGACCGGGAATTTTTTTACGAGCAGTTCATTCATACCTATGCAAGATCGCTGTCAAAATACAGACCGGAAGTCAAAAGACAATGAGTCCTACGCTGAAAAGAGGCGGGGCTACATAAGATCTATAACCTATGTCTATAACGAATAATGAATGTTGTTTTCTGCTGTAAAATGGCTGACTCACTCATGATGTGGCAAAGCGGTTGAGGAGATTCCCCCTCTATGTAAAGCGCTTTGAGTGTCCAGAAAGGCGCTATATAAATGTAATGATTTTTTTATTATTATTTATTAAAGCAGGAACTCGTACTACAGTTTAATAACTTCCTTTTTCCTTTCCATTCATTTATGTAGAAATGTGTGGGTCTAAAATTATATTTACATTATTCTGTGCCTGATATTGTTGTTCAGTAGTTTGAGATGCTGTCTATGCTAAAAAAAAACACTCAGAATAATTGAGCACTAATTAGTGAATACTGTGCTGTTCACACTGTAGTGCATACTATTTTTCGTAATTTGTATTATGCAACAATAAGCTATCTGGAATTGTACTATCATACTACTCTTAACTTTTCTGTATATGCATTGCCAAAATGTAATGCATGGAATCAGAGCACATCACATAGTTGTTTGCGAGGATAATATTCTCGAACAAGAGGAAGTCAGTGACATCACCTGCTGACAGGCATTAACTGTGATTTTCGTTGGTTTACACACCTGTTCTGGACACTCTGAGAGCCCGAGGGCGAGTCAAACACACGTTCTCTCAGCGACTCGACTCGGGGCGAGGGCTAAACTCTGAATCCACAACAGCAGGTTCTTCTCGACTCTGATCTCAGACACTCATCTCCAGAGATCTGACCTCATGAACCAACTGAGCAAACGAAGGACTTGCATTTGTAGTCGCAGTCATATAATGTTCAATCAAAAAAAAAAAGCTGTTGAACGAACTTAATTAAATGAAGGTAAACTTTCACACAAAACTAAATTACGTTTTCGCACAAAAATCTAATTTGTTTGAAATGATTTGTTGTAAACTTGAATTTAAATTAATTTAGTCATTCCTGCTAGATAAAATTATGTCAGGTTAACTATTTAGTTTTTATCCTGCCTTAAACCACCCACATTACAAAGCTAATTTGAAACTAGTTACCTCCAATTACTTACTGTATACAGGTCTGTATATACACAGCTGTTGCCACTCTTTAAAAAACTGAATCAAAAAACATTACAGAGAGTCCTCTAAGTTTCTAACATAACTGAATATTTAACACTAATACAACATTCCTAAATTTACCCTCCTAATGCAGTCCCTTGCAAAGCATTCTGGGAACTAAAGTTCCACTGCCTAGTTAGCTGTCAACAAAAATGATTCATGTAGTTTTCACATGAATCAGGTTTAAATTGATGAGGTTTATTGAACACAATTAAATTAAGTTTTGACAAAATATTTAAAAAATTGTTACTTTTGCTTATTTTAATTAATTAAGTTCCGTATGGAACTTTTAGATTCAATTAAAGGAACCATTAATAGAACCTTTCAGGGCACCAAATGAAGCAGGTCATTTAAGAACCATTTCTTTCAAGGTTGCCCGTTCAATAGTGATGTGGTTTTAAAACCTGATTTGAACCTGTTAAAATCACTTTCAGGAAGGTACAATAAAAAACTGCGAGAAATATTCCTGTCAACACCCCTGATTCACACGTTAGTTGCCTGTCACTGTCTGTCACTGTTTCTGTCTGGAGTTCAGAGTCTGCGCTTCACTGACAGACACTGCACATTTCTTTTTCTGGAATATTGGCAATTTAACTGCATGCGTGAACAATTTGGCAAAGCAAGCAAGTAATATAGTGGGAAAAAATATCACTTAGGAAGTAGCAATTAAACCAATCCTTAAGTAATTTATGTAAATATGTCAAGTTTTTTTTTAATTTAATTTACATGAAGATACAAATTAAACCTAAAACAAAATTAACACGAAAAGATAATGAATCAGCTCATATAATATTTAACAACATTTGAAGATTTAGGACCTCCTTTCAATGATACTTTGAGAAAGACAAAAAAAAATCTATTGATAATTATCCACAAAGTATTTTTAATAGATCTAGACCCTTATCTCTCTCTCTCTCTCTTTCTCTCTCTAAAGCATGTAAGGATGTTTGTGAAGCTCAGACAGGAATAGCAGAAGCATCTCTATGACAGACTGGGAAAATTGTCACAGCGGTTTGAGTTCAGACACATTTACTCATCCGAATAGAATAAGAGTTTAGAGTGGAGGGATCTCAGACAGACAGACAGACGGACAAACAGACAGACGAACGGACAGACGGACAGACAGACAGACGGACAGAAAGACGGACGGACAGACAGACGGACAGACAGACAGACGGACAGACAGAAAGACGGACAGACAGACAGACAGACAGACAGAAAGACGGACGGTCAGACAGACGGACGGACAGAAAGACGGACGGTCAGACAGACGGACGGACAGACAGAAAGACGGACGGACAGACAGACAGACAGACAGAAAGACGGACGGTCAGACAGACGGACGGACAGACAGACGGTCAGACAGACGGACGGACAGACGGACGGTCAGACAGACGGACAGACAGAAAGACTGACGGACGGACGGACAGACGGACGGACAGACAGACGGACGGTCAGACAGACGGACAGACAGAAAGACTGACGGACGGACAGACGGACGGACAGACAGACGGACGGTCAGACAGACGGACAGACAGAAAGACTGACGGACGGACGGACGGACAGACAGACGGACGGTCAGACAGATGGACAGACAGACAG